ATAGATTCCCTCCAATCCACAACGAACAGAAAATCGTTCTCGCTCCAATGATACACCTCGAAAAGATAAAAGCTCCTCGTAACCAGTTTTTTGACTCTTCCAGAACTGCTGAGATGAAGACTGATCCCAATCTTCAAGATCAAAGGTTGGCTTAGAACTGGCGGCTTTAATAGATGCAGGTGGTGGTGTAGTATTTTGTGGTAGTGATGACATGGAGTAACTTCTAAAATGGGAGAAGAGTTGAGAACCAGACTTTTGAGATGTGCTACCCATTCCTGAATTGGAAGTTAAAGGAGGAGATAAAGGGCGAGCTGGAGGCGGAAGTGTGTTATCCAATGGAAGCAACCATTTTAACAATTCTCCACATGGGTCCTGATTTGCATCAACTAAGTTTTCCTGAGTCTCAGAAGACAAACTTCCCTCACGAGATTTCTCAAACTGAAGAATCTCAATAACAGGGTCATTCAAAAAATCTACACCAACATTCACTTGTAAAAGAACCTGCACCCTTCCAAAGAAGAAAATGGAATGAGAATCAGTGATCTGAACAACTGCTTAAACCAGCCATGAATGTGAGAGGAAAAAAAATTTCAGAACTAAGATATTTAAAATTGGAGGTCTAGAATAAACAAAGCAGCAGCAGAAAATTAACTTAAGGGTCAGCAAATTGTTATCAGAGTTACAACACTCTTGCTTATTTTGGTACAAACTAAGACCCACCAGGGCTTTCCTCCAGTAAAACCTTGCAGAAAGCTTAAGATTTATAGGTGCATGTCAATGGGGTTAACATAAAAGGCACAACTACTGATATTTTTTCTGTCACTTATCACGTATATTGATGCATAAGCACACACACAGAGAGACTCGCAAATATACATATTCATAACATTGCGTTTTAGGTTGGCACAACTGAAGTCTACAACTTTGAGTTTATTAATACCCATCATTTAGCAAAAATGAGAATAATCGTGGAAATAAGATGAGAATATAAGTAACACATATGTACGCATACAAGGAAGAACCTAGAAGCTTCATTACACATACCACTATGTCTCCATTAGAAAGAGAACAACACTTGACATTATTTCTTGCTACACCACCAGAGACTTTGGGATCAAAATTTCCTTTATCAATAATAGCATTAAGTCGAGACGCATTTACAGCATTTTTCTGGGTTCCATTTTCCTTAGACTCTTGACCATCCATCCCAAGAGATACTGAAGATTTCTTAGGAGCACTTTTTTTTGACCAAAGTGTCTCACTTGACTCTGCAATCCTAACAAAAAAATGAGACCTCTCAAATCTTTGCAATAAGATTTCAGTCTGTCTTTTGTGATCCTCCATTCTAAGAAGGGATTCACTATCAGTAACATCCTTTTGTAGATCAGTCTTCTCTTTTGACCGGGTTTCACCATTTTGTTCTGCACCTTGACTGTCAGGACTCATTTCTCCTTTTCTCAACAATGCACCACTACCCTCTTCAGCATTTCCATTTTGTTTCTTTGGGCTTTGTCTTATGCCATTTTTACTCATGGCTGCAGCTAATTTAAAGGGAGTAATAATTTCTGTATCCTGCTTACAAGCTGACAAGCATGCAAGGATATGAACTTGTTCACCTGGATTAAAAATAAATTTCAGGTCCTAAATAAAGGATACATCTTCCATTTGGAGAAAAAGAGTCAGGAAATTCAAGAAAGAGCTACCGGGGAAAACAAAGGAGCGGTCCAGAGAGCGTAATGAATGTATATCTGGTGCATCATTCCAATTATCAGGGAGTTCTTCTGCAGAAGCAAAACACTCTTTAGATATACTAATTTTATATCACGACCATGATATATTTTACATATTGAATATATAATATAGGCACCTAATCAACTATGTGCGTGTGTATTATAAAGCAGTTTATGTGCACACTTATAAGTGTGTATGCGATCCTAAACATTATGAAAATATTAAAACATGCATGTTGAATGTAATGGAAATCGCTTACTGTATGGAATGGCAATCCATCCCTCCTCATCAGATACGTCATAATGCTTTGCTATGACAGAAGATTCATTATTTGCACCAATGGCATTTTCACCTCTATATTCACTTTCTCCAACATGATCGTCGATTGTGGAATATTGTGGATATGAATCTTCAGCAATTAGACCCTCCAATGTTGTTGCTGATTTTGGGGTAGGGTGAGCATCCGCAGGTGGTTCAGGAATAGATGGTTGTTCTGCTGGCACACGTTGTACATGACTTGACCGCATAAGGAAATTCATTGTCCCACCAAAATAAGTGTCTGCAAAATCCATAAATGTGGTCATTCAATTACAACATGGGTTGTGTTAAAGCAAGCATATATGTACATCTGACTTGAACATGCAAACCCAGTCGTTGAAGCTGGTGTTTGAATCCCATTAAAAGATCACTTAGAACTTCAAATTACCAGCAGTGCCTAGTGGCTAGTGAAACTCCCCACACTAAAAAATTTATATCACCTCCTCCTAACACTTTTTTCAAACACCAAGTTTCAACATTTACAATCAACTGCCACTGGATCCAAACCAGAGGCTTCATTATCACACTACTACAACAATGAGCACTTGATCAAACAGTTAAAGCACTATAAATCTCACACTCATGGCATATCTATGATAAACAACAAATAAAAGGCATACTCTAAGATATCACACGAAATCTACAAGGCGCTTTCTATTTCCAACGATTTGGCATTGGTTTTGAGTTTAGCCTTCCAATGCCGAATCCACAGTAATTGGGTCTAACGCTGGCACTATAATCGAACACCAAATGCGTCCCAATATCACATTTGGCTGAGACTCAAAATCCAAATTTGATTAGCTGTTCGTCAGAACCAAATCTACTTACCCGAGATCGAGCTCTCCTCTGAACCTCAGATGTGATCGCAAGCCAGAAACGTCTCAAAGCTGAAAGCCCTAATTGTCCGATTCCGATTCTTCTCTACCGGAAAAGTCCTAATTGTGAGCTCCGCAGGACGCAAGACTCTGATACTTCGGTGGTGTGCGATCAGAATTCAGAAGGGAGCCTCTGAGAGCTCTAATTGTAAACTTCGGGTTGCATTTCACTACCACCATAACCGTCGCTGGAAAAGAAGAAAAGAGAGTTGTTTTTTCGGTCGGAAACTTTCAAATTCATAAAGCCCAAAACGGAAGAGAACGCAACTACAGACGGAGCCCAAATCTTAAGTTTGGCCCATCTTGTCAACCTAAAGGAACCCTTGTTCTTGTCAACCTTTGGGCTTTGTAAGATGATAATATATTTGTATTTTGTTGTGAATATCCAAACTTTTTTGTTTTGAGAAAGTATTTATCTTGTTACCAAAATAAAGAGGGCAAAGTTATGAAATTTTATTTTGAGATCTGTCGTATGTTGCTGCACACAATAAAGGTAGCCACTTGGGCTGACACTGATATTGGGAGGTGCACTACGTTATCCATTTCCCGATGTTTCTGTTGTTTTTCCAAAACTATTTTACTGGTTTGTGATTAGGAGGACGCATACGATTAGTTTTAGGTTAAGTTAATAATATTTATCATTATGGTTTGGCATAAAAACAGAAGGCAGCTTGTGGTTACATGCCACGTCAAGCAAAGCATCACATATATAATTAGAAGGGACGACACCAAATGAGGTGGATTGGATAAATATCATCAAAGTCGGTTCCTCGCTGTGTTTTGTTATTAGTTTTGTCGGTTTACGAACTTAATCCATTTGGTTTTCTTGAACCAACTTCAGTCGACAATGATTGGAAATCCACTGACCAGAGCTCGTTTGAAGATAGGATGATTACTTGTACGTGAGGGACTCTCGTTGGTTAATGAAACCAATTTTCATCGAAGACAGACACATCTTTGAACTCGTATGTATAAAATCAATAATGGAGTGGGGTTGGGTTGGTTGGGGTCCCCATGCAGATGAGAGCGATTTCATTTCCATTGTAGGCCAAACCAAAGGTGGCTTAATTGATGTGTTGTGGCATGTGAGATGATGTGAGGATGGCCACAAAACAATCACCAAGCCAAACAATGACTATGGAAGGATCCTAGGTGATTTCATTCATTAACTTCATCTCACGTCCATCCATTTACCCAAAGAAAACAAAAATAGTTCAGATTTGTCAAAAAAATTAGAACTTTCTTTGTGGTTTTCGTTGCAGTGATCTCAAATTGTTAAAGTCAGAAGCTGTTCTCTATTGCGTCACATTAATAAAGTGACTCATTGTGAAGTTACTGAAACGCATAAAATCCAAAGTTGGTGTGCGTCAAATCTCAACCTCAACCTCAATCTCAATCTCGATCTCGATCTCGATCTCAATGCATGTGGTTGGTCTCAACTCTTATCCCTTTCATGGTAAACCATAAATAGACAGAAATTAATTATAACAATCCCAAAGTTAAAAAATAAAATGAGGAAAAAATAATACGAAAATAAAATAAAATTATTGTGACTCTGCACAGCTGCACCAGGCCTTTTGTCTATTGTGTCCAATATTGCATCAGAAAAATGCAGATTTTATTTTCCACTAGTACTAATGAACCAAAAACGATTGATGGGTATTTCTCAACGATTATTGTTCATTCGAAAATCACAAGTTCACAACCGGCACCAGATATTTTTTTCATTTTCATCTGCAAGTTGTGATGGATAGGGTGAGTGTAGTTCACTATCAGCTGACTTTCTCCCAAGAGATGTAAGCCTTTTCACGTAAAACTACCCTTCTGTTTTTATCAAAGCTGCCATTTTTACATTTCATCTATCGAAAAGAGTCTCTGAGAAAGCAATGGGCGAGACCTGTATGCTATAATTCCTCGAATTTTTGGGTGCTCTGGTTCTTCTTCTTACTGGGTTGTCTTTGAATTTTGAAGCTGCAAGCGGCACAAATACCCGCTTAGGTGCCCACATGGGATTGGGACTAACTCGAACACGGAGAGAGACGAAGGTTTTGTACAAGAGATTGAAGAACAAGGAAGATGGAATCGGAGTTGGGTTTGATAGAGCAATCATTCAATAGCCGTTACTCGCTTTGGGTCCAGGAAGCTCTGAGCGAATTGCCCGACAGTTTCACAATCACTGATCCTTGTCTCTCTGGCCACCCAATTGTATTTGCGAGCAAAGGGTTCTTGAAAATGTTGGGTTATTCGAAAAGCGAGGTGATTGGCAGAAATGGTAGAGTGTTTCAAGGTCCGGGGACTTGCAGAAGGTCGGTTATGGAAATAAGAGAGGCCATCAGGGAAGAGAGAGCTATTCAGATTAATTTGCTGAATTATCGCAAAGACGGGACACCCTTTTGGATGTTGTTTCATATGTGCCCTGTTTTTAACAAAGAAGATGGGAGGGTGACTCATTTTGTGGGAGTTCAGGTTCCGATTTCGAGGAAGCCGAGGCGGTCTGGCAGAAATGGGGTTAATTTGTGCGAAGAGGGGTCTAGGATGAATGATATCTTTTATGGGTCTTGTAGAAAAGAAGTGTGCTCCGATTCTTTGGTTGAATTGGGTCGTGTTCAGTCTCTGGAGTCTGCATTGGATGATGCTGATGACAGAGGTTTGTTTCTTTATCAGTTTGCGTTGTGGTTCTATAAATGACTAATGCAATATACTTTGCTTGTGTAATGATAGAGGCATCGTTTAATTTTCTATTCCAAGTAATATTTGACTATGCTACTTGCTTAATTACTGATTTCTGTTATCTATGAATGTTGATAGTGGATTTGAAGTTACTTGTCACACATTCATTTATGGTTAGCAATCTGATCTGTCCTTTTAGTTGTTGTAGCTCTGTTGGTTGCGGTTCAAGTTTTGTTTTGATGTGATTTTATGGTTTTGATTTTTTATTTTGTTACCAAGTATTGGTTGTGGTTGAGTTTTCATTTACTATGTAACATACAGGATTGGAGGTTGAAGAGTCGTGCGAGGCAAGTGATCTAGAGAAGACAAGAGCTGCAACTGCCATTAATAACATATTGTCTGTGCTAACTCACTATAGCGAGTTAACGGGCAGATTGGTCTGTGGAAAGAGATGCAGCTTATCCGGGGTGGGCCTTCTCAGTTCATCCTTAAATATATCTCTTGGTAGAATCAAACAAAGCTTTGTATTGTGAGTTGTTGCAAATTCTCATTTTCTTACTTTGCAGAAGGTATCATACTTTCTGAAGATTTCTGATGATTATACTTTGTGTTTGCTTCGATATGATTGTGTTGCCTTGTAGAACTGATCCACACTTACCAGACATGCCTATAGTTTATGCAAGTGATGCCTTCTTCAAATTGACTGGTAACATTCACAATGCTATTTGCCAGAGGGATACTTAACCATTCTAGACTTCACGTTCTTTGCAAATCTTTTCAAGAATCCAGCATATGCAGTTACTCAACTCAGTTGTTTACCTATATAGGTTATGCTAGACATGAAGTCTTGGGGCGCAATTGTAGATTTTTAAGTGGGGTGGATACAGATTCCTCAATGATATATCGGGTATTTTTCCTTTTCTGTCATGATTATTGGTTTTCGCCATGTACTTTGGTGACTTGATGGAATAGATAGTCTTAAGTGTACCATCCCATCTTTTCTCTTTTTTTCCCCAGATAAAGGAAAGCATTCAAAATGAAAAAGCATGCACAGTACGTATCTTGAATTACAGGTCACTACTTGACTACTTATTCAATATGTTTTACGTGAACTGCACATTATTCATCCGTTGTGACTTTTGTTTCTGCTTCATTCTCAGGAAGGATAAGAGTTCATTTTGGAATCTCCTACACATATCACCTGTTCGTAATGCTTCTGGCAAGGTATTTTATATGCTAAGCTTTCATGAGTCTGGTTGAATCTTAATTTTCTTATTGTTAATTGTTTTTGTCAATGACATGTATGCTGTCTAATTGATGTGCCTTTGGCTTCATTAAGAGCAAAGTAAAGCAGCATATGCTTTAAACTGATCAACCTCTTGTCAACTTTATTTATTGGTCTAAACAAACAGGAGATAAAGTTTTTCTTATATGCAAATTTGAAGTTTTTGGACTTTAAGTTTATTTCCAATTACTATAATAGCTTGGCTTGTGACTGTGGGATGTGGTTGACAGAGGATTAGCTTGGATTCACTTGCAGTGGATTTCTATGTTTGCATGAAACTTTATGAACAAATGAGAAGCTTATGTTAGCCTAGACATTATTAACTTTGGGAGAAGTGTTGGCAGAGCTATAACTATGCAATTTGTGTTGCACAAGTATTTCTGTTCTGAGTGATTCAGTTTACTGCTGCTGTAAACATTTCCGTGGCACATTTATTTGATTACTTAACCAATTTCCATCATCATGTTCAGCTCACAATATGTTCTTGGTGTAAAATCAGAATAAGCTGTTGGCAATTAGTATGCGTGTTACTAACAACTGGAGTCATTGGTGTCTATATCAGAACTGTTACAGCTTACCAATTTCTAATCTTTCTCCATTAAATGAAGAATTTAACCTCTTAATATTTTGGCATGTTGCAATGTGGCTGTTCCGCTTCTGTATAACCTGTAGATCCCTTTAGAGTCTTAGACATATGATCCCTCAATCCTTAGTATCAAAAGTAGTACTCTAAGTGACGATATCAGTTTAGTTCCATTCAACTCTATCTGATGTTAAGTGGCCAGAAAGAACTTGTGGTTATTTTATATATGTCACTCTGTTTCTCTTACTATGTTTATGGCTGTTCAGATTGCATACTTTGTGGGTGTTCAGATGGAAGAAGAGTGTAAAAACCAGGTTGGACATGGGCTAAGCCCTGAGATGAGGCAGCGTAGCGCCGTTGGTGCTGTCAGAATTGCAGTAAGGAGCTTATCAATGGGTGCTGGCCCTTCCAAATCTTAGGAGAGTAACAACCTCTGAATCTTGCTGCCGGTGCCTGATATTTCAAAAATGTCTGCCACGATCCTATCCTAGAAATATATATTCATTTGTCTCAAATTTGTAATCGTCTCTGGCAGTAGATGAGAAGGCAGAAATCAGGGAAAGTTTGGTTCATTGCCGCATGAGATCTCTGTTACACATAATTGTTTATATATAATATGAAGAAAGGTCTATTAGTGAAAATTTATTGACTTTCTGCTGGAATCTCTCCAGCTCCAAATTGTGGCACTTTATTTTGTTTTGGGTGTTTTTCATATTTCTAGCCATTTTATGATTGTGACTGGAAATATGAGAAGAAAAGCTGGTATGTTAAACTGTTGCCTTAAAATGCTTAGGAGAGCAGGTGGAGAGATGTGAGATCCATGGGCATCAAGCAAAAATATTCACAAGCTGGCTGCTGGCATATATAATGAGATAAAAAGGAAGAACATTGCAAATTTGAGATACATAGGCTGTCGTATTATGGCAAACCTAAAATACCACTTACTAAAATAAAAAACAGTTTGAACCAAATAAAAAATAAATAAATGGACACAATACCAAAACAAATGTCGTGAGATCAGCATCATGACTTTATTTTTGTGCAATTTCACTTAACCTATTTTAATGAAGTTTAGATAGGGATTATAACAACAACTAAGAAGAAATGAAATGCAAGAAATGTGGGGAAAATGTGTAGATTCTAAATGCAGAAGCTTAGGATTCCATATATATAATTTATTATTTTTGCAATTTGAATACAATTAGGTACACTTTTTTTCAGTACAAGCGATAGTCTAAGGACTCGTTTGGGATTACTTCTCTAGGAAGTACTTCTGCTCATAAGCACTTCTAACAAAAGCGCTTTTATTATAAAAATCTTGAATTTCATAAAAATTTAAAGTGCTTCGTGGAAAAGCACTTGGGAGTGCTTCCTGAAGAAGCACATGGCAGGTGCTTCTCCAGGAAGCACTTCTATGACCCAGAAGCGCTTCTAAACTTTTCTACCAAACGTTGTCAGAAATGCTTTTATTATCATAAAGCATTATTGGCCCTTCTAGAAGCACCCCCAAACAGGCCCTAAATTATAGGGGAGGGGGATTTCTTGCTAAAGTATGAATATGGTTTGAATATTGTATGTTAATTGTATTTTTCTCCATAATGAGACATATATAAGAGTTTACAAGGATGCTTTATAAGGAAATAGATACAGTAATTAATTAGGAGAATATCTCCTAATTATTCTCCTAATTATACAAGGATGTGTCAACCATATGAAACAAGGAAGTAAATCACTTAATTAACTTAGGAAATAAATCTCCTTGATTTAGTAGGTTCACTCACGTCAACACTCCTCCTCAAGTTGGTGCATACCCGTCATTAATTCTCGACTTGGTAAGTGAGTCCTAAAACACTCATCCACAAACTGCTTTTGTTAAGACATCTGCTAATTGATCTTCTGATTTTACAAAAGGTAGACACATGATCTTGTTCTCAATTTTTTCTTTGATGAAATGTCTATCCACCTCAACATGTTTAGTTTGATCATGTTGAACTGGATTATGAGCAATATCGATCGCTAACTTATTATCACAATGTAACTTCATTGGCTTCTCTGGTTTAAAACCCAATTTGTTCAAGAGTCCTCTGATCCATAATAATTCACAAACTCCTTGAGCCATACCTAAATACTCTTATTCTGCACTAGACCGAGCAATTACATTTTATTTTTCACTTCACCAAGTGATTAGATTACCTCCAATGAATGTATAGTAACCCGATGTAGAGAGGCTATCTATAAGAGCATCCACAATGGGCTCCCTAAACTACCTCCTTAGACAAATTTAGGGAGGAATCGCAAAAATGCAACTCCAACCAAGCTCCATATCCACCTCCTAAAATAGGGAGTCCTCTAGGAGCTCCTAAATATGAGGAGAGAGAGAAAGGACTCCTAGTGACTTCCTATAATTTAATGCTATTTTATTTAATGAGTATTTCACAATTTTATTTTGTGTAATGCTAATAACTTTTCTTTTTTTTTTTTTTTTTTTTTTTTTTTTTTTTTTTTTTTTTATTTTAATAGAGACCAATCAAAAAAGAGTTATAGCATTTATGACTCTCCAAATTAGTGAGTATGGTTGGCGTTGAAATTTTTTAGAGAGCTCCTAAAATAAGTTTATTATATTTTTAGCTAAATTTTAGTTAAGAAATAGAGAGCATCATTGTGGATGCTCTAATGGAACTAGCCTAATCATCATCTGTATATCCAACAACTTCAAGATTTCCATTCTTTGAGAATATTAATTCATTTTCAGGGGCTGACTTTAAGTATCTTAAGATCCGATCAACTGCATTCTTATGAGAAACATTGGGTGAATGCATAAACTGACTAACCACACTCACAACATATGCAATATATGGTCTTATGTGTGCCAAGTATATCAACCATCCAACAAGGCGCTGGTATTGTTCCTTATTGGTTGGCAAACGGTCCATGTCTTTACATAACTTGTGATTCATCTCAATGGATGTGTCAGCAGGCTTACATCCAATCATTCATGCTTTAGTAAGTAGACCCATCATATATTTCCTTTGAAATAGAAAATACCAGTTTTTGACCTTGCTACTTCTATTGCGAGGTAGTATTTTGGAGCACCTAAATCCTTCATCTCAAATTTGTGAGACAAATACTTTTGTAGCTTCTATTGCTCTCATTTGTTGTTCCCAGTTACGACCATATCATCCACATAAATAATTAATGCAATGATTTTTCCTCCATCACGCTTTAAGAAAAGGATGTGGTCTAAATTAGTTTGAGTGTATCCAAAATTCTTCATGGACTTAGTAAATCTCCAAACCATGCCCTAGGAGATTGTTTTAACCTATATAATGATTTTTTGAGCTTGCAAACTTGATTCTTCTTGTCATGAGCTAAATTACATCTGAGTGGTAAATCCATGTATACCTCTTCTTCCAAGTCTCTATGTAAGAAGGCATTTTTAACATCGAACTAATATAGTTGCCAATCTAGATTTGCTACTAGGGACAGTAGAACTCTGATAATGTTGATCTTGGCTACTAGAGTAAAGGTCTCCTAGTAATCCACCCATACCTTTGTGTATATCCCTTCGCCACCAATCTAACTTTATATCTTTCAATGGATCCATCTGCTTTGAGTTTTACAGTATACATCCACCAGCATCCCACCGTCTTCTTTCCGTGAGGTAAATGCTCGAGCTCCTATGTGTCATTCTTCTGGAGGGCTTGCATTTCTTCATTCATGGATTTTTTCTATTTTGAGTCTTCTAGTATTTCATTCACACTATTTGGGAAAGATATATCGGCCAACTGCTTCACAAAGTGTTCATGCGACTTTGATAATCTGCTTAGAAATATATAATTATTGATGAGATATTTCTCTTTTGCTTTAAGATCTGATTTGTACTGTACTCTAGGTTTACCACGGTTCTTCCTTTTTGGAAGCTGATAAATAAGGCTATCTGTATCCTTTATGTTTTTTGAAATCAAATCATCATGGTATATTTCATTAGTGTTATCAGTTTTAGGGGGATATGTTACCTTAATGACTTCCTCAGTAGGTGATTGGTGTGGTACTAGAGTTGAAGGTAGGTCCGAAGTGCACAAAATCTCATAAAACAATTCAATTTCCTCCTCCTAATTTTGACAGCGTGGAGTCGACAGGTCGTTTTGAAACTGAGGCACTACCCATGAAAGAATAAAGGGAGGCGACAGGTCATTTTGAGGCAGAAACTTGTCCTGCTGACAAAAATCTAGAATCTTCGGAGTGTTAGATTCCAGATTCTCCTCATGTGTTGCTAAAAAATATACGTCGTGTCCTCAGAACATGACATCCACGGTGGTATACACCTTCTGACTTGGAGGGTGATAATATCAGTAGCCTTTCTGATGAGAAGTATAGTCAATGAAAACACACTTTTCTGCTTGGGGATCTAATTTGCTTCGTTGGTGATCATGTAAATGTACAAATACGACACAACCGAAAATCCATAGTTCAAGGTTGGGGTGGAGAGATATTTGGATATGGTGGTGAAGTGTTTGAAGTGGTGTTTGGAAATTCAAGATACTAGAGGGAATACGATTGATAAGGTAAGCTATAGAGATGACGACCTCTCCCCAAAAATGATCGAGACATATTGGCATCAAAGAGAGAGGCACGAACTACTTCCAATAAATGTATGTTCTTTCGTTCAGTCACCCTATTTTGTTGGGGAGTGTATGGACATGAGCATTGATGTATAATGTCATAATCCTGTAAGAACTTGTTAAGATCTTGGTTGAGAAATTCTCCGCCATTGTTAGAACTAAGAACCTGGATTAGGGCTTGAAACTGTGTTTCCACCATTTTATGGAACTGTTGAAATTTTAAACTGACTTCCCCTTTAGTTTTGAGAAAGGAAACCCAAGTCATACGTGTGCAACCATCTATAAACGTGACAAACCTTCAAGCTCATGCCAGTGGTAATTTTAGCAAGTCCCCAAACATCAAAATGAACAAGAGAAAACGGAACCAAACTTTTATTTGAACTTAAGGGAAAAAGAACAAGATTGTTCTTGGCTAGTTCACAAGTGTCACACTTAAAACTTGAAATATCTAAACTGGTGAATGAGGATGGAAATAATTTATGTAAATATCCATGACCAAGACGCCTATGCCATGACCATACTTTGTCAGTTTGTTTCTCAACACTAGCTCTTCCAATCTTGAAAGCTTGACCAACTCTGGCTTCACTATCAAGCACCAAGTCTAGGTAGTAGAGTTCGCCCATCCTAGTACCACAATCAATCGTCTTGCTGCTGAGAATGTCCTGAAAAACATAATGAGTTGGCCAAAAGGTTATAGTGCAATCCAAAGCCGTAGTAATTTGGTCAACAAATAATAGATTATGATGCAAGGATGAACAATCAACATAGAATCCAAATTGACGAAGTCACAGAGAGAGAGAGAGAGAGAGAGAGAGAGAGAGAGAGAGAGAGAGAGAGAGAGAGAGAGCCCTCCACAATCACAGGGGAAATGGTACCATTAGCAGTACACACCATCGATTGAGGAGACGATGTATAAAAGGTAATTTGTCAAGGATCAAATGTCATATGGTCAGTTGCTCCTGAGTCAATAATCCATGTGTTTTTCTTGGATGAAGTATTTAAAACATAACATTTGGTACCTTTTGTGGTTACAAAGGCAGATGCTGGAGCCGATGTAGCCAAAACAGCAGGACTTACATGATCTGATTCAGAAGATGTGTTGAGTGCTTTGCTCCTATTCCTGCGGTGAGCTTTGGAGTGGTCCCACCAATCTGGGTACCCAATCAGTTTGTAACAGCCATCACGTGTATGTTTGTCTCCTCCATAGTGGGTGCACTTCTTCTCCGGACGAGATCCTGAGGCCTTATTCTGAGAAGAGCCACCAGTAGAAGTCTAGGGCCCCATTTGACGTTGAGTTACCACTACAGAAGCTTTCTTAGCACCAGTTATAGTCATTCTCTGTTGAGCTTCACGACGAACATAGGCAAAGGTTTGATCAAGGTCTAATTTAGGATCTTTGCATAGGATTTCCCCCATGACTTGATCAAACTCAGGGTCAAGACCGACAAGAAAAAGGTGAACATGAAGATGATCCAATTCTATCTAGCGCTCAGTCATATCGGCGGCACAGTGCATGCGAATGGGACTTCGATAGTCAATTTCTTGAAAGATGCCTTGCAACTGGCTATAATATGTATGAACCGGTGCACAATTTTGTTTAATAATGAACGCTCGTTTGTTGAGATCCAAAAGATAAGTTTCATCGCCACCTCATAGTAGATCTTCTTGACGGCAGCCTAGATTTCTTTGGCAATACTTAACTAGATGAAACGACTCATCAAGTCAGGGGACATGGAGTCGATTAACCACTCATTGACTCGAAAGTTCTCGGTACACCATTGTTGTAGGTGGACGAGGGCTCATGAGGCTTTGGAGTGTCACCGGTTAGGTAACCTAATTGTTCGTGTGCAACAATGCCCTTCTCCATGACTTGAGACCATAAGGCATAATTGATCTCAGTCGGGGTGACGCCGACAGGGAGCGGGGAGTTGTCACTTTGAATAGTAACGATTTGAGGAGTGTGCATAGAAGATCCTCCATTGATCAGAAGCGAGATGTCACCCATTGCAGCGAAACGATTTGAGGGTAAGATAAAGGTATGTGTTTAGGGAGTTTTGAAACGACCTGACCCAATTTCTACTTTGGAATTCGGGTCAAAACCTGTTTAAAACTGACACCTGGTATCCGTGGGTCGTAAATGACCAAAAAGCCCTGAAAATGAAAACGCAAACTCTGGGGGCCTAACTCATGGCTGCGCCTGACAACTGTAGGCTGCCTACGTACCCTTACTGAGGGATCAAGCCACACGTAGTTCTTTCCTCTGTTCTTGACTTGCAACTGGTTCGTTATTTTGTAACTGGTTTAATTATCCGTAAAACATACTCTATGGCTGACATTTCTGGAGTATCCGGGACTCCGTTTTACGATCCGTCAAATACTATACGATCCTGGAAATACCTAGATCAACATACTTGAAAATGGTTACGACCCAACGGTGCAAAACTAGTGAACCCGGAACTCACACACTAGGCGAGATCCGTTCGGGGTTCAAACGGCATCCGAATTAAGATCCGCGAATTCCTACGCGCTCATGATGACCCAAGGATTATTCTGGAACTGAATGGGGTCTCGACCAATCTGCCCACGCGCCGCCACACGCGTCGGCAGCGCGTGGGTGTCCTAAGCGATTCCGGTCGCCAGAAAACCTCAACATCTCGACTCAAGACTCCTATCCTGGGTAAAACACCCTATTTGGAACCACTTTTGTTCTTGGACCTACCCCAAAAAGTGGCCGGAAGTGGCCGGAACAGGGACCCGAAAGTCTGCTGAAACCTAACTTAAAAATTGAACGATCTACGCTTAAAATCTCTGAAATCCTACCCAACCAGCAGCTAGATCATGGAAAATTGCTAGAAAACCATACCTCACTCGTTCGATTTGGTGACCGGACAACGGAGAACGAGAGCTCGAAAGTTCTGTCAAAAATCGGCTGTTTTCGGGCAGTTTCCGGCGGCCGGAGCTGCTGCCGGGGGCTGGGATGCGGCGGAACTGAAGGCTGGGGTGATGGCGGTCCTAGCCTGACCGGTCCCGCGGCCGGCCGTGGTATGTGGCGGTGCTGGTGGCTTGAAGAAACCACGGCTGGAGGAGAGAAACGGGGGGGGGAGAGCTAGGTCGCAGAGGAGAGAGAGAGATCAATTTTAAAACATCTGACGTGACAAATTACCATTTTGCCCCTGAACGTATTTTGACCGTATCTCCCTCAATACAACTCGGAATCGAGTGTACTGCATGTCTACGAACTCGTTTCGTCGCGCTCTACGCAATGGTATAACTGAAAGCCCCAATAAAATATTCTAGGTGTATAAGTGTCTTTTACCAGAATAAATTAATAATTAAATATTAATTAAGGACCGGGTTGTTACAAGTTTGATAAGAGGATTTGATTTGAGAGTTTAGGATTTGGATTTGAGGAATTTGATTTACAGTTTGTGTTTGAATTTGAGGGCTTAGAGACAACCTATGATCGATTGCTTTGATACCATGCTAAAATATAAATATGGTTTGAATACTTTAGGTTAATTGTATTCTTCTCCGTAACGAGGTATATATAGGAGTTTACAATGGTGCTTTACAAGGAAATAGATAAAGTAATTAATTAGGAGAATACAATATGTGTCAACTATATGAAATATGGAAGTAAATCACCTAATAACTTAGGAAATAAATCTCCTTGATTTAGTAGGTTAACTCATGTCAAAATTTCTCACACAAACACCACACAACACAACTATGATGCCCTGGGAGTTCAAACTTAAGACCTATGCACTGCAAATCAAGATCATTTTTCACTAAAATAGACCGTTGGCAAAATTAATTACTTAAATAAGTAAGAACGTGTCGCATAAATGAAACAAAGGTAAATACGTGAACAATTTGTAGGCCTATTATGGCCCCAACGTTATCAAGCAACAATTCATGCATCAAGGTTTTTCCTTCTTTGCTAAACAACGTAAGATAATAAATCAGATAATTATTTTTGGATTAGGCGTTGATTAAAACACCTTAAGTTTAGCTTTCAAATTACCACAAATGTGATGGTAAAAAAAACTAGGATCATCAACATCATCATCAATTGCTTCACTTAACCTTTTTCTTATGTATTTTGAATACACTCGTGTACTTAAACAAGTAAAAACATGTCCCGTAATCATAAATTAAAAAAAAGGAAGGTAATCTAGTAGGTGAACCAAATACTTAATCAAGATTAAGCCAACACAACCTCAACTAAGCTTCTTTATTTTTGGGTCAAAACCTCGACTAAGCTAAGCTAAGCGCACCATTCACAGAACCTACGTATTTGGCAGAGAAAGTAAACAAAAGTTACAGTGAATGTCTGATTAATTCCATCCAGTTCAGAAACACACGAGTATGACGAACATCCACGTCAACACTAATTCGCCATATTACCATTTTACCCTTCGAAAATACAAGCGCATTGCCATATGTTTCCCAGGAGAGAAAATTCAAAAACCCCTCACCAAAAAAACAAACCAATCGTTTTGCAATAATAGGTAGGTTGAATCTATATGACAACTTCGAATTACGTCAGCTTTTGGGCCTGGTCAGGCCCAAGTTTGACTCTTTGAGATATCTGACCTGTCACCTGTGGGCCCTCTAATACGCATGTATTTGGTAGTGTGTATATAAATGAAATGAGACACTGTCAGCAAAGAAGACCTAGCTAGCTAAGGCCACCTCCACCATGCGCATTGCACAGCTAAGACCTTCACGTATTACCATCATCACACTCACAGTCTTCTTCTTGTTTTGATTTGTAAAACAGAACCCACTTCCTTTCATAAAGAGATAAACCCCAATCTCCTCCCCAAGAACCAAAATAACCAAGAAAGCAGTCGTCGGCCATGGCTTTCATTTTCAAGAACCTCTCTTTATCATCCTCCGTATTCTTCTACGCCATCCCCCTCATATTGTCTTATCTCTTCATGGTTTCCCACTCCCAGTACTTGACCAATCCGACGCCGTTCTCTTCCATTAATGCTACTACCAGTAACGTCTCCGCCGGGGGGCAGTGGGTTCTTCTCCACAAAAGCATCGGAGTCTCGGCAATGCACATGCAACTCCTCAAGAACGACAAAGTCATCCTCTTCGACCGTACGGACATGGGCCCCTCCAACTTCTCCTTCCCCTCCGGCACCGGCTGCCGCAAGTACAACGACACCCACCACCGCAACAGAACCATCACAGACTGCACCGCCCACTCCCTCCAATACGACATCATTTCCGGTAATATCCGCCCCCTCTACGTCAGCTCCGACACGTGGTGCTCCTCTGGGGCATTGGACCCCAACGGCACCCTCATTCAGACCGGCGGGTACGGCTCGGGTATCCGAAAAATCCGCACAGTCGCCCCTTGCGACGACGGAAAATGCGAGTGGACCGAGCTCCCGGTCAACCTCGCCGACGGCCGCTGGTACGCCTCCACCCAAATCTTGCCCGACGGACTCGTCATCGTCGTCGGAGGGCGGAGAGCTTTCTCCTACGAGTTCTACCCCAAGACGGACGACGTGTCGTCCAAGAGATACTACCTCAGCTTCTTGGCAGAGACCACCGACCCTTACGAGGAGAATAATCTTTATCCCTTCTTGCATCTCTTGCCGGACGGCAGCCTCTTCATCTTCGCCAATAACCGGTCAATCTTGCTTGACTATAAACAGAACCGGGTCGTCAAGGAGTTACCGGTTATACCCGATGGCATCAAGCGGACCTACCCCAGCACCGGGTCCTCGGTGCTCCTCCCGCTAAAAATGAAAAGGTCTTTAGACGGGTCGGATAAACCCGAAGCCGAGGTACTGATATGCGGCGGGTCGCCGCCCGGTGCGTTTAACATGTCGAATTTGAACCGAGTCTTCGTCAGTGCCTCCAACAGCTGCGGTCGGATCAAGTTAACCGACCCGAATCCGAAATGGGTCATGGAGGAAATGCCCATGCCACGTGTCATGTCCGACATGCTTCTCCTTCCCACGGGCGACGTCATCATCCTCAACGGAGCGTCAAACGGAACGGCAGGGTGGGAAGACGCGGCGAACCCGGTCTTCAACCCGGTTTTGTACAAAACCTACGAGCCCGACCCGAATCTCAGATTCGTTGTGCTCAACCCGTCCAGCACTCCCAGAATGTATCACTCGTCCGCTTTGCTTTTGCCGGATGGCAGAATCCTAGTGGGCGGGAGCAACCCGCACGAGGTGTACAATTTCACGGCGAGACCCTTCCCAACCGACCTCAGCTTGGAGGCCTATCAGCCGCCGTACCTGGGCCCGCTCTTGGCCACATTGCGTCCTTCGATCTTGACCATCGAAGCGAGGGACAGCATCGTATCGTACGGTCAGATGTTTTCTGTTACGTTTATGTTATCCGTGTACCGGGCCGATCCCGGGATTTCAGTGGTCCTCATAACGCCGTCGTTTACGACTCACTCCTTCTCCATGAATCAGAGGATGGTGGTTTTGGACGTGGCGCGCTTGGAGAACTTGTCCGCGTTTGCTTACAAGATTGCTGCGTATGGCCCACCGAAGACCACGGTGGCCCCACCTGGATACTACATGCTTTTTCTTGTCCACGCTGGCACTCCCAGCCACGCTGTGTGGGTGAGGGTGCAGTAATTTGGATTTGGAGTTAGGACTTTAGGAATTCTTTGGGGTATAGATTACCAAATTTTGAATGAAATTTTTTAAAATTACTTTAATTTTATATGTTAAGAATTGTAATGATTACAGTAATGCTAATGAGAATGATGGTGGACGAGAGAAATGGAATCAGTTAAAGAATTATCGTGTGATTTGACTGAGAATTACTGTGGGATTTAATTACATTAATTATAAACAGTAATAATGTAGTCAGTTAAGAATTTTTTTGACCAGCTCAACGTTTTATCGCGTGACCAAACGAATTGATCTTCACATGCAGGTTTTTAATTGGTCAAGCAACAACTATGTACTGGAAAGCATTAAAACAGGGTTTATTTACCCCTGGGTAATTAGCAATCTGAACATTACCACCTTTTCTTTTTTTTACTTTCTTTTTTTACGAAGCAGTATTCTAAACTATTTTAATGTACGAAAAGATAAATCAAACTCGGGTGCAAGGGAGTAAGCTCACTGTCCTGACCAATTGGTTGGTCGAACGCACATATATACTTTTCTATTTTGTAGTCACCCCTTTTCTATTAATCCATCCTAGTTCTAGATGATTCAACTAGTCACCCCTTTTTGTAACTAGCCTAATATAGGAATTAAGAAGCAGAGGTTGGTTCTGGTTGCTTGCAACAAAAACACTGGTCATCTGCTGCAACAAAAACACTGGTCATCTGCAAATGGCACATCGCACATGATGCATTGCCAATCTGACAAAGATGAACCAATTTACTATTTTATATATATTATTACAGAGAACTGAGGATTACAAGATAAAAACTGTTCTTAGATCCCATTTCTGTGCAGGCCCTAATTGGCCCAAGATTAGATCTTCCTTGCACTGCAAGGCAATGAAGATGCAGCATTTACAGCCCAAGTAGTTGTCTGACAGGTTGAGAATATATCCCAAAACTCTGTTTTACTTTACTTATTTGGTCTTCCTGGTCCGTATTTGTATTTGGTGGCCCAGAAAAGGTAGTGTAAGAAATTTAATCCACTGAGAACACACATGAGCCAGTAGAATCTCTCAAGATGGTAATGGTTTAGGTTGCTTCCAGAGAGCCATTTGTGCTTGGAGTATTTGCCTGAAACATCGTTAACGACAGAAACAATCACTGAGCTAAGATAATACCCCATGGCCAAAGATGCCCAGGTAAGAGATGTGGCCAAAGATCTCATGCTTGTTGGTGCTTCTGTGAAGAAAAATTCCAACAGTCCAGCCAATGTGAAGAGGTCTGCAGACCCAAGGAACAAGTACTGAAGTGCAACCCAAAAGAATGTGATGGGCAATGGCTCTTTCGAGTCGAGTAGCCCCGAGTTGGAAGCAACTCGCTTTCGCTTAATCTCGACAAGAGCTGCTATTGCCATTGCAATGATGGACAGAGCTAAACCGATTCCGATTCGTTGCAAGTGAGTGATCCCCATTTCGGATTTTGTCGATTTTCTTGCAAATGGGATGATGAAGAAGTCATAGACTGGTGCTAGGATCATGATGAAGAGTACAGGGAAAACGGGGAGAGAAGCTGGTGGGACTTTCAAAGAACCAAGCTTGGTGTCCATGGTTGCAGCTTGCTGGACAGAGAATGTTGAGAGCTGAGCTAAGCAGCAATTGAGCATGATGGTGCAAGCGAATATGGGGAGGATTTTCAGCACAATTTTGACTTCTTCTACTTGTTGCAATGTGCATTCTAGTGCCTTATGTGCTGGGTTGTTCACCTGCACTGCTCTGTTTAGGAATTTGAGGCTTTGTGTTGGGGCTTGATCTTGATCATCAGCAGTGGAAGCCTCCTTCTCCGTGGCGTTTCCTTCTTGGATTGCTTTGCTGGTTGGGGTTGGAGAAGAAGGGGTTGGGGCCATGCTTGCAATGGCATTGCTTGGACTTTTGGTCATACAACTGTGAAGTGTTGCAGCAATCAAAACCTACAAAAACAACAACAACAAAATTAACAAGCAGAAGCTAAATTAGTTTACTTGGGAGTCAAGGATGATTGATTAGTTTTCTGGACATGATTGTCTATATGATGTGTATGAGATACAAAGTGCTTATGATTGAATTTGAAGAGCATTAGAATCTTAGAGGGGCTAAATTACTTGAAGAACAAAAATGATCTGCCATGGACATATATATTTGTCATCTTTGACTTACCTTCAAAATGTTGTCAGTGGACTTCCACAAGGTATCTTGTTCCTGTAAAGAGTGGAGCCAGCAAGAAAGACCGGTATAGACAACAATATGCTAATAGTTGCAATTCCAAAACCCCATTCCCATCCTTTGTTGTCCTCAATCCACACCACCAGCGTCACCGCAATTAGGCCTCCGCAAGCGAGGCAGAATACATAGTAGTTGAAGAAGGTTGATCTCTGCTTCCTTCCTTGTGGGGTGCTCTCATCGAATTGCTCAGCTCCATGTGAAGGTAAGGAGCCCTTTATCCCTCCAACACCCAATGCCACCAGATAGAGGCCTATGAACAGCAGGGCAGCCTTTCCACCTTCAACTTCTTGGCATGGATTATTGAGGCTGTCTGGACTGCATGTTGGTGGCCTCAGTGAAGGTAAGCGAGCTTGCACTGTGAGTATGATTAAACCCTGTAACAAATGTTTGATATTAAAATTGTTAACAATAAGTCATGTAAAATTTAAGCAGTCAACTTATGATAAATTGTGCAAAGGAAAAGTTTGGTTTTTTACTTGGTACTTAATTTGGGCTGACCCAGAATAGCCTCAAAAGTTGATCCAAACCAACATACATTGACATATGTTGTTGGGCCTTTGTCCCATCATCTAAAATATAGAACATGGAAAGCCATAAGATCCACAACTTTTGAACTTAGGTACTAGATAGCGGGTTTATTGTGCTAATCAACTGACCTAACTCACGTTTGGACAAAGGTTAATAGTTTTTAAGCTTCTGCTTCTATTCTATCTAACACTCAACAGTCAACACATAATCCAAAGGGCAAACACAGGAAGAGTCTAGCTAGTTTGGTTGGGCATCACAAAATTGGGTCCCCAAGCCACATGTTGATTCCCGATTCAAAGTTTGGACGCTATCGCATGAACAAAGACTTCTCATCAGAAATGTCACTACGCATGCAGAAATGTTCTTGGGGTCTTATTATCCTATATATCATAGTTGATGGCTCTAATTTGATGTACTTTAAAATATAAAAAAATCATTGCTCTATTTGCCTCTGGCCCTCTTATCAAAACTGTAGCCACACACGTGGTTCATGAACTTGGATGGGAAAAACCAAAACAAGGAAATTTAATGTAGATATGGATTTTTCAGCTACTATATATGCGATTGGTATACCAAAAATCACCTTAGTTTAGACGACACTACGACGTTTGGTACAACTATGTCTCCCAAAACTTGGATATACGTGGGTTAGATAGAAGATCAGGCAGGGAGGGAGGAGTGCGTACGTGGCAGAATTTGAGCCAGCTGGGGCACTCTTGGGTGATAATAGTAAGATCTTATCATGTACGGGTGGTCTAGCAAAGAGAAGGTTTGAAAGTGTTATCATGCGTGTCATAGCGTTATTAGTCGAAAATAGCAAAATAGTACATGTATTTTTCGAAAGGGAGAACGGAGAGGAGGACAAAGGTAGATGCATGCATTGCTGTCAAGCTGAAATTGAGGGATCGAAGTTTCACATTGTCATGGCATGACATGAGACAAAAACATAATTGACCTCCCCAAAATAAAAAGACAAACACTCTAATTGGCTCTACGTTGCATGAGTTGTATATGTGTGAAACACGATTTTGGCACAATTAAATGTTGAGTTGCTTTCAACACGAATTTGCATCCCATAACATAAAAATGTCCCAACCCAACAACACAAACAAAGTTTTGTGTTTTGGGGTTAAAGAAACAAAATCATATCAAGGCCTAAAAACCCACCTAATAATTTTAATCAGAAAAAAGAGAGAAGAAAAAAAAAGGGCAGTGGTTTTCTCTAGGCCAAAACTAGGACCAAATGCGTGCATTAAATATTACAATAGTTTTCAATCCCTGAGAGGCTGAGAGGGTTTTATGGCGTTTGCTTGCAACAGACTCTGATTTCTGACAGAAACATGATCCTGTTGCAATTTGCAAGCCACGTGTACTTGGATTCCCTCGAGAGAATCAACACCATTATTCTATATGATAAAGTATAAAGAATTGAAGAAATGCATAGGGATATTGAATTAAGGAGAAAGTTATATCATTATGTGCGCAACAGAGGCCAGATATATGTGTGCAGCCGCAGATTAATTAGTAACAGAAGAAAGCAACTAATTAACAAAAAGGAAACAGAAAGAAAGTTGCAAGCACAAGCGAACAAAATACTGAGAGAGAGAGAGGAGAGAGAGAGAGAGAGAGAGAGAAGGGGGGGAGAGACTGGAGGTGTACGTATAATTACCAGAAATTCAGTAACTGCACTTATCAAGTAGATGTGATAAGTTGTGAAAAAAGCATCGGATAAGAAACCACCAAGAAGGGCCAGAAGGAAGGCTGTGCCCATGAAGTCTGTGACATTGTTGGCCGCTTTGGATGGAGATAAATGCATATACTGTGATAAGTAAAGCACCAAATTGCTTGCATTTGCCAGATATGCCAAGTTCTCCAATATCTCCGCCACTGCATATAAAAACATGCACAACACAATTCATTACATAAAGTCTAAAACTTTTGTATTGAGAAACAGAATATAATCAATCATTTCAAAAACCCAATTCTTGTTTTTTCTGTTTTGAGGAATGAATTGAGAGATATGGGTACAAACCCAAGACGAAGGAGGCGGCAAGCGTGCCACCATGGCGGCCTCTGATTGCAGCTCTGTTCCTCCAGTCAACATAGCCTTCCCATCTGGTGCTCAGCTGCTGTTCTTGTTCCTACAGGACCAAAAGTCATGAGGCTTAGAAGGTGGTTCCAATAAAGGAACTCAGCATGAAAGGAAAAGTGTGAGGGATGAAAGAAAAGGAGAAAAAGAAAGAGAGAGAGAGAGAGAGAGAGGAGAGAGAGAGAGAGAGAGAGAGGAACCCACCATTTTCTCTGCCTCCTTTTTTTCCCCACTTGGGTTCTAATTAATTTGGATCCTTTGGTGGCAGAGGATTTTGATTAGAAATAAAGAGTGATGACTGGTGGGAGATTTAAAGAGTGGGGGAGGATATGAGAAAGGCTCCAACTTGGGGAGAGAGAAACCTTTAGAAAATGACTTCATTTGATCCCTTTTGAAATCTCTCCCCCATGTTACTACAGAGAATAAGCTAATTACTTTCCAACACCAAATATACATCCAATTTGGCAATAGAAATAAAGGGTAGGTTCTTAACTTTGAAACTGCTTTGGTTGAGATAGGGAAGCATCAAATCATCTTGACCTAAAAAGAAAAGAAATAGGCAAAATAAATGTAAAGGTGTAGGTGCCTCACCTTCCTAATTATGGTACATAAGCCCTTCACAGATTGGGGATGTTAAAAGGGAGGGGGGAGGGGGGGTCTATATAAATCTTAAAGTTTGCTGATCCTCTCCCCACTGTTACTAGCTCTTTTAATTTATGACTAATTAAAGAAGAAAAAAAGAACATATTCTTTCATCTTTTAATCTTTGACACAAGCATAACAATCAAATTACTTAAATAAATAGATCCCCTGGCAGAATGGAAATCCAAGTTGCATGCCAGATTGATGACCACAAAACTATTGGATATTTTTGGATTAAACTAATACTGATGGAGGATTTTAAAGTTAGTCAAATTTTAGCTTTCTAAGATCATACCTGATACCCACCACCATCACCAAAACTCATGACTCACCACTCTTACCCCTCTGCTAGTGCTACGACCGCGGACTTATTTGTCTTGATGCTAATACAAAACTCCGAAAATTATGCATATATTACCTACATATTCAAAGATACGCTTTCTTTCAACCAATACTACTTACCGAACTCGATAAGCGTGAAATTTTATCACAAAATATCTCGGTACTGTTAATAATGAAACTACTCATATATATTATATTATATTATATTTGTCAAATTTTATGATATGAAACTTTACATTCTTCAATAATGCATATGAAATGAGAGCAGACGCAGAGTGTTGTGCTTGTGGTATGTATTTTGACTGTTTGACTTGTGAGGCTGTGAGTTTGTGACTCTACCACGACACTAAGCTTCCACTGTTCAGTGTTATGGTGGACTAAGTCTGCTTGGATTAGTGTTAGAGCAAACACGTATTAATAATATTGATTTAGGTTGTCTCTATAACTTGCTACTGACCGATTCTTCCTACATATCACAATAGATAAATAGATGTACGTTAACTTCAAGTTACATGTCTCTTCAATTAATAATTGCATGACAATTTCTGTCGAGTGACGAAGGGTAAAACGAGAGTAATTTTCGTTGTTTTTTTTTAATAGCATTTCATTTTCAATCTCAATATAATTCGTGGGAACTTAAAACACTAATAATAGATAAGAATCCGATTTTTGTATGTTTTTTTTACAATGGGATATTCTAAATTACTATATAATCTCCAGGAAGATGAATTTAAAATTCAAGTGTAAAGAGTCAGACATACTAACTTGACCAACTGACATAATAGTTAAAATTAACAAACAGAAATTAGGTTTAAACACATGCGTGGTGAAAAACATTGCATGTGATATGTGTAGTGTAGTTGCATATGCGGCTCGTGCTGTTTTATTAACTTGTTTCTTTTCCCAAACATGCAAAGTTTGCAAAACTGAAAGAGACAAGCAAGTGGTAAATTAATTAGCAGAAGCAACACGGGATTTCCCTTGTTCCAGAGTTTTTGATGGCTATAATTTTCAACCTGTGGCCTCTCAGAAATCATGATAAGCTAGCTGTCCTCTAATTGTGACAGAAGGTCACTGTTCAACAAAGACAATTTCGATCAATATCAATTCAAAGGGCCGTTTGGATATATGATTCTGGGAGCTAAGTTGGATCTGCTACTGCACTTAATGAATTTATCTAGAAGAAGCAGATAAAAGCAATGTTTATTCTCCAGGCATATATTCTGTATATCACCAATTTAATATCTTTATTTTTTTAAAAAAATTCTATGAATATTAATTGAAATATATCATATCTTTAGGTAAATATATATCACGATGTGTCCCCACACTCGAATAATGAGATTAATCTTTGCTCGAGATTCGACTTTACCCAAAAAAAATAAAAATATATCATATCTTTGAAAGGAAGGAAAGTATGTGAAGGGGAAATGATATCAACATTACTTTAATGAAATGGATAAGGAGATATGCTTAATGTGTGAGGCCAAGCCAAGCCAAGGATTTGAAAATAAATCAACTCCACTGTTAAGCTGCGATCAATCTTTGACTGCAAATGTGGCCGCATTGCAAACTACAAGAAGGTCCAAAATTAGTTTTTCAGTTAGATAGTAACTTCGTATTGCAACGTGGAAGCTATATATTATCGACACCAGATCATCTATGTAACATCCTTGTTTCTAACCTAACTCATCTGGACATGTTCGATGAGAATTCAAGCTCTTGCTTTAAGTAAATGAGAGAAGCATGCATTAAATAAGGCTACGAATAATTAGGTAAATAGAAGACAGCGACCCAATCAAAGTCTACTCTTTTCTTGTAACCAAAAAAAGTCTACGTATCCTTTTCTCCCTTGGCTCTGTTCTTTCGATATGATACATGAAATTTTTGAGATATTTTTAAGTATAAGTGCAAATAGTGATGTTAATTTACATATTATAATACGGGTAAACGGCATCGTGATATATCAAGAACTTATAATGTAATGTTAACTAATAATTATACAAAAATTAATATGCAAGAGTTGATAACATCACATGATAGCATACGACAGTCAAACTGAAAAATTACTAGCAAATTTGCAGTATGTTTTTTTTTTCTCTGGGCTGTATGGTTGAATTCTTTTTCAGCAGATCCACGTGCGAAGTGTGAACTGTGATCTGTGAACCCCCAATAGTCCGGCGCATACATTGCTCCTAGTCATTTTGCCTATTTAGTCTAAGCCCCGGGGCCTAGGGCTCTCCATATATTGGACGAAAGAATATAAAATATAATAAATTAAGCAATATTTATTCTTTTACGACTTCAACTTTAAAACCCTTATTCCACCAACTGCTACTAGATACAAAACCAGTTGTGTATGTATATAATATATAGACAAAGTATGAAACCGCAGAATTATGAAATTTTCAACTAGTAGGTTAGCTAAAATTATTACTTTAAAATGTAATGAATTTTTATTTATTTTCAGTTTCTGTAGTCTTTTTAGAAATAAAAGTATACATTAAGTCATATAAATCACACTAATTCATAACTTCATTGACTAATTCTTAATATGCTTTTATTCTTTGAAGATCCAATTATAAATGATATGGATAAAGACATTTTAAATTGTAATGACAAGTCTAATTACAGTAATGTTGATATGGTTGATCGAGAATACACAAGAAAGGTACTTCGAATTGTTGATTCATCGCCAGAGATGGCTTAGAACCAATAGTTCATTGTCTAATGGATTTTTCCGTTCTAATACTCCATCCAAACAAGCGATATTTGTGGATAGAGAAATCGAATCTAGGACCTTGAATGCATGGCTAAATGCTAATTTCCAATAAAGTTTAACATAAAACAAATACATATTAATGAAATCAAAAAGCACATATTATAAAATGAAAAATATGTCCGACAACATAATTGAAAGTGTAGCTATTTTAATGTGTATATTTATTGATGTCTTGCAATTATAACTCATAAAGAATTGGATTTTTTTTGGACTAGTAATAGGTTAATATATATTGGGCAAGGTATGAAAGTATCACTTAACACTGGAGTGAAATTGTATTTGCTCTTGTAATATTACACATATAGAACTTTCTCTCGGATTTCTCGGTTCTCACTAAATTGTTTGACTATGAGTTTCTCACTTGGAATTGTATGTACTCTTGTAGTAAAACATACAGAACTCTCTCTGGGATCACAATATGCTGGTTTGATGGCGCAACAAGGAAATGACAATTTCTTCGAGGATAAATTCAGAACACTCCACCTGAAAAAAACAAAAAAAAAGCAAAAAAAAAAAAAAAAAAAAAAAAACAAAACAGAAACGAATGTTGTTTCAAATACATGAAAGATAACCAACCAAAGCTTGATAGAATCTGTCATATATTCTTCTTGTGTATTTATGTGGTTCAAAATCAAATCCACATAGAATTCCAAAAATACTGTTTAAATCCCCTGGAAATTATAAGCGAAACAGTTGTACATGCATGATCGTTCTCATCAATTGTAGCTAGCCTGATATTTCAGATTCTTATTCCCCATGGCATGACAGGAATGGTAGAATATGTTTTCTGCAGGCTTGGCATCTTGGTGTACTCTCGAGCAATGCTCGGAGGACATTATTTCTCAAGCTTCCACTGTTTACAATATGAGGTCAGCTGGAATTTATCTAGTTATAAAGAGATTTCTGTTCATGATTGAATGAACTGACTTACTTTGGCATCTTAATTAATAAAACCTTTGCAAAGCAAGATGCCTAAACTAGCTACAACATGCAATTGGTACTTTGCTTTTTTGTTTTTGTTTAATAAAAATATGAACTATTAATCGGTGTCATCATTTCTCTATTTCTTAATTATCCGTAAAAATATGGGATGGATATGATAGAAGAAGAGATTTTGAGTTAAGAGATTAAGTCAACACATTCATGTAAGGGAAAAAGAACAAAAACATTTCTTCATCTAGAACATCTTTCCGTCCTTCTGAAAAAGAAGGCGGCGTACACTATAGACTTTTTTTTTATCTTCCCAAAATTGATTAGGTATTAGCAGTCACGTATGCTTACATTAATTAACACAAGATATGCTTATAGTCAATTTCAAGAGAGGACTTTAGATGGTGTAGTTTTCTTTTTGAAGATACTGTGCAACTTGCTTGGACACTAATAAACAAGTGGTAACAACCACTTGCTTTTCTATGAACATACGTCTCGCTTACTCATTTTCTGGGCAATCTAGTGCGACATTTCAAAGGGTTTAAAATCTATTAATTCGAATTTGGAGGTTGATATCCAAGAAACTAAAACTCTTCTATGCATCAAAACTAACCATCGTATTGGTAGGGACGTCCTTCCATTACGTACTCATCACATTTATTCCCGCATTTTAAATGACCAAACAATTTTTACTACTAGTATGTTACAAAGAGTGCATGGCTAAGCGTTTACTCTTTTGCAACACATGACCTGGTGAAAATAAACGTTATATTTGAATAATGAGACTAGAAGAGTTTATTCAAATATAACGTTCCTTTTCACCAGGTCATGTGTGCTGTAAAAGAGTAAATGCTTAGCCAATTTGTAATATAATAGTTTTTTTTTGTTGTCATAATCAGTTGTAATATACTATTTTTCTCATCCAATCATTTGATTATTTTCACACATTGAATTACGTAACCTTTTATTTATTAGTTAGAAGGTCTTACTTTGACTCTCCACAAATATAACAGCCGACAGCTGATCATATCCGAGTCGAAGATTATTGCTTGCCTATCATTGACCTTGGAGATTTATTATTAACAACGAAGGTCAGGGCTTGAAAATATTAGATGGTTATGTAAGGATTAGATAAAGCACTTCAATTGAAATTAGGGTGAGGTATTGAGTTGACCCTCTTTAAAAAAGTGGTTAGAAGGCTTAATCTTGCATCCTAATTAATTAAAAACTCCTGCCAGAATTGCATTTGGTCAATTGGTTCTGAACTTGTGTCAAATTATTCTGCACTGCCGCAAGATCAATAAAGCCAATGAGAACAGAATTTTCCCAACCCATAACCTTTCCAGCACTCCGTTTTAGTCAAGTTCTAAAGACCACTCACTCAGCACCTAATTAAGCAACCCATGATTGCATTTTTAATTTAATTTAATTATAAATAAAATAAAATAAAAAGTGGACCAACCCGAACATAGACTTGGCCGGAAAGGTTGTTTACAATAAATAAATATAAAAAAAGCGAGGATGCCATGCCTGATTTTTCAAAGGACGTGTAGATTTTTTCTGCGAAATGTCTCTTTCTATATTCATAGACTGGTCACAGTGGAAGGACCATTTCAGTGTGACTGGTTATTTCGGTTTTACAAGTAATTTCCATTTGAATTTTTATCAGATTAATTGAACCTGTCTTGTATAAGTGATTGTGAATAAAGATTTTGGTTGGTTTCTAACATACTCTTGCAAGTTCATTCCCTCTATAAATATAAAATGAAACTTGTTTGATGAATGGTAAAAACAAAAAAAAGAAAGTCAGAATTCTTGGGATGAAAAAAATACTGGCCTAGAGAACTGAGTTGGGATGATGATCTGGGTTGTGTGGGCTAAGATCTGAGGGTGGAGAAGGACTTTAAAACTTTTGAAGTGGGCTTGGCTGGGCTGCAGCTAATAGCCCATTAATTAGATATAAGCAGATATGAAGTCCAATATCAATATCAGAGCTCTAGACAGAGAAAGGAAGAAAAAGTTGGTGAAAGTAAGTGCTTTATTGATCATTTTCAAAGAAGTATGCAACAAATAAAAATTGCAAATGATATCAGAGAACAAAGAATAAATAATCAGCTTTCTGTTTCTTCTTCTTTCTAGCTGGCCAAGTTTAAGAGACAACAATCAGGACTTGAACTGTGAACAGACCCATGAATTGATGAGCATTTTACTCACCAATAACCTTTGCAAGAGCACTCCCCATCCTGAAAATGGTGAAACCTATTCCTGTCTCTTACAATAATTTCTCTGTTAAAAAGTTTAGATATCATTTTGGTCACATCATGGCAATCCCAACAGACCCTGAGGTTCTTCACAATCCTAATCGGCACGCCTTCTTTTAAACTGATCAAACCGAAAGCAATCGCAACCTTCTCACTATGTTTACACAATGCATCCTCTTTCTCTTCTTCTTCTATATCAAACAGCACAGGATTGGTGTTAGCCACATAACCTGCTAATTTCAGCCGCCTAGAGATTTCTCCCAACATTGCCTCAATTTCATCATACCTAGGATGTGACTTGTCTCCTACTAAGAACTCATGAACTTCACCATCAACCTCTAAGACACTGCAACCAGGAAGCTTCCTCACACCTTTAGCCTTCATTGTCCGCCGCACATTACTAACTCCATCCCATAGCTTGGAATCAGCATATATATTGGACAAAAGCACATAAGCACCATGATTCTTGGCCTCTAGTTCGACTATCTTTCTCGAGGCAAGCTCACCTATTTCCATATTCTTGTACATTCTACTAGCGTTAAGCAAAGCCCCCCAAGCACCCGCATGAGGCTTCATTGGCATGCTGTTTATGAAGTTCAGGGCTTCATCTAAACGCCCAGCTCGGCCGTATAAATCAACAATGCACCCGTAGTGCTCTAGCTGAGGTTCAATCCCATACAATTTCTTCATTGAGTCGAAATGTTGACGACCTTCCTCAACCAGTCCAACAACAGTGCAGCCCCTTAGAACTGAAACAAACGTAACTTCATTTGGATGAACCCCTTCTTTGTTCATAAAGGAGAAAAGCTCAAGACACTTCTCACCAAATCCATTCATAGCTAGGCCCCCCAGTGCACTACTCCAAGTATACACATTCTTTTCTTTCATCCCCAAAAACACTTCCATGGCCTTATTCATGTTCCCACATTTTGCATACATGTCAATGAGTGCAGTCCCCAAAGTCACCGTCATCCGTAGCTTGTTTCTCTCTATATATGCATGAGCCCATCTCCCTTGATCCAATGCCCCCAAATGGGAACAGGCGGATAAGACCGAAACCATAGACACCTCATTGACCCTCACACCCTCCATTTGCATCAAATGAAACAAATTCAAGGCTTCCCTAGACTTCCCACATTGCGAATACCCTGCAATCATCGCATTCCAAGCAATAGGGTCCCTTTGAGGCATTTCATCGAACAGCTCCCTTGCAAAACCAACATCACCACATCTGGCACAGGCGCTCACCATAGCAGTCTGGCATACCAAATCAGGCTCAACAATTTCTCCAAACACTCTATGACACGAATGTAAGCAACCCAATTCAGCATACATGAAAATTAACCCGCTTTGAACATGGGGGTCATTCTCAAACCCACGTTTAGTCAATGCAGCATGGACCGAAGGACCAGTCTCACGTGCCAAAAGCTGCGCACAAGTGCGAACCAAGAAGTTGAAGGTGTAGTTATCAGGTAAAAAATTGTCCCTGGATTGGAGAATTCTGCTGTAAAAGTGAAAGCTTTTAGATGGCGTGGAGCTTTTAGAATAGGCTCTGATCATGGAGTTGAAGGTGAAGAGGGTTGGGTTTTCGCATTGGTCCAGGACTTTGTTGGAATAACCTAAATTGCTGGGGTTTCTGATGGCTATGGTAGCAACAAATTGGCCAGAAAGGTGAGGGTCGTTGAAAAGACCGTTAACGAGCAGTTGGGAGTGGATTTGTTTGAGCTCTTTGAGGGTAGTGCATGAGTCTACGAGTGAAATGGTTGGGTGCTTTGCAATGCATCTTAGGGAGCTCATGTCTTAGCAAATCATTAGTGTCATGTTCCAATAACTTCTAGTCTAATAATATACCAATGTCACAACAAAAACATTTGACAGAATGAGAAAAGTGCCAATTTTTATATATTAAAAAGAAAAGTCGATCACTTTAGCATTATTGCTATGTGAATTGTGAAAGAACTTTACATTGCATGTTTATGTGATAGACTTCAAGTGCCCTTTGGAAAACAAATCTCCAATCTCAATTTTAACACCCTTTCGGTTATTCTCTTGCACAATGCCATCAACATTTACAAACTCAAATGGCCTTGACTCATATAGCAGGGGGTTGACCGTGCCCAAGGCGAGTCGTGTTCAACTGTCCGACGCTCTCCCATTCTCCAGCTTAGTGAAGTGTCCGTGTAACATAGTGCTTAACTGGGAATGACAAAGTTGGGCATGCACCTACATGCTACTTTGCTCTAGGAACCAGTTGGCAGGAAAAAGAAAGATTTGACCTTTTACATGCAACTGCAACACCAAAACACATAAGCTCATTGTATAACATGACTTTTATGAATATGACAACATTTTGAGTGTTCAAAAAAGTATTTGGCTGTTGGGAAAATTTTGCATCAGGACTTGCTAGGTAGCTAGCAGCAATGCATGTGGCAGGCAACAGAGAAAAAGGTACGCCTCAAGCTAGCAACCAATAAAATAAAGTTAAAAGTAGACCAAGGCCAATGCTATATTCATATTCCTCAATGCATGCATATTAATATTAATCCTTAATAAGAAATAGTTTTTTTTCTTTTTAATTTATTGGCAATGGTGCACTAAGCGAGGATATGGATCCAGCTTGCTACAAAAGCACTGGTAAAGAGAGAATCCTGGGGCCAGCTTAACTGTTATATCCACATTAAGGACAAAAGCGTCGTCGTTGATGCCACAGAGACAGACCATTATTGTGCTGATCCGAATCCTCCCAATTGTGAGTGCATATGTTGCTGCTAGGCTAGCTATGTACTTCTATGTTTGTAGATCGCCCATATACATTGGATTTACTTCTTCTGTTTTATATCAGTTGCCAAATTACGTAAAGAGAAAGCAAAGAATAATCAACCAGGCATGATTTGCAGGTCCTAATTGGTCATAATTCTTAATTGTCTGCAAATTAGTCATGCATGGTAAGCCAGAGTGTGCTGAACGATGAATTGAAAAAAGTACACTGTGATGCCGTAAGTTCTTTGCATGCTGTATTTAGCGGCTATATGTTGCTTGTTGGCATAAATTAGGTTGTGCTAATTTTGGTCCAAAAATATGGTTATGTCATAACCATGCTTGATGTGATATAATTGATAAGGACGTGCCCAAAAGAGCCCAATTTCTTCTAATTAGCCAACTTATAAGTTTTAATATGAAAGTATGAGAGCAGAACTTGTAAGCTACTTGTAAGAGTCCGATCAAAGAAGCCATGCCATGCTAAGATGTCAACCATATGCTATGAAAAGTAGAAATGAAGCAAACCCTTGACATTGAGTTTGAGTGGCCAAAATTCAATTTCAAACCGTATGGCATTAGCATCCGCTAGCTAGCAGCCTTGACTTTTTACACACTCAACCGCTCGCTATCAGCGTGTGCTGCAACCTCTGTTGAAATTTTAATACTATCTCCATCCTCATCCTTCACAACTTGCAACCTACCTGCCTGCCAGTGCCACGGTTTCAAGTCACAAGCATATTTTATATTGTATCTAAGATTGAATTTGCTAGACTCGTGGCCAGTGCATAACTTAAATTCATAACCATGCCCCTAAAGACTTCCTGTTCTGGTCAAATTGGTAGGCTAAAATGTATCAATGGTTCCTCAACAAAAACTCCACTTTACTTTTTATCCCTCAACTTTAAAAAATTATTATAATCATCCCTTAATTTTTGGAATTGAAAGACGAAATATAAAGTCGAATCTTAATTGACGGATCATTGCTACATTTTAACTTAGAATAATATTTACCCTACAGTGTTACAGTTACTAGCAAAAGCAGCAAGATTCAAGAGTTGCTCTGCGAATTCAGTTTTTTTTCCTCTTTAACAAAGAAAATAGACAACAAAATGGGCAAGTTGCAAAGTGAACAAGGAGTTTGAAAAATCTTGGAAGAGCCCCATCAAACTCTTGTTCGAGTGGAGTTGCAGAGTGAGGTGAGAAAGTGATAAGCTATTGGTTCAAATCTTGTCAGTTTAAAGAAAGAAAAATCTTGGATGACATTAATGACATGGCTCTCATGGCCAAATGTTTAAGCTTAAAGCCGACTTGTTAAAAATTTTCTAAAAGTCGACCGAAATATTTGACTGAGCAAACAAAATAGTCGTAAGCACATATATATTATTATATAAAAATTGGAAATATGAAACCAATAAATAAGAAAGAGCCGATTTTGAAAAACGCGGCGGCTGGGTGAGGTTGCGCCGGTGGAGCCAACGGAGAGGGAGAGTGGTAGGTCAGAAGTCAGTCAGCCTAGAAAAGTAAATAAGAGTGGTAGGGCCATATGGGCTATAGGGGCCATAGGGGCCATGACCCTTCTGATCTCTCGCTCGTCATCCATGTAGACTGTTTTTTGCGGTATCTCCTGTCCATTTACCAAACTGTCCTCCTCCTTATTTTTCTTCAATATTAAGGATTTTGTGTTTTTCAGAGGTTCATCTATCTCTTCTTATTCTTGAATTTATCTCTTTTAATAGCTTCACTGCTCTAACAGGGTAATCATATAATGTGGTACATGTTTGAGTAATGCTTGCCTTTTAATTGGAAGATTTCTTGAATAATGTTTACGCTGCTCGTTTACAAGTTGGCTACTTGACTCTTTATGCATTAATGGTCGAAAGTTACCTACTAACTTGTGGACGACTAAATCTTACAAAACTTTAAACTTTTATACTAAATATATGTAGAAGACTAGAAATTTATAATCAACTTGGTCTACATTAGCTTGGTATGCATTTTGGGCAAATTCCTTAATAACTTAAGTTTATTGGGCATAATCTAACATGGTATTAGAGTTTTGGTTCCATAATTTTTAAATTTGAATTCCTTATATGATTGAACATGAGTTGAACATGAAGAAGAGTGTTAACTTGATATACATTATTGTGTGTATGTGAGTGACGATTTTAACTTGACATACATTGTAGGTTCATTTCTTGACATTCTATTTGGATATAACGAACATAGTAAAGATAGGAAAAAGATTGAACTATTTTGCATAACCCTCTTGATCATCTTAAGTTATGAAAATGTCATAAACCAATACTTTTGCATGCATCAAGCAGTAACTTCCCCTCCCAATGCTTTGAAAATGAGATGGAGACATTGACCCGCTGTTGAGCAATATCAATCAACCATGAGCATTGAGCACCAGTATTTATATATATATATATATAAATAAGCTTTGGTCATTTATTCAAACAGACAGTTCAGATGTCTTTGAACCCAAAACTTCATTTTCTTAGTGGGAATCCGATTAAGTCACAAGTTTAACTACCAGATCTTTTTACAAAACTTACGATTATTAATGATTAGCTTGGAACAAGATTTCCCTTTAGAGAGAGACCTTGGAATTCAAACATTTAGTTTTGTTAATTTGGAGAAAAGAAAAAAAGGAACCTATTATTTTCTAGTAACACAAGCAACAGGTTGGATAAGAAGAGAAAACAGATGGGGCACTTTAGTCATTTACCCAACCTGTCAACTCTCTCCCAGAAAAGAAAGCCTCCTGTCTCTTCACCAAGCTCCTTATAACCCCACCAAGCTCTAGCCCCAAGGGAAGAATCTCTCTTTCTCTCTCCCAATGTTTTAAAATTTCTGGCCTTCACAAGTTCCCAACCATAGAAGCAAAAGCTGTAGCCAAGAGGTGAAAAAAAAAATCCCACAGTAGCAAAAGCTTCTCCTACCAGCTTCTTCATCTTCATCTTCATCTTCATCGTCTTCATAGAAACCCAAGATGTCACCGTTCTCTGCTTGATTGTCTGTTTCTTCATCTGAAGCCGTTTGCTTCCACTACTTGTTCTCAGTCACTGAGTGATGGGTGTGAGCTCTACTCTCTCTCAGACTTTCCACATTACAGTAATTCTCACAAGAAGCTCTTTTTGCCGTAATCCTTAGATTGAAGCCAACACATGTCCCCCTGGGAATTCAATCTCACACAACATTGATAAATACATAAAACACATAAATATATGGCGGGTGGGAAACTCTACAGTGCTTCAGACATGAATGTTATTTTTCAAAACGAAAAGCTCCCTTGCTCTTCTGACGTTCTTGAGTCTATTTGGGTTCCCACTTCTTCCTCCTCTTTTCATGGTAATTTTATATCTGCTTTGCATTTTTTACCTTGTTGGTTCTCGGGCCTTAGAGCTAGCTAGCTATTGTCCATCTGTTTGATGCTTTTATTCTTGTTGGGATTGTTGCCTTTCTTTTCATTTTTCATTTTTTCCTTTTCCATTCCCTTTCTCAGCTATTCAAACTAATGGGTTTTCTCGTTTGACTTTGGTTATATTTCGTTGCTCTTAGATTGATCACTGTAAAGCTTGAAACTTTCACACATCCCATTTTGAATTATGTTACTTAATGCGCAAAATTCGAATTTTGGCAGAACTTTCTTATTACTTGACAAAAATTGTGGATCTTTGACATTCTTTCGACTATTTGTTACCTGTTTCGGTTGATCAACAGGGTAAATCTGCTTGACCAACATGTTAAAGTTGGAAAGTTTGAAGCTTTCTGCATGCTAAGATTGAAAGTCTGTAGCTTTTTGCATGCTAAGTAGAAAGTTTGAAGCTTTTTGCATAAACTCTCACAATATTCTATTGCATTTCTTTAAGATTTTTTTGGTTTGTAACTGTTTTTTTGGTCTGGAATGAATTCATCTTGTAGTTGCTAATTTCAGTTCCTCTCTGTAAACAAAATGGGTATACTTTCATCAATAGAAGAAAGATAGATAGAGAAAACCCCACCGAATACACTTGTCTGAAATTTACACTGTTGAGTTCTTGAAAAAGGTGTGGCCATCTAAAATTTGGGTGATCCTTGTTTTTGTTCCAGGTTCAAATTCAGTGGTTAATTTTGAAAGTGCAAGTGGAGAAGACTCCTTGGATAGGTCATTCTTCCGACCGATTGATAAAGAAAATGGAGATGACGATTATGATGCAAGCCTTAATCAACCAGGAAAGAAAAGGCGGCTTACGGTGGATCAAGTTCAGTTTCTGGAGAAGAACTTTGAGGTAGAAAACAAGCTTGAACCAGAGAGGAAGGCCCAACTTGCAAAAGAACTTAGCTTGCAGCCTCGCCAAGTTGCAATTTGGTTTCAAAACCGGCGGGCGAGGTTTAAGAACAAACAGCTGGAGAAGGAGTATGACTCATTGAAAGCTAGCTTTGACAAGCTCAAGGCTGATCATGACAATCTCCTCAAGGAGAACGGAAGTTTGAAGAATGAGGTAAATAAGTTCAATATGATCAGCATGCCTCATTTGAGTAATTTGTTAACTCTTTTGACTGAGAAAATAGTAAATGGTTTAATTTTCCCTTTGTGTGAACAGATTGATTCCCTCAAGGACATGTTGATTTTGAAAGATAAAGGAAAGCCTGGAAAAAGAAATTTGGAGTTACATGATGCAAACAATATTATTTCATCCGATGTAAAGCCCCAAAGTGCAACTCCAAATGCAGCTTCTGATAATGTGCCAATGGTGGTATGCAAGCAAGAGGATGCAAGTTCTGCCAAAAGTGATGTTTTTGACTCAGATAGCCCACATTGCACTGAAAACCATTCTTCGTTGTTAGAGCCTGCTGATTCTTCTCATGTCTTTGAACCAGCTGAACAGTCGGATTTCTCACAAGATGAAGATGATGATCTCAGCAAGACCCTTTTGCCCCCACCTTACTTCTTAAAACTTGAAGATAGCTGCTATGATGAGCCGCCTGCAAGTTCTAGTAATTTTGTGTTCCCAATGGAAGATCAGCAGCCCTTTTGTTTCTGGCCTTACTGAGAGAGAGATTATCATGTTTCACGTTGACAGACTGCTATATTTCTCTCTGATGAAATGTGAAGTTCTCAGTTGTAATTATGGTTAAGTTAACTAGCAATAAATCCAATTATTTCGCCCGTTCACATATGTTATGTTTTATGTTTTGATTTGCCGGGTTTATGAGACGACATAGGTTTTTTGGCTACGAGCCAAAGACTATCCACGCAAGAGATGAGAACTTGTGGGATTTGAGGGCAAGTAAGAAAGAAGAAAAAACAGAAGTTGATAAGCTTTGTTCCCTTCATAAATGCATTAGAAGTTGTGGGGATTTGAGTGCCTTTTTTATTTATTTATTAATTATTATTTATATATAAAAAAACTGAAGATTTGAGTGCATTTTATTAAGTAACGTATCTTAATGCATATTCTGGAAATCTGATGTTGCTGCATTTGATAATCTGTGTTTTAAATTGATCCTTCTGCAATAAGATACACAGGCTCCCAATACTGTTAATTTGTTATAATAATAATAATCAAACTGCAGTGAAAAAGCAATCTTGGCAGATAGTAATACAGAATATATTTGCTGAGAGAGAGAGAGAGAGAGAGAGAGAGAGAGAGAGAGAGATCATTAACATAATGTTTTTGCTCTGTTAATTAATGTGTTGAATGTTACATCTTTGTGAAGTAACGTCCAAGACAAGTATATTTTAATAGCAGCGTGACAAGCTGAGTTTGAATCCGAACACAGAGAAGTATATGAAAAAGATGGTTAAAGTATACACAATACATAAAAGAAAGAAAAGAAAAAGTCAAATTTTTGGGTATGGTTTCATCTTCAAGTGACAATCACTCGGGTGTGATTGGCAATGACTTTTCGACACCACCCCCCTCCTCCCCTAAAATCCCGATAGCTTATTGGGGATGTTGACACCTTGGTTACGTTAAAGCTTTAAATATCTCAATACTTATATGCAATTTTTTTTTATTTTCCTAAACCAAAGTTTGTTTTTTCCTGCAGATTGCTTCTGTTACAGAAAATCTTGCTGATGCAAGTTTGGATTTCCCAAGAAATTGTGCCCTCGAAAATGTAAACACACTCTTATGATATGAGTGTGTATTATAATAGCATGAGATGGGGCTCTGTTTTTATATTTAATTGTTTTGGTGGAATATGGATTGCATCATGCATGGCCCATTGGCAAATATAAAATTGGAGCAAACCTTCTGAGAGATGAAGTCTTACTGGTTTGTCTCACTTCACGTGGAAAAGAGAACCTTTGCTTTGATGTGAAAATTTAAATTTCAACTTTATTCGGTGGAAGGGAAAGAAACTGTTAACATAGATTTGACCCCAGAGTAGAAATTCTTCATTTTTGACTGAAATATGCTTCAATTTCAATTTTCAACCGTGTTTTTATGTGGTTATTTGTCTACGTGATGCTTATTAAAATTGATCCCAGCTAAGCTGCGTCATCAACTTGGGAAGGCGGGCGTAGAAATTACAGAGATTGAGCTAAAAAGATGCTGCCACCAAAGTTGAACTCTCTTTGTGGCCAAACCGAAAAAAAAAAGTCTTGCTAGCAAATTGGGTTTCAAGACTTTTAAGAGTGCAAAAGTTGCACTGCATGCGCTTGATTCTTGTTGCAGGGTCCAGTAGCAATTCCAAGTTAAGGCACACATGTAGGAGTATTTGAAGACATGCTCTAATAATTGGGGATACACAAATTTCGTCTGTAGAAGGGTTCGGAACAGCTTTTCTTTTTCTTCTTGAAGTGAAATTTTTATTTATAATTTGAGTTTGTGATTATAGTCGTTAGATCGAGAGATAACGGGTTGGTCATGCGCTCATGTTTCTACCAATTTTGTCACGACCAACATTCCCAATCACAAAAAGGAGATAAAAAGGCATAATTCAGTCAAGCAACACCACACGTCCATCCATATGTTCCGTGTGCGATGTTAAAACTTAGGCTTGTGCTTCACATCTTTCAATGGCTTGAGCAAACCAACAAGTAAAGCCCAAGTCCATAGTTGGCAAGTTATGCCACGTGGGGACAGCGTCTGGCCACATAAACTCTAGATATTTCCTCCCAAACCACACAGTACTGACGATTTCAAAAATCCCATTCCATTTCTGAAACAGACAATCACATTCGTCCGGAACCATCGGAAGTGGCTTGAACATCCACCACATACGTGTCAGTATCCAAGCATGCCACCACACCGCAGGAGCATGCACAGGGATGGCTTTTTAATGGGCCGGGCCCACATGTGGGCCGTATATACAGATATGCATGCAACGTGGCGATAATCCCGTGGTGGGTCTGAAATCAGAGCTTGGAAAGGGCTGGGCCCCACTGCAGAAGGGTTCCTTTCCGTAGTCTCTGTTCCAGGAGAGAAGGTTAGAGACAAAGCAGGATAAGAATGTAATGGGGCGGGTCATGCATTGCAGTTGGGCCCCGGGACTGGGATATGGGCTTTTGTTGGTATTGAGACAGCATTGTCAGCTCTTGATCATCCAACCAACCAACCTCACTCTCACTCTCTCGGGGTCTGGGTGATGATTCACACGTGTGCGGTCTCTTTCGTGGGTCCTACTAACCACGTGCCTACCCACACTTTCTTCTTCGTCAGCTGATGCGACCATGGCAGTGGGCCAGTGCCTATGCATTGTCTAGTATAGTAACCTACCCAACCTTTCATGTGAAGTTTGATGAACATAATTGGACTTATTAAATCAGCACCACTTACAAATGCCACTTAAGTCTCGTTTGATTCATGGAAAAAGAGATTTATGAATGAGAAATTAATTGTTTTCTCATGTTTGGTAAGTTTAGGTATGAGAAATCGTTGCCTGACTTATGAGAAAATATGGGGAAAAGTGAAGTCATCCTTTCAATTTGGGTTTTGTTTTCTCTTATCATAGGAAAGTTTGGGAAAATGAGCTAACATTAAATACATATTTTTATGACTATTTTATTTCTATTAACAATTTAGAATTACAATATATTATTAAATGCATTCTTTTTTTATTTGATTTAATATGGATATAATTGAAAATTTATACAAACTTTGTTTTCCAATTATACTCAAAACAAACATGGGAAATGAAATAAAGTGATATTTCCCGGTTACTTTCTCAGTATTACCAAATGTGAGGAATGAATCTTCCATTCCCATTCCTTGGAGAATGACTTGGGAAATGATTTCCCTTCAAATTCATTTCATGAATCAAACGGGGCCTTAAAGTAATTTAATTCATAAGGATTCATTTGAACCCAACTCCAATTTAATCTAAGTCAATCATCTACCAAACAAGGTCTCAATGTTGTTGTCCATAGCCCATATTTAAAAATGGGCTTTGCCTTTCAGCCAAAATGAGAGAAAAAAAAAAGGTGGGCTTTGAGCTACTTTAATCAACTATATGAAAATGTTGGTCACTTCAAAACAATAATTCTATAATGAGGGCTTTATAAGCGAGACTTTATCTCTTAATCGTTGGATCAAATTGGTTAGTCGTTGGACCACATTGGTTAGCCTGATCCAACAATTAAGAAATAAGACCTCACCTAAGTACCATAGATAAGGCTCTTGCTATAGAATGACTCCACTTCAGAAAAGCCGAGAGGAATGAAATATCAGAAGAAAAAAAACCATCCAATCTTAAGCCCAATAGGAAAAGACACCAAGATGGATCCCCCTTCCACGAAGCCAGCTAGCATAGGACATACCCTGACGAAACAAGACTAAATATCAAGAACTGGAGAGGATTTACAAACATATACTATTTCATGGCATCTCTATGAGAGCTTTTACAAGAGCATTCTTCAAAGTTGTTAGCCAGGACAATCACTTCATTATCAGAAAGCAAATCCTTCTCCTTTGAAGCATAGTTAACAAGTTCATAAGATCAGTACATTTGGAATTCTTTACCAATATTTGAAGAAATAGATTTAGAATAACAGAGGGGATAGAATGATGTTCATGATTAAACACATCCCATGTAAATTTATTTGGAGAGCAGCATAGGTGAACCATCCATTGTGGTTTAACTAGCACAAACAAAATGAGAGATGTTCATCAAGTGACAAGACAAACTTAATCCGACTGCAAGCACATTGCAGATCCAACAAAACAACTCGGCTCTGTTGTTTGAAATGAGCAGGAGGACGCATTACTTTAATTACTCCAAACCATGACCAAACTAGGAACAAGATACATAGGTATGAGGGTGTTACGACAGTGACAAATTTATTCTAGAAAGGAGTGGAAGAAAAAGCCTTGCATTGTCAGCTACCATAACCTCTTTGAGAGAGATTCATCTCATATTGCTTTACATTCAGGTTTCAGAAATCACAAAGCATTCATACATCTTCTACAGAAATGTTGTGTATTGAGTCAAAATATGAATTGATACGGATAAACATGTAGAAAGTGAGTAGCGAAAGCATACAATCTCAAAATTCAAAGATCATCAGTTAACCCTGTGAGGGATTGGATTACTTTAAGAATTTCCAATGTCATATCAGCTTGATGAGCTTAAAGACTTCCTAAGGTTCCGAAGGATGCTCCACATGAATGTGGATATAATGAAGAGGATAATACCAGTGATAATTGCATATTTGAGACCAAGGTTCACCAGCAAATTTACTAGAAGCCCAGCCAATAAAACACCAAAGAAATTTGCAGACACTGCTGCCCAGAATGGCATATCAAGAATGGAAGCTATGATAGCTCCTGTCCATGCTCCTGTTCCAGGGAAAGGCACAGCCACAAACAACATCAGACCAAGCCATTGGAACTCCTCTACAGGGCCAGCTTTCTCTTTGGCTCTCACAAACAGTATGTCTAGGAACCGAGCTGCGGCCTTGTTCTTTCCAGCAAGGAAAGATGCAAATCTCTTCAAGTAAAGTATGATGAAGGGCACAGGAACCATGTTCCTACAGATACATAGTCCTAAACTTTGTTACTTTCTACAGATATATATAGTCCCAAACTTTGTTAATTTCATGAAAGAAAATTAAACTACTCTCCTGATCATCGCAAATATACCTTGGACACAACAATGTAATACATAGAAAGGTAAAATACTCAAACTTGAAGCACCCTTTTGATCAAAATTGGGCAAAAGACAAATAGGGCATTAGGAAAATACTGAATGAAGGATGAATTGTTTAAAAGTAAAGTAGGGCTCTAATATCACCATAAGCAGGCATACTCTATCAAACAGATACAAAGGAACAACAAAGGCAAAGTTGTAAAAGAGCATTGGTGAAAAAAAAATCCAACAAAAATCAAGTGGAATATCAAAATACGGATGCAGACGGAAAAGACTAACCCCAGAACGGATAGAACGGTTAGCATAACAGGCTTGAGTTGCAGCCAGTAACCAACAGGAATAGCCCCACGAAGCTCAATCACAGGAAGCGTAGCCAGGGCAAATACCACAGCCTCATCAGGCCAGCCTGAGCCTCGAAGCGCACTCGCAATCTTCAGGCCAAAACTGGAGGCTCTAATGGAATCAGCTGCAGCAGCTGCTGCAGCATTAGCATCCCCAGAAGCTGCGAAGAAAGCAAGGGACACAGAGGCCCAAACCAAAACCCAAAAGACAAATTTGACTGGCCGTTCCTCAAAGACTGGCAAAATATCATCTTTCTCATCTTTATCAAGAAACCCATGTGAAGAAACTCTTGTTGCAGCGTGAGAAAGGGGTGAATTTGTCAAAAGAGGGTTTAAAGGGGACAAAGTTTGGAAATTTAAGTCTGCATTTGAATTGAATGGGGGTTGAATGCTATGGGCAATGGAGGGGCGGCCATGTTTTGGTGAAAATCTGAAGCAGGTCTTTCCAAGAGACAAATTTGATGTTAATGGTGATGTTGATGCTGATAAAAATAGAGCCATTGCAAATGGGAAGTTGGAGAATTGATGGGTTGTCAGCTCAGGTTCTGTGTCTCCGAGTTAGGTGTCTGATAGAAATTTTGTGAGCCGGTGTGTTGGGGGCTTTCTGTTGTGGATTTGTGAATGGTAGTTTCACTGAAAATTTACTGTCTGCAAACAAGGTTTTCAAAGCACCCATCAAAATGTTGCAAAGTGGATGGAGACTACGAGCTGCTTTTATTGTTTAAAGTTTGGGCTTTTATGGTAAGATTTCGGGTGTTGAGATGAGCATTGAGGCTTAAACGGCATAAGACAACAAGTATGGAGGAATTACCAAGGTCTTGTTGGAGATGTGGTTAAGATTTGAGATATTTTGGAGTTATGGTAGGGCTAAAATGTGAAGCAACAATAAAATGGTCCGTGAAGAGACTTGGTACTTGCCTTCATTTCTTTTAAATATTTTTTCTTGTCTCATTTCCCTTTCCTTGCAATTTACGGGAACAGTAGATTCTTGGGAAGATGTTGAGAATTAGTTAAGATTTAAGGCGTTGGAGTTGGCCAAGTGGTGATAGAGGAGGCTAATGTGTTAGGGTAATGATAGATTCACAGTTTGATTCACTCCCATACAAGAAGCAAAAAAGGACACTTAGAAAAAAAAAAATAGGGGCAACTAAACACGAAAGAAGTACCCATAACAAGGAGCATGATACACGAGTCAAATTTAAATGTATTTGCAACTGTAAAAGGAAATGAAGTGTCCAAAAATTGAATACTTTCTACAAGTGTAGATTGAGTTTGTTGCCTTATAAATATGTACTCAACATGATTTATGTGCGATATGGAAAAAAGGAATATCTCGTCAATATTTATGTCCCATTTCGTGCATCTACTTTCTTGGATTCATGTTGTACTTCTTTTTTCCTATTTTTGTGAACAAGTTTATTTTCAAAAGGAATGGTGGAATCCTTATTGATTAAAGAGAAAATAGTCAACCCACATAGACAGTCAAACTCCGAACTCATATGATATCATATCAGTATATGAACGACAACCCGGAAATTGGAGTCGTACATCTACCAACACAACACAAGGCCCCCAATTTTCTTCACCAAAAACCATGAGCCGGAAGAGAGACAAACCCTACTTCTCCCGCCACGTCCCCGCCTCCGCCTCCGGATGGAAACGCCGTCGTCCCCTGCCTCCTCATCCCGAGCCCGAACCAGAGCTTGACAAGCCAACTTACAAGCTGCCGCCACCGCCGGCTCTTGTCATTACAGGTCTCCAGCCAGACTGCTCCGTCCTAGACCTCAAGTCCCGGTTCGAAATATACGGAGCCATCTCTCGCATCCGCATTGACCGCGATGCGGTCGGCTACGTCACCTACCGCGCCGCCGACTCGGCTGAAGCCGCCATTGCCGCCTCCCTCGACCCCTCCTTTGGCATTACCCTCGACTCTAAAAAGGTAATCTTTTTAAGTTTCCCTTCAATTGCCCATAGCAGCTTGCTTTTTTCTTTGTTTCTTTGTGGGTTTTCGAATTTTAGCAAAGTTGGTTGAAATTTGGGGTTTTGTTGCAGTTGCAGGTCCTTTGGGCAACAGACCCACTTGCCCAATGGAGGAAAGGAGTTGGAGTTGGTGCTGAAAACAGAGATTCTAGTAATGGGTCATCCTCAAATTCCAATCTTTTGAGGGCTGAGGTGCCTCTGAGGAGACATGGTAGAGGCAACAAGCTTGCTTCGGCTATAGTGAACCCCAGAGTTGCTGCTGCTGATGGTTCTTCAGTGTTGGATGTGCCTGCCAAAGCCAGAGAAATCGTTGCTTATGATGACATACTGTAACTTTCATAGTCAGTTATTTGGAATTTGAAGGATTAGTTTGTAACATTAGCATTGGGTTTTGGTTTATATAGTTGGGAATGGAAGAATATGTTGGTATGGAGCTGCGTGAGTTAGGTACTTCAAACTTCAAAGTTGTGTAAGTTATTTAGATAAAGGGTTGATGTTTTTATGTTTGGTCGTGAATCCAATGTTGCTTTTCTTTGGTTTCTGATTTTGTTTGTTGTTTTGTTTCCATGAATCAAGCAGCCATCTGTTGTGAATTTACTCTGTTTTTACTTCAACAATCTAGTTGTTGTGACTTGTATTTGCGAATGGGATTGCATTTCTTTCAAACATGTTTGTGTTGGTTTTGATAACTTCACACAAGTGGGTTGGATTGAGGCTGAATTTGAGATTCTCAGTTTGCCTTCGGAAGTTGAAGCTTCCTGGACTTTCAAGTGACCCAGTAATGAAATATTGGGAAGAATAAATGAGACTCGTACTCAATAAACAGGGGAAAGAAGTGAAGAGTCTGAAAGTTCAGGTTCATCTTTTTCATCGTAAACAAAAGCTATCAAATGCTATTCGGTTTACCAACTTAATAGAATCTACATGTCCAAGCCCAAAAATCTTGAGTCGGAGCCCAAAGAGCCCAAATGGTGAGCATCTTAACAGACTTTACTGAACGCAAAAGAAATTCCAGTGGAGTTGAAACCTGAAACTTAAAAGGGAAGAGCGGAGAGCATCGTAGTAATGGAACAGAATGAAGGGAAAATAGTAAAGCACGAAGAAGAAGAAGAAGAAGAAGAAGAAGAAAAAGAAGGAAGAGAGCAAGAGATATGGAGTTGGGGGGCAGGAACGGACGGGCAGCTGGGCACGGGCAGGCTGCAGGACGAGCTTCTCCCTCAGCTGCTTCACCTCACATCTCTCTCCTCCGCCGGACCCATCTCTTTCCTTGCCTGCGGCGGCGCTCATGTTCTTGCCTTGACCTCTGGTCTCTTCCTTTCTTTCATCTAATATTATAAACAGTCTTCTTTTTTTCTTTCTTGGGAACCGAAAAATCTGACCCCTTTTGCAGGTGGGAAGGTACTGACATGGGGAAGAGGCACGTCTGGTCAACTAGGTCATTCTGATACGGTCAATAGTCCACATCCCAAGCTTGTTATGTCTTTGAACAACTACTTCATTACTCATGTTTCTGCTGGTTGGAACCACTCTGGTTTCGTTTCAGGTATATCCAGGCAGTTGATGTTACAATCTGTGCTGATATTTTTATGCTTGTTTGTATCCGTATTATTAGCATAAAACCAATTTTAGATTTCCCCCTACTTCAATTTTTCTGCTTTTACTGCTTTTGCACTGTCTGTGTCAATACATCTGGTTCTGGTGTGTTTAATTGGAAGACAACTTGGAGTATGGGGCTTACTCAACTCTTTTCTGGTTTTGGTCTTTACTTGGTTGTTTTCAGATACAGGGGCTCTTTTTACATGTGGAGACGGCACATTTGGTCAGCTCGGGCATGGCGATTACAGGTTACATTGCTATCCTGTCGAAGTCTCCTTCTTTGCTAGTAGTAGTAAGCACGTGGAACAGATAGCATGTGGAATGCGCCATTCCCTTGTTTTGCTGAGAGGTAATTGCAAGGATGATCTTGTATGTTTCTGGCAGACGCAATGCTTTAATGTAGAGATGCTGTTTTATTTGGATGTATAAGCTCCGTGGCATGCTTGTATTACAAGATAAGGCATTTCCTTTAGTCAATATAGCCCATTTGTCCTAGTGTAAATGATGTGTGAAGTGTATGCCTAATCATTGCCATCCAGCTTAAGTTTCCACAACTAAGATTAATATAGTGCAGGTGGTTCAGGAGATGAAGTTTATGGGTTTGGTTCTGGGAAGCGTGGTCAACTGGGTATCGCCAAGGATAAAATCAATTTAGTTAGTCTTCCTGAACGAAGTTGTGGATTTGAAGGTGTAAAGATCGCTAGCATCACTGCAAATGGAGATCATAGTGCAGCATTATCTGGTGAGTCCAGAAAATTTTCATTTTTTCTTGATTTGGCCATTAAAGCAGATCACATTGCTTGTAAGATGGATGTCTTGAACTGTAGCTTTAAAACGATCCAGTCCATGTAAGAGATAGGAACTTTCAATGCTAGTCATGGTCCACAGTTTTCACGTAGTAAAGAAGCTTGTGAAGCCTAGCGCAAGTACCGATGGAAACACTAGTTGCCTCAGTGAATTGTTTTCCTGATTGTCGTTTTCTTTTCTTGCCTATTACCTTAGCTGATGGACATTTGTACACTTGGGGAAGAGGGTTTGGCGACACTTTAAGTGCTCAAACGCCACAGCGTTTACCTACATCATTCTGCTTTACCAAAATTGCTCTTGGATGGAATCATGCTTTAGTTTTAACTGGTATGTGCATTTATTTCTTGTTTTAACCAGTTCTGTTTATTCATTTTTTTATTAAATTTCTTCATTTTCCCCGGTGAAACGATATCGTGTTGTTAAATAGCAGCCTTGGATATCTTAAACAGGTGGAGAGGTTTTTATGTTTGGTGGAAGTCACCATGGAGTCCTTAGTAATCCTGATAAAATGACTCCAGTCAAGCACTCAGCCGGTAATGCATCTAATTTGGTCCACAAAGTAACATGTATTTATTAAAACTCTTTCACAAAGTAACATGTATTTATTAAGTGATAATTAACTGTTCCATACACTACTTGCCCTTGAAAAAGGAAACTGGATTTTTCTGGTGAGTTAAATGGGCAGACGCAGACAACTGCAGTTGATTATATCTGAATGATCATCGTGGTCAAATTGTGATTTCTGCTGATTACATGTGTGGTTCTTTGAACATTGGCAGATTCAAGAGAAGTTGTCCTGGAGAAAGTCCCTGGGCTTGAAGGGAGTAGAACTCTGCACATTGCAGCTGGAGCTGAGCACTCTGCTATTGTAACAGAGAATGGGGTACTTAAGACATGGGGATGGGGAGAACATGGTCAGCTTGGCTTGGGAAATATAAGTGATCAAACGAGTCCTCAAGAAGTGAGTCTCAGCCACAAATTTCGGAAAGAAGCCGGCTTAATTGAGATTTACTGTGGCAGTGGTTTTACAATTGCAGTAAGAACTTCGTGTCACCCTTCTCAGGCTGGTTAACCCTACTCACGGATGCTGACTGAAATGGACACCGATATAAATTGATTTTTCATCAAGGAGTTGAACTTGTAGCTCCAAGAGAGCAAGTACAATCATATTACCGGGGCTTTATCTGTTTCATGTTGTGTAAATATTTGTTTTACAGGTTGTGGTATTTGGACAATAACTTTCTTATAAGAATTTTAGCTTTGCCGCCTTTGGGCTTGTTAATTAAACTACAAACATTCCTTACAAGAAAACAAAAAAGCTGCCAACTTGGCAAATTAAGTTTGCCCTTAAGGAATCAAACCCAAAGTTATATTCCAGAGATCGGTCTTCCGGTTATAATTAAGACCATTTCCTGAAGAAAAAAAAAAATCTCATTGAATCAATTACCACAAATGTATAATTTGGGTTTTACATGAATTAGAAAGCAGGCACCCAATGGTATTACACATGAATCCTGACAAAAGAATCACATCAGTTAAAATCTACCACCTACACCACCTATGATACAAGAGGAAAAAAAAAAGAGGGGCTCGCTGAAACAACTGTTGCTTGCGCTAAATTCATCATTAGAATATCTTCTTATGCTTGCTGGGCTCTTCTGTGTCTTACGTTATGATCAGGACATTGTTTTCGTATCCACTGTTGTGAACAATAGGGCGCAGGGGATCAATCCGCCATTCACCATCAACAATAAATTTGATCTGAAATGCAAGGTGAAAACTGGTCAGATAATCACATTACTCAATGGCCCCCCAACGATGTAAAACTCTAAAAGTATGACCAGAAAATAACAAAACTGAGCTAACCTCATATCTGCCCGGATACAACCTAAGGCACAAAGAGAAGATTCCTGTACTGGACTTTTCCATCTTTCTCTGTAACCAGTCACCGCAAATAACAACATTGGTAATGTTAACTGAGGAGAACGGACATTCGCTAATATTAATTCAACCTAACTGATCAATTCAAGAAGAGATCATACCTGGGTGGTCCAACCATCATATGATCCAGCAATGAGCACTTCTGAGGCTGAATTTGGCCAAACTATGTAAGCAGTGCGAAGAAGTTGTAAGGCTCTACGAGCATCATTTATCCTTCTCTGTTTCTCCTCCACAGTCTTTTGCGCTTCACTGGCATGGGTGGGCAGGATGTCAATTGTAAAGCAAGTTACATTCTTGTTTTAAAATTAACAGAAAATGTGCATACATTATTGCCAGTGCCATCTTTCCTTCTAAAACAGCCAACTTTGCACGTGTCGAACGCAATTTGTCCTGGGCATGCATAATCTCATTTTCCTGAAACTCCCAGGCATCAGAAAGCTTCCGAAAATCATCAGAGGAGCTTTCATGAACCTAATGAAAAATATAAAATGGGTATAATATAATTCCCCAAATCCTCCAAAAACACAATCACAGTATGAAAATGCTTCCCAAGAGAACCTGAAGGCAAACAGAACTTGAAGACCATAGATGAAATTGAACATATTGGTAAAACTTTAGAGTCAAAATTTCGAAGTAGTCATGCAAATTCATATAACCAAGACTGATCATACCCACCTGTGAAGCAGCTTCATCAGATCTAGTCCTCAATGAACGAAGTGCAGAGGAGAGCTCTGATTCAAGGTACTTAATGTGATCACGTATTTGCTTGTGACTGATCTCTTCCTGATGAGAATTCAGTTTATTCCTTTGATCAGGTTCATTAGCACCCTCTCTTAATTGAAATATTTCTTCTCTTGAAACATCCTCTGGCCCTCCCATTTTATCATAAGAAATTTCAGCAGCTGAACATTACATCAACATCAAAAGGTCAATTTAACCAAACTATCTAACCATACAGCCGCTGAAAAGTGAAAACAAGTAAATATAAAATACCTTCAAAATCCTGATCTGAAAATCCAGCCCTCTGGATGCTCCAAGTTCTCCACATTTCTGGTCTTGGTGAGTCTGCTAGGACATCAATGTCTGAAAGAGATCTGTTGTGGTTAGGCTTGTCTCTTGAATCATTAAGAATGGCTTTTTTGGGGTTCAATGATGCAGGTCTGTTGCTTCTAACAAGGCCAGCAACTGTCTTTTACAATGTAACAAGCATCACACGTTATGTTTTAGAAGTTCTACATGCAAAGAATTCAATCAAATCGAACTCTTAAAAATAAATTACTTTCATGAGATGCTGTAATAATGATGACTGCCACTCATGAGAGTTCAAACATAATTGTTATCATCTCTTTCAAGTTTCAATGGTATGAACAACTTGATATTGGAAAGACCAAAATATAGTTTTGGTTTCACTAACATATGCTGATAAATTAGAATTTAATTTTATCTCAGATGTACGAAATCCCAAAGGAAGATACAAAAAATGCAATTCAATTCTAAGAATTTAATACCATCTAACCACCATAAAGGTATATAGAAGTACGTGTTAAGTGAACAAGGGAAAAATTAGAGCTTTGCATTTTCCCCTAAACTATCACCCCACCAAAAGACACAAACAATGTTAAAATAATATAACAAACTTACCGCATCAGTTGAGATTTCGGGAAACTTGTAAGTACTTGGGAAGAAAACATCGTCTTCTTTTTCTTTCAAATTAAATCCAAACGTTAAATTTCTCTGTTTCTCCAATCGATTCAATATCCCCTCGATTCCAGTATCATCCTCTGTTGCAGCAGCTTCTCTACACATATAAAAGAAAAGAAAAACACTTTAGTTGATTCCCCTTCCCAAATAACTAATGTTTGATACAATCACTGAAAATGGGGAATCAATGAACAGTGGAAATCTTGTCCTATGCAATGCAGTTTTTATTTTAGTTAATCAAATCTCGTTGTCTCATCTTGGAGAGAGAGAGAGAGAGAGAAAGAGAGAGAGAGAGAGAGAGAATCAAGGCTTGAGTTCTTCTAACAGGATGGGGTCAATAAGGTTCCATTGTCTATTCATTCCCAGTTGATTTTTCAAAACCTAAGCAAGCCATCGCTGCAGATGTCATCATAATTAATGGAAGTAGAAGTAAAACTCTAAGTCAATCTCTTGGTCCCCGATAAAGATATAGAAAACGAATACAAAAATTTACCAGCGACTAATACAAATCTAAAATTTCAACAAGTTCGTTTTAATAGAATCCTCACAGTGATCTACCCGACGACGACGCTGCTTGAGAAGAATCTTCAGAAAACGAAGAAACCATGCCTGAAGCCCCAATTAGACTGCCACTCGAAGCACTGCTCTCGCTTTCTTTAGGCACTATCGAATCCCAATGCCTAAAATCACTATCTTGAGCTCCTTCTTCTTCTTCCAAATCCCAACCCAACGAAAGCCAACCACCTTTCCTCGCAATAGCATCGACCAAATCCTTTCTCCCAGATTCAAGAAGCTCCTTCTTGCTCGGAAAAGCCCCAGGCTTCTTGGAGCTCTTCATGAACTCCAAAATCTCAGTTTCCAAGGTGAAATCCCCCTCTCTATCCCAATCTTTACATCGCCTCACAAACCCAGAACACGCTCCTTTCTTAAACTCTGAAAACCCTAAACACAAAGAACACCCGCTTTCTCTAACCGAAACGAAGCTCATCGCCTTCAGACGCTGTTGGCTCCTTGCGGTTGTTGAATTAACGACGTAGAGAATCGAAGGAAATGCGTGAGGGTTGAAATTCGGGAAGGAGTAGGGCGAGACGAGCAAGTGGGTAGCAGCGGTGGTGGAGGAGAGCATGGCTCAGGCATTTCGACGAACACTTGGAGCGCAAGGCGAAATGGTATTATGCGTAGTACGCTCTAATGGAAAAGGGAGCGCGAGCGAGCCAAGCAACGAACAAAACCACCGAAAAGCGTAAACCAGCATTAAATGCGAAACTTCCTTTTTTAATAAAAATACAACTGTGTACTTACTGATTACTGTGGGGCCGTACGTTTTGACTGTTTATTAAGGGCATGTTTGGATCTGGAGGATAAAATAGAAGAGGCTTATGACTGGTCCCAACCAAACCTCTTCCATGTTTTTGGGCTTATTACAATTCGTTTTCTTTTGGTTTTTTGTTTTTGACAAAACGATATCTTAACTACTTTAATATATATATATATATATATATATATTTTACAAGGAGAGGGTAGCCTAGGACAAAACTCCAGAGCACTATTTTTGATGCGTCGGTCGGTGTCTTATAAGAGCCAAAGGTCCAACAATGATTGATCAGGGAAAAGTGTTATGCATGGGTATAATGTTGAAAATTTGGACATATTAGATCTTATAGTTCTGGAAGAATATCTTCCAATTCGCATTTATAAAGTGTAATAACCTTATACCTAGAACTACTGTAGAATATGATGTTTTAATTAATTTAGGGTTAAATACCTATTGAGTTTTACATGAAAATTCAATTTGACCACTGAGAATTTTTTTAGCCAAATTGATCACTGTGTTTTCTAAAGTTTACAATTCATAGATATTTCGTTATCTTCCGTTAAGTGCATTTTTTATTTTTATTTTTTCTAGGATGCACATTCATTCTTCTTCCTCTAACTCAACAAGTTAGAGTATATTGTGCTATAAGGGTTTAACAAATTGGGAGAAATCTCGGGTTGAAATCAAAATTGTGAGGTATAAGGTCACAAATTGGATGTTATATTGAAGCCTGAATCGATTGCGTAAGAACCGTATTGTGACTTCGGATGGCAAGGAGACGTAATCAATGTGATAAAGCAAGAGCACCAAAATATATTGGTAAGTTGTTGATTTCATTTCAATTTGGTTTGGCTTTTTTATTTTCCTTATACATCACAATTTTGATTTCAACCCAAGATTTCCTCGAATTATTAAACCATAATAGCACAATATACCCTAACTCGTTGAATTAGAGGGAGAAGACTGAAGGTGCTTCCTAAAAAGTAAAAATAGAAACTGCACTTAACGGAAGATAACAAAATGTCTATAAATTATAAACTTTGGGAAACATAGTGACCAATTTGGTTAAATGTTTTTCTCAGTGACCAAATTGAATTTTCGTGTAAAAACCAGTGACCGAAAAAGTATTTAACCCATTAATTTAAGGTGCAAAAAGAAATTTGGAATTCAAATTACTGTTTTAATTCTTTTTGTTTTAAAGTGTTATGGCAGTGTCCTAACAATAAGTGAAAGAGATTCATCTCTATCATTAACATGTTTATGTGCTATGTATGTTCATCTAATATATTTTTCATGTAATTTGTTGAACGTAGAAATTCATTTCTATATATTGGATAGATATGCAATTTTAAACGAAAATGATCAAAATCCCCTTGTACGGGTCATTATTTCATTTATATCTTATATGTTTTGTTTCTGAGAGTTGTTAGGTGAAATTACAAAAATGCCCTTATATGTATTATGTGTTTCTCTACACATAAAACATATCTGTGCTCTTCTAAATTTTCTAAAAACAATGTTCTTATTCATAAGATGATTTTTTTAGAATTTAGTTCATTTAGTTTGAAATATTTGAATTTGTGTGTGTGAAATTACCAAAATATCCATATGTGTGTTTTTAAAAAGAGAAAAAGAAAATAAGTTTTTGTTTAATAGATCATCAAAATTTTAAAACGCGAGGTAAGCCTCCAGCTGCACATGGAGCATTCAAAATATCTCAAACACTCAATTGCAAAGCTTTAAACACCTCACTTGGCCTTTAACCATACATAGTAACCAAGTAACTTTGAGAGAAACTCAAGTTCATTTCCAACTAGTTCTTAGCAAGGTCTAAAATATCGATGGTTTTGAAAATATTGGTAGCCCAAAAATAAGGAAATATCAGGATACTATCTAACTAAACATGTTGAGGTGGATAGACATTTCATCAAAGAAAAAATTGAGAACAAGATCATTTGTCTACCTTTTGTAAAATCAAAAGATCAGTTAACGGATATCTTAAAAAAAGCTGTTTGTGGATGAGTGTTTTATGCCTCACTTACCAAGTTGAGAATTGATGACGTGTACGCACTAACTTAAGGAGGAGTGTTGATGTGAGTTAACATACTAAATTAAGAAGATTTATTTCCTAATTAATTAGGTGATTTACTTCCTTGTTTCATATAGTTAACACATCCTTGTATATTTAGGAGATTCTCTCCTAATTAATTACTGTATCTATTTCCTTGTAAATCACATTTATAAACACCTATATATCTCCTTATGGAGAAGAATATAATTAACCCAAAGTATTCAAACCATATTCATATTTAAAAAAATCTACATCTTGTATAATGAAACCATAATAGTTGTCAAGATTGGCAAACTATTGACCCAAAAAAAAAGGCAAACGGACTAAGGAGGCGGTCACAATGCTTTAATTAACCAACCTAATTTATATTTGTCCATCCATCTCTTTTTTTGTTTTTAATAGATAGATGGGAAATCGAATACATAACATCTTTTGAAAGAAAAAGAACTACATTAGATAAAAGGACAAACTACATTAAAACCCCTAAACTATAGGGTCATTTTCAAGTTCATACCCAATTTTAGAGATATTTATGAGTACATACTCAAACTGCCGAAAAACCTACAAATTGTCTCATCCGTTATACAAACCGTTAATTAATCTGTTAAATGCTTACTTATCAAATGTATGACCCATTTTTTAATTAATGGACTTCCATGTAGATAAAAAATTAATAAAAAATTCTTTATTTTTTAAAAATTAAAATCATAAAAATTTAAAAATCAAAAAGCAAAAAAATCTCTCTGTTGATGCTCTTTTGGGGAGGGTCAACTTAGATGAAGGAGTGGTGGATCTTCAGTAGGGCGAGACGGTTATGAACCTTCGACACGGAGGGGTCCTGCAGAAGAAAATAAGGAAGAAGCAATCATCAGTCTTGGGGCACCGGTGTGTAGGGATGGCAAAAATTTCCGTGGGGGCCGATTGTCCTCGACCCTAACGCGGGGAGATTTCAGGGCCAAACAGGTATGGGGAGGGGATGGTATTGGCGTTTCCATCCCCGAACCCGAACCGAAAATATATATGTTTATACTTAAATAATTTTTCCAAAGTCTCCCTAAATATAATTATAATATTTATGTTTAACCTTAAGTTAACCTTCATATCCTAATTCTTCATAATCTTCTCTGGACTTCATATTGATATGATTTTGAATAGTTGAATTGAACTTTATAGTTAATTTGGATGTGTTAAATGATAATTTAATATAAAACTTAATGTTAAAATGTACAACAAATATATATATATTTTTATGCAAAAACAAAATTGGGGATTCAGGTCCGCTATGGGGGATAGTCCCCCGATGGGGACGGGGACGGGGACAGGGATTCCTCGAAACCTATTAAACGGGGATGAATTCGGGGACGGGGGCGGGGATGGAGAGTGGGGAAGGGAATGGTATTGTCATACCCAACCCCTACTCGACCTGTTGTCATCTCTACCAGTGTGGTACATGCCGAAGACTCTTCGATGCTTAAGTCAGCAAGTATTTATGGTAATTTGGACAGAGTAACAATAAATGTGAAAAGTAGTTACCCCTTTTTACTTGAGGATTGTTCCCTATTTATAGGGGAGTGAAAATGAGAGTTTTGCACAAAGTTTCGATGTGAGACTTTGTGCAAACTGCTGCGGAGGTGACGTGTGTCCATGAAGACTAGGTTTTGTAATTAGGAGCATCGGCAGATGGTTACCGCTTCGGAAGGGGGGCTTCCTTTGGTAGGCCAAAGAAGGTGATGATGTCACTCATCTTCTACGGGCTTGTTTGTGTGTTTGCTTGAGTATCAGTCGTCTAGTGCCGGATACGCTTGGTTGATTATGGTGTAAACACTCTCCATCACTCTCCTCCTAACCCTCCCCATAGCACGACTTAGCCAGCCCACCTAAGACCCCAAGCCACCCAAATCAGCATCCCAGTAGCCACCCCAGCCAGCCAAACCACAACCCACCACCCATTTTCTAGTCAATTTCATCAATGGCCAGGGAATGCTGAGTGCCTACGCCATCATCAACTTCGGCGGGCAGCGACATGAACCATGACAAAGCAGAGAGATCTTGGTATAAGACCTAGAAGAGAGCATGAAAAGATTGTACCCAACATGCGTGGAAACCAAAGAAAACAACTCAAAAGGGTAAGCAGGGAATTCGATCATTCTTGAGGACTTGGTCAAAAGATTGAAGACAAGAAAGGAATTGGAGAGAGAGAATCAGAGTAGAGTCATAGAAATCGAAGTGGTTGTAACACTGATGGTGAGAAAGCAAGGGGAAAGAAGAGAAGGGTGAAGAGGAGGAGTGCTTGGAGATCAATGAGGGAGAGAATAATAGAGACTTGAAGTGCTTACAAGTCAATCTCAGATTCATGAAGTATTTGAGAGGTATGTTTATGCCAAAATGAACAGCCTATGAGGACTAGACACGTGGACAAAATTGAGCTCGACCATGGTAGCCTTCGGCACCTTTCTTACCGATCCCACGATTAGGGCAACTCTCTTCTCCTAGACACCCGGCATGCCCACAATCGACGTCTACAGTCCCACATCGAAAATCTAAACAAAGTACACACCTCCCAAGGTTTATAAAAGAAGCACAAATCCCTAAAATGGAGGTAATAAGAACTTACAGCATACTGCCTATTGATATGTCAGTTCAAGTTTACTAAATCCGTACTTACTTAAGCATCAGAGAGCCTTCGGCCGGTACCACACCAGTGCCTAAAGGTCTTACCGAGCGTGTGTTATTTACAGATCACGTGCTCTACCGAGGCCCAAAATCATACCGAAGGCCCAACATCACTAAGTTGGCCTCAAGAATTGTCGAACCATTTTTGAGCGTCAACAATTTTGCGCCGTTTGTGGGAAACGATCTGAATCAACCCATTATCCCTACAACACATGGGGACCACTTCAGTACCAACCTTCCTGTCAGAAGATGGATTACCGTTCGGAAGGCAAAGCGGAGCTAGCCCTGCGCTACCCCCTTGCACTCCTTTTGGCAATTCACTCGTAATACAAACCACAGCTGAAGCCGAGCTTATGGCCCAAATAACTTCTCTTCTGCAAGACATGGCTAAACTTTAAGAACATAACAACCTATGCTTAATCAGCAGCACACGCAGAACATTCAAACCACCCAATCTTCATAGAGCCTACAGACCCCAAGTCGGCAGAAGAAGGGTAGGAAGGTAGTAAAGGCAATGCATGCGCCCTCTAAACAGTTGGTAGTTCCGGCACCCAAGGATCAACCACACCAACCGAAAAAGGTTTACTCCGATTGTCGCTATTGGATTAACGACCGGGAAGCCGAAAGACAAAGATCTCCGGTCAGGATCAATGCTCACTTAAGGGACTCGCGGATGAGGGTTCTGGGGAACAAATCACCCATTCGGAAAGTTCGGGGCTTAGAATCTACCACCGAATCAGACTATGAGTATATTCTTTCCAAAACTAAAGAATCTACCTACCGTTAGGCAATGTCAACGAGGTACTCAGAGGCCAAACCGGTAAGCCCGCATAAACATTCGGAGGTTTACGGCTCCGAGGAAATCTCTAGCTGAGATCCTGTTATCCGACTTCTTTTTCAGAAAGTCCAGAAGATGGAAAACGATCGAGTTCGCTCTCAGGAACCGGACTGGGAAAAGCTTCGACCAGGACTGTTTGACAAACGCATAAAGCGCTCACGGCAGGATAGAGACATACAACCTTTACGTATACCGTTCTTCACCGGGGTGGAAGACCATTTGACACACCTCCATTCTTTTCAGTCTGCCGTGGGATGCAAAGGTCTCAACGACGAGGGATAGTGCCTTCTGTTCCCATTCTCCCTTACAGAAGCAGCCTTAAACTGGTTCTACCAATTAGAGCCAGAAATGGTGGATTCATATGACGAACTGAATCAGATTTTTCTTAATCACTTTATGATCCAGACGGACCGTTTGTATTCTGCCGATGACCTGAACACAATTCGACAGAGAGAGGATGAGCCCCTGAGAGAATATGCTGCACGCTTCAGTCACGAGTACTCAAGGTGTCCAGAAACAGACGACAGGGTTGCTTACGGCACCTTCAAGAGCGGACTTCGCTCCTCACACTTTCGGTATCTCGTGCACAGTAGGAACTGGCGCACTTATGACGAGCTGATGAAGCAAGCGGCAATTCACGCCAAGGCCGAGTATTTCAACTCAAAGTCCGGGCCTTCAGCTCGGCAGGAGGAACCAGCATTGAAGAGTTATCCTGGGCAAGAATCTCCCTACACCCATAGAAGAACTGACGAATCCTTGACCGGGCATAAACGAAAAGATGACCATGGCAATCGGCCGGGAAACTAGAAGAAAGGAAAAGGAAAATACGGTCGCAATGACCACCGGGCGCCCCTGCCGAATCCCGACTGCGCTCAGGAAGTCTTCACTCTGCTGAATACCACTTACGAGGCTGTCCTGATGAACGAGCACGAGATAATACCAAAGCCAAATCATCGAAAGCCCAATCGGTATGACAATCGGGATACCGGCAAATTCTGCCGGTACCACTAGTACAACAGCCATAATACGGAGGATTGCATAAGCCTGAGGAAAATCGTCGAACGATTGATCTGGGAGGGAAAACTGGATCAGTACATTGCCGAACCTCCGCAAGCTTCGATCCCGAATGCGAATCGACAGATAAATATGATTAGCACCATCAGCGGAGGGCCTACCCTTGCGGGTACGAGTAACCATTCAGTGAAGCAATACGTACGGGCCGCTCACTACCCTCAAGTCTTCGGCATAGAAGTCAACCGGCACCAGAAGGTTTCGAAGGTAGTGTGGGAGCCCATCACATTTCGTGAAGAGGAAGAATGAAGGGTCCTCTACCCCCACGATGACCCAATGATCATTCGAGCTGAAATTGTTGACTACGATGTAGGGCAGGTAGTGATCGACACTGGAAGTTCGGTAAATGTAATTTTTTCCGATGCTTTCAGAGGCATGAGAATAGCAGATAACCAGGTCAATCGACAGATAACACCCGGGGACCTAGTCCAGCCAGTCGGCAGTGTAAGTTTGCCCATCGCCTTCGACGTTGCCCCTTGAAAAACAATGACCTATGACCAATTTCTCATCGTCGACTGCCTAACGGCATATAACGTCATAGTTGGACGAACGACACTCACCGGAATCAAAGTGCACCTATCCCCCCATATGTTGCTGATGAAGTTCTTGACTTGTAATGACACTGGCGTTGTCCGAGGAGACCAACTCAGTGCACGGACGTGCTATGCAACAGCGATGAAATCGATAGCCTCTAAACCTCCCAGAGAGACCATGTTTGTCCAAGGGGCACCGAACGGTAACGGACCCGTTGACGACCCAAGGGAAGAAAACCCGACGCCACAAACACAGTCTGTCGAAGAGCTGGAAACGGTGGTGCTAAGCGAAGAGCAACCTTATCGATGTGTCAAAATCGGCACCGCACTCATCCCATCTCTCCGAGCGCAATTCATCGAGTTCTTACGACATCATTCAGAGGTGTTCGCCTGGTCTTATGATGACATGCTAGGCATCTCTCCGGAGGTCATTAGCCATAAGCTCAGCATCTTCCCTGCCTATAAACTTGTAAGACAAAAGCGTCGTTCGTACGATGTCGAAAGGTACGAAGCCATGTGTACCGAAGTTGACAAGCTAAAAGTCATGGGCTTTATCATGGAAGCTACGTACCCTGTCTGGCTTGCAAACTCGGTAATGGTACGGAAGGAGAAGGGCGGGTGGCGAATGTGCCAGGACTATATCTACCTGAATAAAGCCTGTCCGAAGGATAGCTTCCCATTGCCCCGGATCGACCAGCTCGTGGACGCTACCGCCGGTCATGAATTGCTCAGCTTCATGGACTCATACTCCGGGTATAATCAGATATTCATGCACCCTGTCGATAGCGACCATACGACGTTCATCACTGACCGGGGTTTGTACTGCTACAATGTCATGCCGTTAGGCCTGAAGAATGCGGGGGCAACATATCAAAGGCTCGTTAACCGAATATTTGCCAAACATATCAGTAGCATCATGGAAGTGTACGTTGACGATATGTTGTGTAACACCCCGACTCCAAATTTATTCCTATTTTAATTAAATTAAGAGAAATTATTAATTTACTCTTGGGTTAAGGGTAATTTTGATCATTTTCTTATCCGGAAGGATTTTGGGACTACGAGTGGTTTGGTTGCGTAGGTGGTATTGAGACGAATCCGTAGACAGGCGGTAGGCTTGAATCAGAGTTGTAACAAAGTTTTGGCGAGCAAATTAGGTTCGATGGCGCTACCGTAATTATTTCAAAGTAAGTTTGGGGTAAAATTAGATTTTTCACTTTTGCCCCTCACTTTCTCTCTCTCTCTCTCTCTCTCTCTCTCTCTCTCTCTCTCTCTCTCTCTCTCTCTCTCTCTCTCTCTCTCTCTCTCCCGCGTCTCCTCCCTCTGCGATTTCCCCCTCCCCCGTGTTTCACTGTTCACCGAATCGGGAAAACCCTCACAGCCGTCACGTCCGGCCACCTCAACCTTCGAGACCGATCCCGTTCGATTCGTCGTGAAGTTCCGATCAAAACCCACCTGTTATCCCGACCGGAAAACCCGATTCCAGCCAACGGGTTCGACTGGTTTTTCTCCCGGTTTTCATCACGACAGCGCAGCGATTCCGGCCGGTTTTTCCGTCGAGTTTGGTATGTTTTCGAACCCTCTCCGTATGCTCTAGCTGTTTTTGGAGTAGGTTTGGATCGATTTTGAGTTTTGGAACCGAATTGGAAACCTAGGTTTTGGCAGGTTTTCAATTTGAAATTCCGGCCAGTTCCCGTGCGAATTGGACCTCGTGGTAGTTGAATAAAGTGATCCTGACCTTGAGAAGAAGCTAGGGTAGGAAGGGTGAGCGTTGGTGTGGAGATTTTCCGTCGCCGGAAATTTCTCTACACACCCACGCGCTGCCGGCGCGTGTGGCAGCTCGTGGCCAAGGCTGGTGAAGTTGCTTTTCATCCTGATGAGATCATTAGGTTGTCACGAGTGCATAGGATTTTACGGATCTCAATTTGGATGTCGTTTGACTATCGAACGGATTTCGCATATTGTGCGTTATTCGGGTTCGATAAGTTCTAACCGTTGGATCGTTTCCAAACTGAAGTAAGTTGATTTAGGTACTCTTAGAATCCTATAGGAATTCGCGGATCGTGAATCGGAGGCCCGGATGTTCCGATTCAATAATTTGAAGTTTGTGGAATTAGCGATAACCGTAGGATGGGAAGCGATTCCCAAACCTGTAACTGGACCTTAGGATATCCTATTGGACGTACACGCACCGGGAACTTGGGGATTTAAGTATTCTCTTTTGTGAATTCCCTTTTCGAAGTGTATTATATTAATCAAGGGTTCGTATCTCGAAATAGGTACTTCGGTCAATCATTCGCAGCAGGCAGGACCCTCTCGGGGCCGGGCAGCGTGGGATTACCTGTGAGTGGACTTTGTTTTAAGCATTTGCATGGTTTTATTGATAAAAGATTTGTGCATATGTTTTTAAATGGTAAATGTGATTTATTAAGTATTTGGTTGATGGATTTGGATATTCATATACGTATTGGCAATATATTTTGAGTATGGCTATGTTTGAGTATTATGGATATGTTTATATGGATTTTGGTACATCTGTCTATATTGCCTATGTATAGAGTACGAGGAGTTGTTGTGAGATTGTGGAAAGATATGAGTTTGAGGGATGGTTGTGAGATGTATGAGTATGTTAGGTGAGTACCATTCCTTGGTTACTAGGCTTCCCACACACGTCGTTGGCAGTGCCGGTGGGGTGGGAAGGCCATGAGATTGCGGGTCTCACACATGTCGTTGGCAGTGCCGGTGTGTGAGACACTTCCCATACATGTCGTTGGCAGTGCCGGTGTATGGGAAGAGTATGTATATTGCTTAGTATTATCACACATGTCGTTGGCAGTGCCGGTGGGGTGATGATACTGTCTGCGCGCGTAGGACTTGATATGAGATTTGTGAGCTACACGTGTCGTTGGCAGTGCCGGCGTGTGAGCTATGGAGTTCTGTCCCCCGGTTGGACTACTCATCCCTGGACGCGGGTTCATGTTCGAAAATCCTGCGTACCAGCCAACAATCCCCTGGTTGGATTGTCTTCCCCGGTACATTAGTATGGAGAGAAGTATACGTTATATTATAGATATATATACTTATATATGTATACATATGTATGGGTTGGTGAGAGTTGCATACTTTTGGGAATGGAGTTGTGGTTTAAGATTTTGAGAGTTATTGGACTTTGAGATTTTATGTTTGGGTAATTGGTTTATGGATGTGGAAACTGCATGCTTGGGCATTATTTTTACACGGTGGGGTTACTATGTTGTTTTAAATGCAAACTTTATTTTTGTCCACTCACATATTTCTATTTTGCGCCCCCCAGGCAGTAGTGGCTTTTTGAAGCATTCGAGCAGGTTGCGAGCTCCAAACATTTCCATCTGTAGATAGGATTCGTGTAAATTCCTTCTACTCTATTGTTGTTGTAAACAAATCCTGTTAGATGCTCTGTTATCGCCCATGTTAGGTTGTCACTTGAGGCCAGAGGCCACTTTAGTTTGAATTGTTGTATGTTGAAAGCATGCTGGCAGTTGGGAATTATATTATATAAATTATGCAGGTTGAATGTTGTTGGGTTTAAGCATTTTACAGGGGAAACTCTGCCAAAATTTTGGTAGGATGTCTTGGGTTTTTAGTAGTGGGCCCGGCATCGGTGTGATGTCGGCACCAAGACGGGGTCCGCCCTGGTTTAAGGGGAAATTCCGGGGCGGGTCCTATCATGTTGGTTAAAAGCTGGACGGCAGAGGAGTACCTACACAATTTGGCCATTATGTTCGGTATACTGAAGGATTACCAAATGAGACTGAACCCAACGAAATGCGCCTTCGGTGTATCTTCAGGAAAGTTTCTCGGGTTCATGATCAGTCAGAGAGGGATCGAGGAGAATCCCGAAAAAATCAAGGCCATAATTGACATGGGGAGGCCAAAGACACAAAAAGACATTCAGAGCCTTACCGGACGTGTCGCCGCCTTAACACGCTTCATTTTCAAGGCTACTGACAAGTGCGTACCGTTCTTTAAAGCCTTGAAAGAGGGAAAACAACATATCACATGGACTGCCGAATGCGACAAGGCATTTCAAGACTTAAAGAACTACATGAACAAAGCACCGTTGTTGTCAAAGCTACTTCCAAGGGAAGTTCTATTTCTTTATCTCTCAGTATCTAGCACTACCGTCAGCTCAGTGTTGATACGTAGGCTGGAGAAAGCAGAGCTACGAATCTTCTACGTCAGTAAGGCATTGCAGAATGCGGAGATTCGGTACCCCCTTTGGAACAGCTAGCTTTAACTCTCGTAGTCTCAGCTTGAAGGCTCCACCCATACTTCCAAGCGCACGAAACCACAATCTTAACCAACCAACCACTTTGGCAGGTACTCCAGAAGCCGGAAGCATCCAGCCGATTGATCAAATGGGCAATTGAGTTAGGAGAGTTCGATATACAGTTCAGGCCAAGACCTGCGGAGAAAGGACAGGCCGTCGCTGACTTCATCTCCGAGCTTACACCTTCGGTAGCACTGGAGCTAGCCAGTTCAAATATTGACGCTAGGGAACCAGGCAGGTAGAACACTGAACACTTCGACCCTTCCGTTCCTATATGGATTCTGCACGTTGACGGCTTGGCAAATCAACAAGGTTGTGGAGCTGGAATGGTGTTAATTACTCCAAACGGAGCCAAGGTCGAATATGCCCTCTGATTTAACTTTAGAACCTCCAACAATGAGGCGGAGTATGAAGCCTTTTTGGTCGGCCTTCGGTTAGCCAAGAGCATGAGCGCAAAACAAATCAGCATTCACAGTGACTCTCATCTCATAGTGAATCAGATAACGGCAGACTTTGCAGCCAGGGATGCCTCAATGTCAGCCTACTTATCAACTACACACCAACTCCTTAAAGAATTTCAGGCCTACGAGATTCGACAGATCCCAAGGATGAAAAACAGTTATGCCGATGCGCTGGCACAACTAGCTATGGCCATTAATGACAAGGTTGGTAGAAAGGTGCTTGTGGAGATCCTATCCCAAGCAAGCATGGCAACTTCTGAAGTATGTACCGTACTGTATAAGAACACGTGGATGTCTCCAGTTTACATTTACTTAACGAACGGCACCCTGCCCCACGACAAGTCTCAGGCACGGAAGCTGCGATACCGATCGGCAAGATATGTAGTCATCAATGATATCATCTACAGGCGCGGCTACACTACTCCGTATCTGAAATGCATCACTGCTGAACAAGGGGACTACGTCCTTCGGGAGATCCATGGCGGTGTATGTGGTGACCATTTGGGGTCCCGGTCGCTGGCACATAAGGCTTTTCGGCAAGGATATTATTGGTCGACTATGCGCTAGGACGCAAATACACTGGTGAAGAAGTGTGACAAATGTCATCTCCTCGGTGATGCCTTCCGGTAGAGGAGGAGGATCGACAATGAAGTTGAGGTTTAGCTTCTGCCCGGGGTTGTATCATTTAAAGCGATAGAGGAGGTCCACCATCTTTGAGCCTACTTCACTGACAGTGAACTCTTTAGATGAACGGTAGCACCTAATTGCCCCACGAACGGCAGCCTCGATCTCCGAAGCCTTCACCAGTTCAAACTCCTACAGCACCACCTGCACGACCTCCTTTGCTGCCTCGGCATCCTTCGCTGCCGCCACCGCAGAGTCCATTGCCACCCTCATCTTCGCCAATTTGGCCTCCGAAGCCTTAACCTGCCATTCGGCGGCCTGCTTATCCTTCAGGAGGTGAGCGTGGTCTTAGAAAGCCTTGCCTGCCTCGGCAACTTTGGCACGACCATCATCGTAAGCCCTTTTTGTGCGCTCAGCAGCGGAGATGGCCCGCTTCACACACAACCACATGTCCATCAAAGCCTGGAAGACAAAGCAAAATATCAACACAAGTATGAGAGCTAACGGTAGCCACACTTAAGGATCAGGAAAATTACCGAGGCCTGGAGATGAAAGGCACGATCGGCTTCTTCTCGAATGAGTTTCTTCGGTAGCTCCTCGATCTCCGACAACTCCATTTGCGAACCAAAGATCATGTGGTTCGCAAATTGGACCGTCTTTGATGGACATGCGATGGTGACCAGTTCGGCAGAGGTATCATCGTCCTCGGCAGCAAGGATAGCCCTCGGCGTCTCCATCTGCCGCCCGCGCTTTGGCAACAGCTCCGCGTCAAGATCTACCGTAATCGGCCTTTTACCGGCGGCCTTAGAAGCAGCGGCCTCGGTAGTCTACCTACACCCTAGCGTTGAGCCGGCCTCGGCAACACCCCTGGGCACTGACTCGGCGTTGAGCTGCTGGAGACGATCAGAAAGAGTTTGATCCTTCGGATCAGCCCCTGCTGACGGCACCGGGGCTGCTTCCAGCTGTCGATTTTTCTTCTTCCCCTGTAGGCCCATCATAAGACGCATCTTGATGGATTCGTTCATCCTCTTGGCTTCGGCAGTCCTCCTGGCGTATGTCACTGTACAAAACGGGCATTCGGTAAGGAGCTGAGACGATATAAATAAACATACAAAGTAAACGAAGTGCACTTACTCTCGGCAGAGCTGGCAATGCAGGCTTTGATGAGGTTATCGGTAAAGAGAAATTTGGGGTACACCCTGTCATCGGTAGGAATCTTCAACCTCACTCTGTCACTCTACCGAATCTCTAATTGAGTGGGACTCGGTTGCTTTAGTTTGCCTACATACAAAAAATAAAAATAAACAAACAAACAAAACACGGATAAGATCTCTCAGGAAAGACATAATTGGCGACCTACCGATTGGCATGTTGACCTGCCGGCAATTTGGAAGGTGGTAGGGATGTGGAAACGAACGGGCTGTCCCGATGGCGACTCCCAATCGCCAGATAAGAGCACCCGCCGATTCCTCCAGGACTTCTGAGAAGTTGGCACGACATTCACGAAATGGCCCCGCTCGGAAGCCTGGAGAAAATTGGCATGAACCCAACCTCCGTGATCGGTACTCTTGGATTTGGTGATGCTGTACATGTAGGAAAATTGCTCGTAGGAAGGCTCTCCTTCCTCGGCAATACCGAACGCAGCAACCAACCCCATCAAGGCCACCCAAAAGTTGGGTTGTATTGGCCTGAAGCGTAGCCAATCTGGGCCAGTATCCTCTACATAGCGGGCTGCAGCGGCAATCGAACCCCCTGCAGAAGGACGTCAGTGAAAAAGACGACTTCACCGTCTTTTGGTTTGCTGAGGGATTCGGTAGGACCTGGTATCCTCATCTTTACTCAGTTCGGGATGTAGTACTCAGCAAGATACTTGGCTATCTCCCGTTCGGTAATCCTATTGGGCTCTAGGTAGTCTACCCCAAAGAGATTTTCCTTCGGCACGCCTAAGGGCACCCTAGGGTTTCCCCTATGAACTATGGTCACCCTCGGCAGGGATACGGGTTCGGCAGATGGCTCTCCACGACCAGATGTGGAGGTCTCCGATTGATGACTGGTGTGCTCCTCTGGCACTCGAGTGCCCCCCATCTGGAACTCGCAATGCTGACCCAAGCCGGCACGACTACCTTCGCAATATACCATAGCCAACGGTACTAGCTGCCTTGTCATAAATCCCTTATCGATGCCATGGGTAGGAACGGAGCTTGGGCCTTCTCCGAGTATTTCGACATCGGTATCTTCTTTGCCCTCAGCATTGAGGCTTATGGCCTCACTATTTGTATCCCACTGATTGTTTGATGACTCCCCATCGAACGCATTGGTTTCACTCTCGAATAGTGACTCGCTATCGGACATCTACAAAACACAGAAAAGGAAACTAAGGGCCATGCAGAAGACCAGCCTACCGATTCCTACATCACTACCTATGGCAACTAGACTACCGAACGGAACCCTACTTAAAGGTCAGTCTAGTTCGTGCCAAGGAAGGACGTGCACAGAAAATAAAGTATTTAAAAAGGATGTCGAACGGTACCTTTTCTACATATTGGTCTGGTCAGAAATCACCTTGACTGCTGACTGGTCTAGTAGGAAATCACCTTTTCTACCGATTGGTTGCTCAGAAATCGCCTTGGTTGCCGTTAGCTCTCCCCGGAAATCGTCTCGACAGAGCTCTCGCTTCACTCACAAATGCAAAGTGAACTTCTCATCCGGAGCCACCCCTATTTATAGGGCGAGGGTTCACAACGGTACGCCTCGAAAAACCAAACGGCGCATTAATGCGCCTATCCGCATGAGTGAACACGCCACGTGTCGTTCATCGTGTGGACGTCTAGACAGCACGCAGGGCACAGAAGATGAAGCGTCTATCTGTCCTATCACTCCTCTAACAAGCGACCCTTTGAGTCCTCGGACGACCGCTTCTGAATGAGGACGCACGGAAGGACAACGATCAAGCGCCTCCCTCGAATGAGTTATCGAACGGTAGGACAACATTTTGATCACCGAAGAAAATATCAAGTCCCCACCCGAGAACTCTCAGATGAGAACTTGGGGGACTCCTGTTTATGCCAAAATGAACAGCTTATGAGGACCAGACATGTGGACAAAACTGAGCTCGACCATGGTAGCCTTTGGCACCTTTCTTACCGATCCCACGATTAGGGCAACTCCCTTCTCTTGGACACGCGGCATGCCCACAATTGACGTCTACAGTCCCACATCGAAAATCTAAACAAAGTACACACCTCCTAAGGTTTATAAAAGAAACACAAATCCCCAAAATGGAGGTAATCAGAACTTACGACATACTGCCTATTGATCTGTTATTTCAAGTTTACTAAATCCGTACTTACTTAAGCATCGGAGAACCTTCGGCCAGTATCACACCGATGCCTAAAGGTCTTATCGAGCGTGTGTTATTTTACAGATCACGTGCTCTACCGAGGCCCAAAATCATACCGAAGGCCCAACATCACTAAGTTGGCCTCAAGAACTGCCGAACCATTTTTGAGCGTCAACAAGGTAGAAAAGAGAGAATACGCTCGAGGAGTTCCTGTGGTAGCTTGCTCAATAATCCAGCGTCCATCTCCGGTGGGATAATCGGAGGCTTGGAGATGGTGATGGGTTGGATTTATATGAGCAATAAGTTTGTGAATCCAAAATTTCAACTTATAATTTGATTATCTTTGTTATGTTGTGCTACATATGAAAAGATTTGAACTTCTCGATATTGTAGAAATTAGGTTTATTTAGTTAATCTCCTCTGTCTCTCTCTCTTGGACCTCCACTAGCCCAGTCATAAAGTCAGTCCATTGGTAGCCAGCAACCATTAGTGGAGTTCTATGCTCAGGAACAAAGTTTCGAGCCTTTCTGATTGCTATACCACAATCCAATCTCATTGACTAAAGAAGCATCCTTATCAATCAATTGCTTAAAGCCTTCAACATCATTATCAAAAGCAAATGTCAAAATCTCACATCTGGGAGGAAGGGTTGGGAAGGGTTGGGCAGGGGTTGGGCAAGGCAAGGTCGTGGTGAGGTTGGCTGGGTTGGGAAGAGAGAGGGCGAGAGATTTTCACTTCTTATTTATTTATTTAATATAATTTAACATTTTTTTTTAATATTTGAAAAAATAATAGAATTGTTTATTATATATTTTGGCAACATGGAATCCATGTCATCAAAAATTGAGGGTTATATTTGCCACAGTATATAAACAGATTAAATAACGGTTTGGCTAACGGAGGGGGTTAAATTGTAGGGTTTCCGGGAGTTTGAATATGTACTAGTAAAAGTCTCTAAAATTGGATATGAACTTGCAAATAACCCTATAATTTAGGGGATTTTATGTAATTTGTCCTAGATCAAATGCTAGTTAATCTCGGTGGCTTATACTTGAATTCAAATAGAATCATTCCGTTACAGGGTCTGTCAAAAAGGAAGTGGAGATCAAGTATGAAATGAAAAATAAACTACTATCACAACACTTGATATCTACAATTTGAAATTTATTTAGATATACTTACTAAAGGAAAAAATCTCGCAAGAATCCGGTCTGATACTACAATAATGGAGGTTGTAATAACTACTGTTTTTGCTAATATTTGGGATAAGCATTCGAAACAAACTTGGTAAATTTTGAATGCTTTAAACCTAAAATAGTATAAATTCGATCAGTTGAATTTGATATTACCATTGATACACTGAATCCATCACTTTGGATAAAAATGGGAATTTGGTAGAGGGGATTTTATTTTATTTTTGAGAGAGAGAGAGAGTTGGTTAAATGAATCATGAAGAAGTGGATATATAAAATATAACAGAACTTTATCAGAGTCCAAACATGACACAGAAAAATAGCGGGGGGTAATAAAAGCACCTCTTTCTTGTCCTCCTGCTTCAGCAAACGCAAATCAATGCCTTCCCATGAGTCTCCATCCTCCGAGCCATTGTTGCAACAAAAGGATGCGAGCACAGTCCAAAGAAGAAAGCATGGATGGAAGGCCGTACGTTACATCTTAGGTATTGATATATTATGTATGATGCTATATACTTTCATGTAAATTATAAAGTTTGAATTAGGCGACATTTTTTTATTTTAATACTTGGCCTGAGTCAGCAAGTGCTACTTGGCTTTCTTCCCTATATATGAGCTTGACAACTCAGTAGGAAAATATAGGGGTGCCCTGATGCACGGGGGGCACGTGCCCCCTTCTCCTCCCAACTTGTGCTCCCAAAGTGGCTTTCTCCTATGTATATGAGCTTGACCAGACTCCAAACTTACATAACAGAGGGAGAAAGATGGTGAGGGAAACGTGCTTCTCCTTCTGCTTCAGAAAAAGCAGATCAAACCCTTCTTCTGATCATGAGTCTTCTTCTTCATCCTCTGAGGCATTGTTGCCACAAAAAGACGACTGTGTAGACTTGTTAGATTCAAAGCCTGGATGGAAGGTGGCTTACATCCTAGGTATATAAGTGATATATATATATATATATATATATATCTGTGTGTGTGCTTGGAATTCAAGAAAATTGAAAACTTCTATGAATTAGGACTTTTTATTTTTTGCAGGTAATGAATCAATTGAGAAGATGGCAACATATGGGTTGACAACAAATTTTATGGTGTATTTGGTGAGGGAGTATCACATGGATCAGGTTTCTGCTGCCAATATTCTCAACATTTGGACATGCGGCTACTGTTTATTGACAGTCGTTGGTGCCTCAATTGCTGATATCTATCTTGGCAAATTTCTCACCATTGCTCTAGCTTCCCTTGCAAGTCTTCTGGTACACAATTAATCAGCATTTATCTAACATTAATTAATCATGATTAATTAGCTTAATTGGGTCCTAATTTTGTGTATTAGGGGATGGCAACAATAACTCTGACAGCCTTTGTGCCACAATTAAGACCTCCACCTTGCATCCCTGATGGGCAAAAACATCTTGTGCATTGTGTCTCCAACACAAAAACCCAACTAGGTTTCTTGTTTGCCGGGCTATCTTGGCTAGCCATAGGCACAGGTGGAATTAGGCCCTGCAGCATTCCCTTTGGCATTGACCAGTTTGACTCAACCACTGTGGAAGGAAGAAAAAATGTCAGTAGCTTTTTGAATTGGTACTATGCTTCATCCACAGTGGTATTGTTAATCAACCAAACTCTAGTGATCTACATTCAAGACTCTATTAGCTGGGCCTGGGGATTTGGGATCCCCACCCTCCTCATGTCATCTTCAATTCCCTTGTTTTTGGCTGGCTCCAAAATTTACCATCATGTGAAGCCAAAAGGAACCACATTTAGCAGCTTTGCACAAGTTCTTGTTGCTGCCTACAAGAAGCGCCATCTTAAGCTTCACAACGACGAAAGGGTTTGCGGGGTTTTCTTGGATGTTTCGTCGGATGGAAATTTGGTGCTCTCCAAGCACTCTCTCACTACAAAATTCAGGTAAAGCTTGATGGGTTCATTTTCCTTACATTGCTTAATCACCATTGTTTGCTTGTTCATTTACTAATTCTCATTTGGCACTACTTTGGTAGCTCAGCTTCTTGAAGAAAGCAGCTTTAGTGGTGGACAATGACCTAAAAGATGATGGGTCTTGTTCAAATCCATGGAGGCTGTGCAGCATGCAACAGGTTGAAGAGGTGATATGCTTCATGAAAATCCTCCCAATATGGGCTTCTGGTGGAATCTGCGTGATGGCCTATGCGCAAGAAGGAACATTTGTAGTGTCACAAGCCCTCAAAATGGACAGGCACATTGGACCCAATTTCGAAATGCCTGCTGGCTCAGTCAAAATGATGTCATTGATCACATTATGCATAAGCCTCCCATTCTACGACCGTGTCCTCCAACCAGCCCTCCGAAAGATCACCAAACACGAAAACGGCATCACACCTCTCCAAAGAATAGGAATTGGGTACTTGTTCTCGTTTCTGTTCATGGTGGTGGCGGGACTCATTGAGAGGCAAAGGAGAGCTTCTGCTTTGTCACAAGCTTCAGAAGATGGCGTTGCGCCCATGTCAGTTTTCTGGCTATTTCCACAGCTAATGTTCCTTGGCATGGTTGAGTTGTTTGGCATTGTCGGGCACATTGAATTGTACAACAAGGAGTTTCCTGAGAAGATGAGGAGCATTGGGAATTCTCTGATATATCTTTGCACGGCTGGGGCTACTTATTTGAGCGCTGTGCTGGCGAGCATTGTGTACAGTGTTACAGGGAAGCATGGGGAGCCTAACTGGCTAGACAATGATATCAATGCCGGTAGACTGGACTATTTCTACTTCCTAATAGCTGCACTTGGGGTGTTGAATTTTGTGTATTTTTGGTCATGTGCTCGTGGATATACTTACACTTCCAGTGTAAGAGCAGTTGAGAGTATAGAGACCGACATTTTGGTTTAGACTTCTGTCCAGTAAATTTGGTTTCCTCTTTCAAATAGCTCTGTATTTGAACTCCACCCATAACCCATACATATACATATGTATACTCATGCATAACCCATCCTCTTTCTAATTTTATTTCAGTTTAAAAAAAAATATATACATATTATTGTTTTTTAAGTTGGTCATGGCATTGAGTTCGTTTCCTTAGCATTTAATTTTTTTAAAATCAAACAATTATATTGATTATAAAAAAAACTGCATGAATACATCAAAGATGTGTATACACGAATCTCAAACAAGACTCAAAAAACAATAATCCGAAACCGAAAAACAGTTTATCCATGTATATTTGATTCGAGTAGGTTATTTTAAACTAACACCTGCTCATGTAAAATAACCTCTTGATGCTTTTGGTGTTTTCACAAAATCCCTTTAAGTTTCGGAAATTACACTAACATCATATGAAGTTTCACATTGCTTTCACAAAACACCTTCCATTAATTTTTCACTTAAAAATTATTGTTTTGATAGAGATGATATTCTACTTTAATATAATCTAAACTACGAGGAGGGGGATTCAGGTGCAAAGTGAGAAGCACATCTGTTCTAGCCAACTTAGCTATGCCTATGACTATTATAGTAAAAATTGTTATTGTCATAAAAAAATTTCTCCAAATAAAAAAGTTGACAACATTTATTATATTGTACATACACTTTGAGGTCTAATTATTGAATTTTATTTTGTTATTTGAAAAAATTTATTTTAATTAAATCATCAAATTTAATCATGGTACGAAATTGATTGACTTTGCTAAATTAAAATTGGGCCTGATAGTTTTCAGCTTTTGGTTTAAAGACTACAACTTGGTTGACCAAAAAAAAAAGAAAAAAAAAAGACTACATCATAGTTCTGATACTCAACATCATAGTTCTTTGCACTAAAAGCTATTTGATCAGGGGGCAAGACTTGAGAACCAAACAAAGCTGCATTTCGGGCATTGCACAAGAACCACAAAGTAATAGTAAACAAAGAGTGTTGTGAGCTAGGCAGAATATCCCATACAGCCAACAGCTAGATTGCAGCATCATGATAGGGTAAAGTGGCGAGAAGTAGAGCCCAACCCATTAGGTGCAAAATAGAATAACTAACCGTGTGAAGAGAATGCATTGCAATTTCAATTAGACCCATACAACGAAAGCAAGTGGTATCTTGGACTATTTTTAGCCGAAGAAACACCTCGCGGGTATGGAGAGCGTTGTGGGCGAGACGCCAGAGGAAATGTTGCATTTTTTGTGGAACTTTAAGCTTTCATAGATGCTTCCATAACTGTTAAGAGGAGAAGGAGGAAGACCCAGACACAGATAAAGAGGCCATCTGAGCTTAAAATTCCAATGCTTTCTAATATCTACTCTTAACTGTATACCGACCATTACGAGTAAAATTCCAAATATGGCGATCACTAGTATCGCAACTCAGAGGAATAGATAGGAAAAGTTTAGCTTCAAGAAAGGTGAATAAAAGATAGATCTCAGAAACATTCTAATGACCACTAGCATTAATAAGAGCACTGACTCTAGAATCCACAGGGAGACAAGGAGAAGATTGAACAGTAAATGTAAGATGGTGAGGTACCCACAGATTGGTGTAGATGTTCACAAGTCGGCCATCATCGATACGCCATCGAAGACCACAGGAGAGGAGTTCACGACCTCATAATATCGATTTCCACGTAAAAGAAGGTATCGAACCCCCTTGAGCATGCAGAAAATCAGACTACGGAAAATATTGAGCTTTAAGCATTCGTGCAATGAGGGAATTGGGAAATTCCAGTAGATGCTACCCTTGTTTGGCAAGCAAAGCTTGATTAAAACAAACGAGTTCTCGAAAACTGAGACCTTCTTCAGTCTAGTGCTTGCTCTAAATCTTCCAGGTCTTCAAATGGATACCTTTTTCACTTCGTTTAGACCACTAATAACGAGCAAAAATACTCTCAATTCATAACATAAGCAAGTTGGTAGATGAAAGACACTCATAGAATAAGTAGGCATCGCTTGATACACCGCCTTTATAAGCACCTCCTTCCCAGCTTTAGAAATAAGTTTACCTTCCTATCCTAAAATCTTCTTCCAAACACAATCTTTAATAGCTTGGAACATATGTTTTTTTTATTTTTTCTGGCTATAGTAGGAAAACCCAAATAACGTTCATGGCAAGGAATGACTGGTAACCCTAGAAGAGCATGGAGTTGAGCTTAGATTGACTCATTGGTGGATGGGCTAAAATAGAGAGCAGACTTGGCAAAATTTATTTGCTACCCCACCACTCCCATTAAGAACCTGTAAACAGAGCTAACAGATATCCGAGCCAATAATACTCCAATAACGCTGATAGAATAAAGTCGGCATCCCATCACAACCAGGAGCTTTAGTGGGCCCCATAGATTTGATGGCAATTTCCACTTCCTCCCGAGTGAAGAGTAGAGATAGATACCACTGAGTCAGTTGAGGAACTTAGGTAGAGACAGCCTGAAAAATTTCATTACTCATAGTTGTGTCTGCAAAAGAAAAGAGATGATCATAGTAGTCGTGAACTACAACAACACCAATCTTCACGGGATCACTCTATAATACATCATAAAAAATCTATACCATAAAATTAATTTTGGCTCTGTGATTGGCAATCTTGTGAAAATAGGAAGTGTTACAGTCACCAGCTTGCAGCCAATTGACACTATAACATTGGCTCTAATATAATTCATTGAGTTCCAGTAACCTGTTGAGCTCATTTGCAACCAATTTCTTGCTCTGGAGAATGACTTCAGAAGGGGCAATAGTTTGAAAGGAAGCCAAGAGGTAAGCGGAGACTGAATTTTGGAATTCATATGACTGAATTTTTGACTTTTCCATTTCGAGAGGCACTTAGCACAAATAGCAAGATTAGTCGTAGGAGATTCCTGACAATGCCACCCTTCTTGAATTATTCTTTCACAGTCTTCGCCAGTTGTCCATTGTTCCTCAAATTGGAAACGACGTGTACTCTGACGACGCCAAACATCAACACTAGGTCGTGAGTCAAGGAGGAGAAAAATTGGGTAATGATCATAAGAATATGCCGAAAGATGGTAGATGGTGAAATTGCCCCACTGGTGAAGCAAGGCTAAATTACCAAATCCTCTGTCTAATTGAGCTTGAACACTGACGTCATCTTCGCAGTTGTTCATCCAGGTCAAAGGATGACCTACAAAATCAAATGATTATAGATTACAGTCATCAATTACCTGTTGAAAATCTTCAATTTGACCGATAGAGCGAAGACGAGGACCACTTTTTTCGTTCACAGACAGAATCTCATTGAAGTCACCGCAACACATCCATGGACCAATATCCACTGACTCAAATGGCGAAGAAGCTCCCAAGAATGAATCCGTCTAGTGAGGTCTGGATTGCCATAGAACCCAATAATTCGAGTAACAAAGGAATTAGGAAAGGTAACCCGAGCATCAATATGTCCAGAAGAGGATGAGAGCAACACAACCTTTAATACAGTCTTCCAAAGAATCCAGAGACCACTAAAGAGCCCTTCACTGGGAACACAGAGGACTCCACCTACACTAAGTCTTCAGACCCAGCCTCTCATCTATAGCAGTCATACGAGTCTCAGTAAGGAAAACAATATCTGGTGTTTTGTCTTGTAAGAGGTTTCTGAGATCATGGAACGTACGATGGTTGCTAAGCCCCCGCACATTCCAACTAAACAAAGACATATCAGAGACCAGAATTTCCTCTCTAACCACCGAGCCAAGCCGAACAAAAAAACCACAGCATGCGAAGGAGAATGACAGAGATAGGAGAGCAAAAATCCAAGGAATCTCCCCAACACTAGCACTCTTAGGAAAACATCGACAAAGACCCAGAATCACAGACACTGAAACCAGCAGGTGGGTGGCCCGAGGGAGACACAAGGGCAGAGAGCCCTAATTCCGACCGTGCTCGCAATCGATACCATACCAAACCCAATAAAATCCCAATGGACCAGTCGATGAGCAACTACGATGAGCCCGAGTGGAGAAGGGAGATACAAAACTAGTCGCTCGTGGCGAAACATAAGGCGAGAAGGTGAGACAACGACAACACCTATCGCAGACAAAAGGGGAGAGACGACGGCTGGATGCGTGACGGCGGCGACTCTCCTTGAGGAGGAACCTTAGATATGACGTGCGGGTCTCCACGCTTAGTTAGAGAGTGACCCCGAGCATTTTTTTTTCTTTCCAATAACCACTTTCGTGTTTCTGTTGTTTAACTAGTTACAATGTGATAAGCTTAAAGGCATTTTAAAGAGAATAATATACGCTAGAGAGTTCTTCCTATCCTAGGGAACCAAAAACACATTTTATAGGAACACTACAAGAAAAATAGTTTTTAGTGGCCAACAAATTGGTTACAAAAAGTATTGATTATGGTCATTGAATGAAATTGGTGTCCAAATATTGGTGGTCATTGGGTCGTCACTAGAAGCTTGTCACAAATTCTATATAGTGACCGTCTTTAAATATTGGTCACTAAAAAAAAACAATTAGTGACTTCCTTTGTTAGGCCATCTGTAGTCATAAGGGCTAAATGGAGCACTGGGTTATAATTTAGCCCTCCAAAATATTATTATTTTTAGAAGAATAGTATAGAGCTAAATTTTTTCAAGGCTATATTTTAGGGCCCTTCGTACTATATTTTTTTGAGAAAGACTATGGTACAACACTCATACATTCTACTACTATGTATTGTTTAATGAATTAAAATACTATTTGAAGACAATATTTCAAATATGACACATGTAGGTTGATAAGCATCTAACAAGATTTTTTTTATAAGATTTTAATATATTTCAAAAGTAATATATATATATATATATATATATACAATACTAGAAAAAAGGTCAGTATTGACCAATTTCTCAATGACCAAACTGACAATAGTCACAAATGGTGCTATATCACCTTGATTACGTCTCTTTGCCATTCGAAGTCACAATACAATTCTCACTCAATTGATTCATGCTTCAATAGCATCCAATCTGTGACCTTATACCTCACAATTTCGATTTCAACCCAATATTTCCTCCAATTTGTTAAACCCTAATAGCACAATATATCCTAACTCATTGAGTTGCAAGAAGAAGATTGCACGTGCTTCGTAAAAAATAAAAAATAAAAATTGCACTTAACATAATGTCTATAAATTCTAAACTTTGAGAAACACAGTGACTAATTTGGGTAAATTTTGGACAAACTACGTAAAACCCCCCAACCTATAGGGTCATTTACAAGTTCATACCATATTTTATGGACATTTACCAGTACATACTCAACGTCACGGAAACCTTACAATTTGCCCCCTCCGTTAGCCAAACCGTTAGTGAATTTGTTAAATGCTGACGTGACGAATGTGGGCTTTTTTATTATTATTATTATTTATTTTTATGACATGGATTCCTAATGGACAAAACAAATAATAAAAAATTATCTACTTTTTAAAAAGAATTTTAAAATATTAAAATTCACTATTTATTTATTTATTTAAAAAAAAACAAGAAAAATCTCTCTCCCCAAGCCACCCTAACCACCACCCATCCCCAAATCTCTCTCCCCTCCCCGACACAGTCCAATCCTCAAATCCCCAACTCATGCACTCGACATGACCCTCCTCCAATCTGTTCTGGGATATGCGATTTGGGGTTGGAGATGAGTTGGGTTTTCGTTCCTTCCCATCTTCAAGCTTCGGATTCACAACCACCCTGCAGTCATCGTCATCCCAGATTTGGTCTCCAAATCGAAACCCTAACATCCCCGATCTTCCCCTAATCTCATGGCCATCATTGCTAGCAAGACATGAAATTGATTCACTCCAATTGAAAGCAATGAAATGAAAGTCAAGTCCCTAGTGCTACAAGTCAAATAAGACTGAACATAACAAAGATATAAAAAGGTTGAGAACTACCAGAATTTATGGTCGACCAAAGAAGAACATCAAGAAATTTTTCAACTAGAGAAATAGTGAGATGGGTATATGCAAAATCCAAATTTTGAGCACCACAGACTTCAAAAATTTTGGGGGCGGGGGAGGGAGAAACAACAGATAGAGAAAGGGGGGAGGTGCGTCGTGGGTGGGTGTGGGCGATGCGTCGTCGGGTGAAGGGGAGAGGGTGGGGGATGCTGTTATCACACAAGAAAACTGGGACACATCTAAAGTAAGGGATAAACTTAAACGCGATATAGAAGCAGAAGCCCATATTGCTTCTTTTCGTGCTGCCAAGCTAGCTGAACTTACTGCACTTTATGAGGTATAATATATATTTTATTCATTGCCTCTTGTGAAATGAATGGGGTGACTGGTAATTTTAAACTCGGGCAAGAATTTGACTGGAAGAAGAAACTTAAAGGGAAGTGGGATGAAGCAGAAACTAAACTAAAAGGGAGATTTGGGTTGCGCTTGTTGGCTGGGTAAGTCGGGTGGGTTGGGGGGTGGGAGAGAGGGAGAGAGAAAGAGAGAGACTGAGAAGGGGGTAGGTGCGGTTGATTGGGCTATGGTGTCGCTCGTCGGAGCTGTGAGGGGCTGCTCGGTTTGGGGGTGGGGGAGGGGTGGCTGCTGGGTTTTGCCAGATTTTTATTTATTTATTTTAATTTTTGATTTTTAAATTTTGAATTAATTTAACAATAATAAATAATTTAAACAATAAAATAATTTTTTATTAACTTTTTGTCCACTTGGAATCCATGTCATTAAAAAAATGGAACCCATATTCTCCACGTCAGCATTTAATAGATTCACTAACGGTTTGATTAACGGATGAGGCAATTTGTAGGGTTTCCGTGACATTGAGTATGTACTAATAAATGCCCCTAAAATCGAGTATGAACTAGTAAATGTCCCTATAAGTTGGAGGGTTTTATGTAGTTTGTCCTAAATTTTTTCGTCAGTGACCAAATTGAATTTTTGTGCAAAACCGAGTGACCAAAAAGGTATTTAACCCTTTTTATTTATTTATTAACGAAACGATATTTCAACTACTTTAATATATAAGGAGAGGGATTAAACTCGGATTAAAGGGCAAGTTGTTTGTGCAAATAATCTCACGGGAGAATATTCGCTTTTAGATCCTTCAACCTTCGATCTTCCTTCTCTCTCTTCCTCGATTCCTGTAAAAAAGATTGGAGTAAATAGACCACACCCAGGGGGTGTTGGCCAAAGGCCCTCCGATGCCTAAGTTAGTTCGAGTGTTTGTAGAAAAACAATAGCTAAGCAAAGGGTACGGAGTAGTGTTTATGTAGGGTGTGAACCGGGCGACCGGAGCCGTGTGGAGAAAATATGGAGAGTGGAGAGGGAGAAAGAGTTTCGGGTATTTTTCTCGGGTATAATGAGTAGGTTTAGATGTACCTTGAATGATGAATGAAGTCATCTATTTATAGGAGCCTCGGGGCTAGGGTTTTGTAGAGAATATGTTGAGTTTATTCTCTACCCAAATTCGTAGAGATCGAGTCGGACTGAGATAATATTTGATTTAATGATATTATCTCTTTTTATGGAGATAATATCAAATGATATTATCTCTTTTTATGAAGATAATATATGAGATAATGGCATTATCTTCTCTTTATTAGGATAATATCTTAATTAATGATATTATCTTATTAAATAAAGATAATATCATGTTAATTAAGATATTTATCTCAATTAATTAATTGGCCAGATAAACTGGTTCAATTAATTAATTAAAAGAGATAATCTTCTTTTCCACGTGGCCCGCTGTGATTGGAGACGAAAATATCTACTCCCACAAATGCCCCATAGCTTCTGCATGGCGCTTGTGTGGCATGTAGGAGATGAAATTATTTTTATATATTTTTTTTTGGGCTCTCCAACTGTGCCTGGGTTTTATTATGTGAGTTGGATTCCTTTGCAGATCAGATTTCCAATTGGTGTAGGCTTTTGACTGTTGTTGGAGTTGGATTCCCAGTAGGAATGAGCTTGCGATCCATCCTTGACCTGGGTTGTCCAACCTGTATAAATACAGGGCTTTTCTTCACTCTTTCTCACATCACAAACTTAACTTCTCTACCTTCTAGCTTGAGAAAGATATTAGAGAATTTGTACTGCTTTGTTGAAGAGAGGAATTGTCATGTATCCAGAGTAAGTCGAGTTCGTGAAAATATATATGCACATATATATATATTTTCTGATTTTTGGCAGCAAGGAGGTGGTCTAGCATGAGCTGCAAATTCGTGGGTTTGTGTACAAAGATCTGGAATGGAGCTGAAAGGGCCCGCATGCGCCCAAGGACTGGAGCTGGCCATACTTGGATCTGCGTGCGCTGGGCTTTGAAGAGATGAGGGCGCTGGGCTTTGGAGTAGAGGCTTGGAGGTGCTGGGCTCCACTCGACATGAGCTTGCGCTGGGCAAGCAGGCCACATGCTGGAGTTGGGCGAGATGACGCTAGGCTGCGCGACGTGGGCCTGCGCCAAGCAGGCGGGCCTTGAGTGCAGGAGTTGGAGGAGATGGCGCTGGGCTGGAGTTGGGCCGCATGCATGCTGGGCTGCGTGAGCTGGCAGGCTGCTCGTGCTGGACTGGAGGGACTGACAGGCTGCTCATGCTTGGCTACTTCTTATTTTCCTTTTCCTTTTCTGCCAGCCCCTTTTTTTTTATACTGCCGTTTTTTTTTCCTGCTAGCCCTTTTTTTGTTTTGTTTGGGATTCTAACTTGTGGAATTTTCTTCTCTTCTTGCAGTTGTTCGTTGACTAACCATGCCTTCCAGAGACGGTAGCAAGGCTTCAAGCTCTCAGGTGCCTTTGTATTTGTGGGGAGGTTCCGTGGTGTACAAGAAGAGGTTTGTGGCCAACCTGCACCACGTTACAAATGAAGATCAATTCCATAGGTGGCGGGCTGCTTATGCCTCTGCAATTCCTGACGACGTGTATGTCAAGCTGGCGAAGCCTTTGACTGACAACATGCCTTGCGTGGATGCGAATGATCCAAATGCGAGAATCATCACATTCCGTCCCTTTACTTCTCCTTGGGCTTCAAATTCCCGTTGTCGAAGCTCTTCAAGGAGGTGTTTTGCGCCATGGGGTGTGCTCCGAGCCAATGTACTCCCAATGTTTATCGGGCGATCATGTGCTTCGAGAATCTAAGCCGTTTCTTCATGTTGGAGCTAACAGTGCGAGAGTTATTCTATTTTTTTGAAGTGAGGTGTTTCAAGGAGTACGCACAACTTCGCACCTGCAATGTCAAGCTGTTTGACAGTCTTAGCCAAGGAGATCACGTGTGGCATGATGATGTGTTGGAAGTCAGCAGACGGTGGGAAGGCGATGTTGGTGATGGTCCATTTGTTCCCATCACCTATTGCAATTGTACGTCTTTTGCAATTTTTTCTTCTATCTGCTCTCTTTTTGTTTGAATTTCTTGAAGCGTAGTTGACTAACTTCTATCTTCTACTTGTAGCGGACGACATCAACAAGAAATTGGAGCTTGAGCCTAACATGGCTAAGGTCCGCCGCGCTTTGAACATCCCCCAAAAGTTCCGTGAGTGGCGTTGGCTGTTGAGCGAGTATCGGGAGGAGGATGGTGGTCTGCCCCCAGCCGAGGATGTTGAAAGATGGAAGCAGAATGGTCCGAACCCTGATGATCTGTCTGCTGAACAAGAGGCATGCTCTGCTGAACCCCCATAAAAAAGGAAGGCTGAAGTCAGGTCTCCGAGAACTCAAGCTACCTCTTCACGGGCGAGGAACGTGTCTCCATTGAGGAAGAAGCCAAAGCTCCCTTCTGCTGAGAAGATCCAAGTAGGAGTTGTTCCCGCCTCATATGCCAGGGTCAAACATCTTGTTGGCGCATACAGTAGGAAGATTGGCGGTATGCGCAACATAAGGGATGCTCCCCTTAAGCCTCTTGCTGACGAGCTTGGAGATCATGATCTGCTCCGCAAAGTGGTCCGTGCACGATCTAGCTCACCTGTTGAAAGACAAAGAGATGCGGATGTTCCTCCCCGAAGTTTGGGTCATTTGCACCAGTCGAAGAGTGGAGGTCGATGTGGGAAGTCTGCTCATCTATCCAACTGTCATGATCTAACTGTTGAGTCACGAGCAATCAAGCGTGAAGTTGATTCAACGTCGCAAATTCCTTTGGAAGTAAGGTTGGCGGAGGCTAGGAAAGCAAGAGAGTCATCTGCCCGGACGAAAGGTTCTTCTACAACGTCAGCGGCTGATCCAAAGGTGGACAAATCTAGCCATGTAAGGGATGCAAGCGTGTCTGATCTGCTAAAGACGCAATTTCTATCAAGTCCATCCTCTTGTGTTGAGCTGGTTGACCAAATCCGTCAGGCTGGCGATCTTGGTGCTTTCTCAAGTCTTTCCTTGGAAAAACAAAGGGAAGCGACACTTCATCTGCTTCAAAAGAGAGTAGTTTTTGCTGCTGAGACCATTCGAAACTCGTCTGTTATTGCCCCCTCTTCTGCTCAGCTCAGCGAGTTGGAGAAGAAGAATGCCGAGTTAGTTAGCAAACTTTCCGCCGAGCAGACCTGTTATGAGAAGAAGACGTCTGATTTGCGGGTGATGATATCTGAGTTGAAGAGTTCCCTTGCTGAGAAGGATTCCGAGCTTAACTTCTCTGCTACTGACTTGGGAAGTCGAAAAGATGCTTACTTCCACCTTGAGCGCAAGAATGCCGACATCTCTCATAGCTATGACAAGCTTTTGGCTAGATTTCACACCTATCATGAGTCTGCTGAGGAATCCAAGTCCGAAGTTGCCATGGACGCGTACAAGTTGGGCTACTTGGACTACACAAAAGGATATGATCCCTTCTACGCCATTGGAGATGAAGACATCGAGATGCTCTATCCAGACTTGCCCCCTGCGAAAAGTGAGGAGGCTAATGCTGTGAACACCGAAGGAGCTGAAGATGAGGTGGCTAAAAAGGCGGTAACTGAGAAGGATGGAGCAGAGGAGGATGCACCCGATGAGGTGGTGGCAGACGTCATAGATCAGGCATGTGGAGCTGCTGAAAGCGTGGCTGATCAGGCGGACGCTGAAGAGGCTGTAGATCAGGGATCTCCTGCTGGTGTTTCAGAGTAGACGAAGACTCCTTTATTTCTTTTCAACTTTTGTAGTATGTTTTTGTTTAGAATAATTGGTCTTGTTTGACCATCTTCTTTTTGTTTGAACTTGGCCGATTGGTCGCTTTGCTATGAAAATTTCAGTCTTTATTTTTCAACTTCAATTTGCATATTGTCTTGTGAACTGCTTGAGTAACCAGCTAGTGTCTTGATTGCACATCTCCCTTTGGAGATTCATGAGTGCCAGGGTTCCCCTTGAAGGACTTCGGACATGTTCTGCATATCTCTTAGGATGGCTTCCCTTAGGAAGTTGGCGAGTGCCAGGACCTCCCTTAAGGGGCTCCCGGCGTGTTCTGCATATCTCTTAGGACGGCTCCTCTTAGGAGGTTGGCGAGTGCCAGGGCCCCCCTTAAAGGGCTCCGGGCGTGTTCTGCATATCCCGTAGGATGGCTTGATCGTCGCTCTGCGTCTCCTGAAGGATGCTGCTTATGGGCAACTGTGTGACTATCATGCCTCCCTTAGGAAACGGATAGGAACCTGGATACTTCCCGTAGGAGGCATGGAGACCTCCTTTTAAGAAATTCCTGGCGCACCCTGCGTCTCCCTTAGGACGCTCCTTATGGGCAACTATATAACTATCCTGCCTCCCTTAGGAAACGGATAGGAACCTGGATACTTCCCGCAAGAGGCATGGAGACCTCCTTTTAAGAAATTCCTGGTGCACCCTGCGTCTCCCTTAGGACGCTTTTTTAGTGGGCTGCGTCTCCAAACAGACGCTTTTAGTCGTTGCCCTATGTCTCCCTTACGACGCTCCTTATGGGCAACTATATGACTATCATGCCCCCCTTAAGGAACGGATAGGAACCTGGATACCCCCCTTAGGAAATTCCTGGCGCACCCTGCGTCTTCCTTAGGACGCTTCTTTGCGAGCTACGTCTCCAAACGGACGCTTTTAGTCGTCGCCCTGCGTCTCTCGAAGGACGCTGCTTATGGGCCATTGTTTTGCGGTGATCTGCCTGCCAATGAACTGTGAGCCGTTGTCGGTAACCAGCGATTGTGGGTAGCCAAACCGGCAGATGATGTTTCTCTCTATGAATCACTCCACATCGGCTTCTTTAATAGAGGATAGAGCTTCGGCCTCGATCCATTTAGTAAAGTAGTCGGTGGCGACGATCATCATGTCCTTCTTGGCGGGTGTCGTTGGCATGGGGCCTACTAAGTCGATGGCCCATTGCATGAAAGGCGACGGACTGTTCTGCGGATGGTAAATTTCGGCAGGCAGATTAGGAACTGGTTTGTACCGTTGGCAGCAATCACATCTCTTGACATATTCAGTGAAGTCATGGCGCATGGTAGGCCAGAAATAGCCTACGTTTAGAGTTTTCTGGGTGAGTGACCAGCCCCCCGAGTGGTTGCCACACTCGCTGTCGTGAATTTTGTAGAGGACTTCAAGTGTTTGAGGGTACTTTATGCAGGTGAGATGAGGGCCAGAGTATGATCTACAGATGAGCTTGCTGCCGTGCATATAGTATCTCGCGGCCTTCTGCTGGACCTTCCTAACTTCAGACTTATCCGTTGGCAGATTTCCATTCACTAAGTAGTCGATTATGGGGTTTTGCCAACTAGGGTCCTCATCAATCTACATTGAGTCGATTGGCTCTATTTCTTCGATGCTTGGCCGGTCAAGATGTTCAACTGGGATGGAGCGTCTGAACTGGGTGTCCAATGCTGATCCTAGGCTCGCCAACGTATCTGCATGAGTGTTCTCTGCCCGTGGAACTTGTTGGATGGTGAAAGTAGGGAATTCTTTCAAAAGTCCTTGGACTCTGTCGAGGTACTGGACCATTCTTGGATGCTTTGCCATGTACTCGCCTGAGGCTTGATTCGTGATCAGTTGGGAGTCTGAGTAGATGGCCAGTCTCTTGATTGACAGTTCTTTCGCTAGGCGTAGTCCTGCAAGCAGTGCCTCATATTTTGCCTCGTTGTTTGAAGCAGAAAAGCCTAGTGTGATAACTTGTTCCAACAAGGTTCCGTCTGGGGTGATTATGACGACTCCTACTCACGCTCCTTTGTGATTTGATGCTCCGTCTACATGCAACTGCCACATGTCGTTAAGTAGGTTCGAATCGGTACGGGAGGTGTCGTCCGCTTTTTCCTTGCTTTTTGTGACCATCTTCTCTTCTTCGGCTGTCGGAGTAAATTCTACAACAAAATCTACTAAAGCTTGTGCTTTTATAGCAGTCTTCGGCCGATAGAGGAGGTCGTATTGACTGAGTTCGATAGCCCATTTCATGAGTCGCTGAGAAGCGTTGGGGCTGTGAAGGATCGATCTCAAAGGAAATTCTGTTATGACAATTATCCGGTGTGCTTGATAGTAGGGCCTTAACTTTCTCGCAGAAACCACAAGCGAAAAAATGAGCTTCTCCATTTTCGGATAGCGAGTCTCTGCATCGAGAAGAGCTTTTGAAGTGTAGAATACCAGATGTTGTGCCCCCAGCTCTTCTCGAATGAGAGATGAGCTGACAGCTGAGTCGGACACTGCTAGGTAGATGTACAAGTCTTCGCTTGGTATTGGCTTTGAGAGCAATGGAGGTGAAGTGAGGTAAGTTTTCAAGTTTTGAAAAGCTACTTCACACTTGTCTTTGTGTCCCTTCTTCAAAGCTTTGAAAAATGGCTTACATTTGTCGGTAGATCTAGAGAGGAATCGGTTGAGAGCTGACGCCTTACCCGTTAGACTTTGTATCTCCTTTGTTGTGGCAGGTGACTTCATGTTGAGTATAGCCTTGATTTGATTTGGATGTGCCTCAATTCCTCTTTGGGTGACTAAGTATCCAAGGAATCGGCCGGACGAGACTCCAAATGTGCATTTGCTCGTGTTCAACTTCATGTTGTATTTTCGGAGTAGGCTGAATTCCTCGGCAAGATTCTCGATGTGGTCTGCTCGTTCGGGAGCTTTGACTAGCATGTCGTCTACGTAGACCTCCATAGTCTTGTCGATTTGCTCCTTGAAAATTTTGTTCACCAGCCTTTGGTAGGTTGTCCCGGCATTCTTCAGCCCAACGGGCATGACCTTGTAGCAGTAGGCACCTCTTTCGATGATGAAAGAGGTCTTTGCCTTGTCGTCTTCATGCATCATGATCTGGTTGTAGCCGGAGTAGGCGTCCATGAAGCTTAGCAGTTGATTACCGGATGTTGAATCGACGAGCTGATCAATTCTCGGCAGTGGAAAGTTATCTTTAGGACATGCCTTGTTGAGGTCAGTATAGTCGACGCACACTCTCTACAGGCCTTTATCTTTCTTTACTACTAGAACAACGTTCGCCAGCCATTCTGCGTATGAGACTTCTTCAATGAAACCGACAGCTAGAAGCTTGTCGATCTCGGCTTCAATGATGGCGACCCGCTCGGGGGCGAAGTTGCGTCTCTTCTGCGCTACAGGCTTGATGGCTGGGTTGACGTGTAGGCGATGGCAGATGATCTGGGGATCGATGCCAGGCATGTCAGATGGTGATCATGCAAATACGTCTTTGTTGTTCTGGAGGAATGCTACAAGCTCTGCCTTTTCCTCCTGGCTACAAGCCGATCCGCGCTGTTCTCTCTGGCTTGTCAGGATCAAGGGGTACTAGCTCAACGTCCTCCTCGGGCTTCCATCCTTCTTTAGGATAGACCTCCGGACGGATTCCCTCGACTTGGTCCTGATTCTTTGATTGCCATTGGGGAGTAGTTATTCCCTTTCCTCGTCTGCATGGATTCGGTCGACCATGGCCTGTGCGATTTGAATGCTGATGACAAGAGCGTCATTGTGTGGTAGATCAATGCCAATTAGATCTTTCTTTTGGAAGCCGATTACAGGATCGTCTTTTGCTAGCGGAATGTCGGTTGAGACTTGGGAGATCATAGTGGCTTGTTTGAGCTTCCCTTTTTTTTTCCTTGCTGGTCAGCCAAGATTCCTCGGAGTCGGCTATGATTGTGTTAATCCTTATGACCTTTTGGAGTGGCTCCTTAGCGGTGTCGCGGTCCTCTATCTGCGGGATGGCCTGCTTAGCAATGAATTCCGTGCAATGACCTTCCCTCACGAGTTCTTCGAGGTGTGCTTTCCAAGCGAAGCAGTTGTTCGTAGTGTGTCCATGTGTCCCATGGAAGGCACAACATTTGCTAGTATCCCTCTTGTCTGGATCTCCTTTCAAGGGTAGTGGTCTTCTTACCCAAGGTTTGTTTTTCACTTGGGCTAGGATTTGATATATAGGGCTGGTGAACTTGGTGTAGTTCTCTCCTGCCTTAGCATCCCCTTGTGGGTGTGACTTGCGCTTGTTCTTATTCTTGTTGCTAAATCCATCACTTCTTTGGCTCGCTCACTTGGTCGGCCGATCTCCCTGCTCAGTGGACTTCTTCGCGGCAATTCGATCGTCATCCCAGAGCGCGTAGTGTTCTGCGGTCACGAAGACCTCTGCTAAAGTCTGGCTGGGAGTGATAGTCAGATCGCGGTATAACTCGTGTTCTGCTGGAAGACCTTTCTTGAAGGCAGATGATGCGATTTGGTCGTCGCACCCTACAATGTTGGCCTTTTCTGCTTTGAACCTCTTGATGTAATCTCGAATGGATTCGTCGGGCTTCTTGCGCATGTTGAACAGATGATCTGGGTTCTTCTTGATCATCCGATAAGAAGTGTATTCTTTATTGAAGACATAGGCAAGCTCCTTGAAACTGTTGATTGACCCGGATGGCAGGGTATGGAACTAGTCCTGAGTTGTTCCTCGCAAGGTCATTGCAAACGCCTTGCACATCAGTGCGTCGTCGGCCTTGTGGAGGATATGACACTTTTGAAATGTTTTAGGTGGCTCTCGAGATCGGAATCTCCCTTGAAATGCGTAAACGAAGGCGTTGAGAATCGCTTCGGGGGAGCAGCCTGCTCAATTTCAGGGGTGAAATGAGTAGAGATCGCCTGGTCCATCTCCTTACGTAATACATCCTTGAGGTTCCCGCCAGTCTTCAAGTCTTGAAGTCGATCATTCACAAGCTTCTCAACGTCCACAAGCGTCTCAACGTCTTCCGTGCACATTGTTGGTCGATCACGTTGGCGACTTTTGCGATTCGGGCAACGCTGATTGACCTCCTTGTTGGTCCACGAAGGTCGGTCCTCTCGTCCGCGCTGCCTAGGAGGCGTGTTGGTGGACTGCGTTTACGAGGAATTTTCTGTAGCTTGACGGAGAGAATTGGTTCTCCAAGAGCGGGCAGTGGAGTGCCTCTCTTCACGATCCTCATTGCGAGGGTTATCGGGTTGACCTCCCTAGGGGCCTAGTCTTTCTTGAATATTTCTATGCGAGTGGGCAGCGGAGCGCCTCTCTTCACGATCCTCATTGCGGCGATTGCCAATTTGACCTCCCTGGGAGCCTAGCCTTTGAAGTACATTTCCTTGCGGGCCCAGGCGAGCACGGACGTCAAGTCGTGGGCCGAGCCTTTCTCGCACGTTGCTTTGTGTATGGCTTGCATATGCTTGCGACATGTCGGTAAGTTGATCACGTGGTTGTGCATCCCTTTGTCTTCTCACTCCTGCTTGACCTACTTGGTGCCTGTTGAGCTGCCCACCGGTGCGTTCGTCTATTCTTCTCTCTTCGCCTGGTTGTCCAAGGCCAAGATTTTGAGCCACGCTTATTTGATTGAGGAGCTGCCTCATAAGAGCGTTTTGGTCGTCCATTCTCTGAGCTAGCTGGTCAACTCTCATGTTGAGATCTGCTTGACTTTGTGGATCGGGAGGAGAGAAGCGTGTGGAGCCTAATTACACACGGGCTAGGGTTTCATTGGAGGTGTACCCGAGAGTGTGCTTCGAGCGTGGAGGCAATGGAGGGAATGCTTGAAGTTGTTCCAAGATCGGGCCTAAGTCGGTGGTGGTAACAAGCCCACCTTGATGGGAGGTTCCACCATGTTCAGCGGCGGTGCCACGGAGGTTGCTAGGTCCGGCCGCGGGTCCGGTAGGTGGCACGGTGGCGAGAGGTGGTGGTGCCACCATGTCGATCGCGGGGTCGTGGGTGGAGTGGCTTTGGGCCGTCACGGATTGAGCCATCGCAGCGGTTTTACTCCTCGTGCGCTTGCTTCCAACCATGGTTGTTTGGAAGGCTTCAGTGGATTGGAAAATATGAGGAACGGATTCCTTGAGCACGCGTTGAGTATAACTCGTGCTCTCAATGAAAGCACCAAATGTTTGTGCAAATAATCTCACGGGAGAATATTCGCTTCTAGATCCTTCAACCTTCGATCTTCCTTCTCTCTCTTCCTCGATTCCTGTAAAAAAAAGATTGGAGTAAATAGACCACACCCGGGGGGTGTTGGCCAAAGGCCCTCCGATGCCTAAGTTAGTTCGAGTGTTTGTAGAAAAACAATAGCTAAGCAAAGGGTACTGAGTAGTGTTTATGTAGGGTGTGAACCGAGCGGCCGGAGCCGTGTGTGGTGGCCGGAGCCGTGTGGAGAAAATATGGAGAGTGGAGAGGGAGAAAGAGCTTCGGGTATTTTTCTCGAGTATAAGGAGTAGGTTTAGATGTACCTTGAATGATGAATGAAGTCATCTATTTATAGGAGCCTCGGGGCTAGGGTTTCGTAGAGAATATGCTGAGTTTATTCTCTACCCAAATTCGTAGAGATCGAGTCGGACTGAGATAATATTTGATTTAATGATATTATCTCTTTTTATGGAGATAATATCAGAATTAAATGATATTATCTCTTTTTATGAAGATAATATATGAGATAATGACATTATCTTCTCTTTATTAGGATAATATCTTAATTAATGATATTATCTTATTAAATAAAGATAATATCATGTTAATTAAGATATTTATCTCAATTAGTTAATTGGCCAGATAAACTGGTTCAATTAATTAATTAAAAGAGATAATCTTCTTTTCCACGTGGCGCGCTGTGATTGGAGACGAAAATATTTGCTCCCACACAAGTCACACTACCTTGATAAACTAATATAAAATTTATCCACCAACAACCTCTTTTTTTTTTTTTTTTTTTTCTTCAATGGAGAAATGGAAAATCGAATACAGAACGTCTTTCAATATTTTGAAACAGCATTAGAAGAATAAGAACTTCATTAGATCAAATGCTAGTTGATCTCAGCGGCTTACTTGAATTCAATAGAATCATCCCCCATTACAGGGTCTGCCAAAAAGGAAGTGGGGATCAAATATGAAATGAAAAATAAACTAGTATCACAGCATATGATATCTACAATTTGAAATTTATTTCGATGCCATTTACATATATAGAAAAGAAAAAATCTCACAAGAAATCCAGGCCGATACTACAATAATAGAGGTTGACTAATGTTATTGCTAATATTTGGGCTAAGTATCTTCGAAACAAACTTGGTAAATTTTGAATGCTTTAAAACATAAATAGTATAAATTCGATCAGTTGGATTTGATACACTGAAACATGGCGTATCTATGCTCAATCCATCACTTTGGATAAAAATGGGAATTTTGTTGAGGGGAGGTTTTTTTTTGAGAGAGAGAGAGAGAGTTGGTTGAACGAATCATGAAGAGGTGGATATATAAATATGAAAGAGAACTCTATCAGAGTCCAAACATGACAGAGAGAAAAATGGCGGGGGGTAAAAGCAGCTCTTTCTTGTCCTCCTGCTTCAGCAAACGCAAATCAATGCCTTCCCATGAGTCTCCATCCTCAGAGCCATTGTTGCAACAAAAGGATGCCATCACAGTCCAAAGAAGAAAGAATGGATGGAAAGCCGTACCTTACATCTTAGGTACTTATTGATATATTATGTATGATGCTATATACTTTCATATAAATTATAATATGAGCGATTTGGGAAGGAGGAAAACCTTGCAAGGACTTATAAGGAGTTGGGTCACTCCCCCCATTGCCAATTGGTTTTGGGGTGGAACCTCAATTTCCTTCATATAAGTGATAAACTATTATATATGTGCTTGGAATTCAAGAAAATTGAAAAGTTTTATAAATTGAGACATGTTTTTTTTTTGGTTTTGCAGGTAATGAATCAATTATAAAGATGGCAACATATGGGTTACAAACAAATTTTATGGTGTATTTGGTGAGGGAGTATCACATGGATCAGGTTTCTGCTGCCAATATTCTCAACATTTGGACAGGCCTCTACTGTTTATTGACAGTCGTTGGTGCCTCAGTTGCTGATATCTATCTTGGCAAATTTCTCACCATTGCTCTGGCTTCCCTTGCAAGTCTTCTGGTAAACAATTAATCAACATCTATCTCACTAGGGATGGCAATGGGTCGAATCGAGGGTGGGTATGTCATTCTCATCCACATCCTCGTTAAGCTTTTTTCCCCATCCCTGCCTTCATACCCGCAATATTCATATTGGAGATTCCCCATCCCCACATTCGTTGCGAAATAGGTTTCTCGACCCACTCCATTACGGAAGAAAAAATCAATATATAACTATTTTGCTGAAGAAAAAAAATAGTGTCGCTTAAGACTTGTATAAATTATATAAGTATATAATATAATAATATAATAATATAAAACTTAGTTGGTACAATCACTTTAATTGCATATTGATATATACATATATATATATATGTATGTATATATATTCTAAATGGAGAGGGTTCAGGTTGGGGATTAAAATACCATCCCCGCCCCTCCCCAAACACTATATCCAAAAAAATCCCCGTACCCATCCCCATACCCTTTTTTTGTCCTTCATACCAGCCGCAATAGGGTCAAATCCTCGCGAAGACCCTTACCAGCCAGGGGGAAACTTGCCATCCCTACTCACATTAATTAATCATGATTAATTAGCTTAATTGGGTCCTAATTATGATATATCATGTGTATTAGGGAATGGTAACAATAACTATGACAGCCTTTGTGCCACAATTAAGACCGCCGCCTTGCATCCTTGATGGTCAAAAACATCTTGTACAATGTGTCTCCAACACAAAAACCCAACTAGGTTTCTTGCTTGCTGGGCTATCTTTGCTAGCCATAGGCACAGGTGGAATAGCGCCCTGCAGCACTCCCTTTAGCGTTGACCAATTTGACTCAACCACTGTCGAAGGAAGAAAATCAGTCCATAGCTTTTTGAATTGGTACTATGCTTCATCCACAGTGATAATGTTGATCAACCAAACCCTAGTGGTCTACATTCAAGACTCTGTTAGCTGGGCCTTGGGTTTTGGGATCCCCACCCTCCTCATGTTATCTGTAATTCCCCTGTTTTTGGCTGGCTCCAAAATTTACCACCATGTGAAGCCAGAAGGAACCACATTTATCAGCTTTGCACAAGTTCTTGTTGCTGCCTACAAGAAGCGTCATCTTAAGCTTCACAACGACGAAAGGGTTTGCGGGGTTTTCTTGGATGTTTCATCGGATGGAAATGTGGTGCTCTCCAAGCACTCTCTCACTACAAAATTCAGGTAAAGCTTGATGGGTTCATTTTGTCTTACATTGCTTGCTTGTTCTTTTACTAGTTCTCATTTGGCACTACTTTGGTGGCTCAGCTCCTTGAAGAAAGCAGCTTTAGTAGTGGACGATGACCTAAAAGATGATGGGTCTTGTGCAAATCCATGGAGGCTGTGCAGCATCCAACAGGTTGAAGAGGTGATATGCTTCATGAAAATCCTCCCAATATGGGCTTCTGGTGGCATCTGCTTCATGACCTCTGCACAAGAAGGAACATTTGTAGTGTCACAAGCCCTCAAAATGGACAGGCATATTGGACCCAATTTCGAAATGCCTGCTGGGTCAATCAAAGTCATGTCATTGATCGCATTATGCCTGGGCATCCCATTGTACAACCGTGTCCTTCAACCAGCCCTCAGAAAGATCACCAAGCATGAAAACGGCATCACAACTCTCCAAAGAATAGGACTCGGGTATTTGTTCTCGATTCTGTTCGCGGTGGTTGCTGGACTGGTTGAGCAACAGAGAAGAGCTTCTGCGTTGTCACAAGGTTCAGCAGATGGCGTTGCTCCCATGTCTGTGTTTTGGCTATTTCCACAGCTAATGTTCCTTGGCATGGTTGAGTTGTTTGGCTTTGTTGGGCACATTGAATTGTACAACAAGGAGTTTCCTGAGAAGATGAGGAGCATTGGGAATTCTCTGATCTATCTTTGCATTTCTGGGGCTACTTATTTGAGCACCTTGATGGTGAGCATTGTGTACAGTGTTACAGGGAAGCATGGGGGGCCCAACTGGTTGGACAATGATATCAATGCCGGCAGACTGGACTATTTCTTCATCCTTATAGCTGCGCTTGGGGTGCTGAATTTTGCGTATTTTTGGTCCTGTGCTCGTGGATATACTTACACTTCCAGTGTAAAAGCAGTGGAGAGTAAAGAGACCGACATTTTGGTTTAAGACTACTGTCCCGTAAATTTGATTTCTTCTTTCAAAAGCTTTGTTTTTGAACTCCATCCATAACCCGTACATATATATATGTACATCAAACATATATGTGTACATATCAAACATAAATAAATAAAAGTTGTTTTGTATGATATTAGGATTACTTCAGTTTTCAAAATATATATATATATATATATAAGTTGTTTTATTAGACCAGTTGGTAGGGATGGCAACGGGTCGGGTATACCATCCCCGTCCTTGCTCTCCATCCTCGCCTTTGTCCCCGAATCCATCTCCGTTTAATAGGTTTCGGGGAATCCACATCCCCGTTCTCATTGGGGGACTATTTCCCATACCCGGCTCGAATCCCCAATTTTTTTTTGCATAAAAATATTTATCATACATTTTAACATTAAGTTTCATATTAAATTATTATTCAACACTTCCAAATTAACTATAAAGTTCAACTCAACTATTCAAAATCACATCACTATGAAATTCCAAAGAAGATTAGGAAGAATTAGGAGAGGGAGGTTAACTTAAGGTTAAACAAAAATATTATAATTATATATATTTATTTAAATATAAACATATATATTTTCGGGTCGGGTTCGGGGATGGGGACGCCAATACCATCCCCTCCCCATACCCGTAGGGGATTTTTCAAGTTCGGGGATCCCCGTATCCGATACTCATTAGGCCCCGAAATCTCCCCCCGTTAGGGTCGGGGACCCGCCCTCGTGGGGATTTTTGCCATCCCTACCAGTTGGTATGGGTGTTGACTTCCTGTTTGAGAGTGTTTTTGGAAGGGCCAAAAGCGTTTTTTGATAACTAAAAGCGCTTCTGACAGCGTTTGGCAAAAAAGTTTAGAATTGTTTCTACGTCATAGAAGCGTTTTCTGGAGAAGCACCTGCTATGTGCTTCTTCAGGAAGCACTCCCAAGTGCTTTTCCACGCATCACTTTAATTTTTTATGAAAATTCTAAATTTTTATAATAAAAGCACTTTTGTTAGAAGCGCTTATGAGCAGAAGTACTTCCTACAGAAGCAGTCCCAAACAAGCCCTTCGTTTCCTTTCTACTCAAGTTTTTTTATTTTTTATTTTTTATATTTTTATTTTTATATAAATTAAACAGCGATATTCATTAAAAAAAAATACTTCAAGAATACATCAAAGATGTGTAGACACGAATCTCAAACAAGACCACAAAAGCAATAATCGAAAAGGGAAAAACCTTTTAACCATATAGATTTAATTAATTTAAAGTTTTTTTTTGGGTGAAATAAGGGGGAAACCCCCATAAAATAACAACTAAACACTGCGCATTAGTCGAGGCCTAGCAAGACCAAGCAAGTCATCCACCAATAGAGAGCTAACCCAGACAGGAGCCTCATCAAATAAACAAATTCCCAAGTCCAGATTATAACTCTAATTTGCCAAACAATCCGCAACACAATTTTTTTCATGTAAATGTGGACAAAGGGAAAATTTTCAATTTGTCTTATGAGATTACAACAACTATGTACCAAAGAAGCAAGAGGATGACATTGCAATGAATTGATTTATTGAACAAGTAAGACAACAACAGTAGCATCCATTTCAATAACAAGGTTAGTGAAACCTTTCTCAACAGAAAGCTTTAGACCAAAATATATACCCCAAACCTCAGCCTCCAGGATATGACCTTAGCCTAAATTCACAGCAAAACCAGCAATCTAGTCTCCTAAGGAGTCCCGAATAACACATCCTGCTCCAATGATATTAGTGGCATCCCTTCTAGAACCATCCACATTCAGTTAAAGTTGGCCAATTGTAGAAGGGTCCTAAGCCAAAAAAACATGTATTTTGTCATGTTTCGCCCCAAAGCCATTAACGACTTTAACCCACTTAACAACCGCAGAAAAATTGTTTTCCTAGGTTAAAAGGCATATCCACCTCAACATTAAAAATCTGCTTGTTACGCCAATTCCATATATACCAACATGTAATGGCAAAAATAACATTCCACCCAATACCATCAGGGCCTTTAACCTTAGAGAGAAAATTGCCTAAAAACTAAGGTTTTAGCTCAGAGAGGAAGAAATGAGGAGAAGAGTGTAAATTTAAGATAGATTTCCATACCATTATAGCCATGAGATAGTCCTTGAGAATATGAATAACAGATTCAGTTTGCCAACCACAAAGAAGACAAGAAGGATTAGAAGTTAGATTCCTCTTGGTTCTTTGCTCATTGGACAAGATTTTACCTTGCTAAGCTAGCCAAATGAAGATCTGTATTTAAGGAGGGATTTTCATTCTCCATAAGTCCTTCCAAAAAGGATCAACATCTCCCCGGTCTCTAAAAAAATAGAGTATACAGATTTAACAGAGAATAAGTCATTTGAATAAAAACCCCATATTTGAGCATCATGTACAGAGTTCCCAAACCCAACAGGGACAACAGTGATCTATTGAACCAAATCTTCAGTAAGAGCATTCCTGAGTTGGTCCACATTCTACCAACTATTCCTAAAAAAGCTGTCAACGCTGCAATTCAATTCCTATATATTCAACACCCCATTATGTTGCATTAAAGGTGTATCAAATAGCCATTTATCTGTCCAAAATTTGACCAAATCACCCTTTCCAACCCTCCAGGTCATTCCCCATGCAAGCAATTCAGCTCCAAAAAGAATACGGTTCCAAATTGAGGAGCACAAATGTCTTGTTTTTAGATTATGGTCAATAATAGAGTAACCCTTGAGGTATTCATGGGAGCATATATTTCACTGACTAATAAGAAGACGATACGTGGAATATGAATATTCCTTTGGTCAAACTAATTACCCTAATTAGGGCATGTTTACGTATCAGTAATGGGAATGAGAGGAAAGGGAATGATTTCCATTCTTGACTTCTCCTGCGTTTACTTGCAATCAGGAATGAAAAAATAAGTGGGCCCCACCTCAAAATTCGTAATCACATTCCTTCAAAACTAGGAATCAGATCAACTAGGGGGGAGTAGTCGATACGATTCCCATTCCTGTTTTCTCTTAATAACTTCCAAAAATAGCCTTATCACTTTACCATAATTCTAAAATTAATTTGGATTCTGATTCATGCAAATTAGTAAACAATAACAATGGGAATCAATCCCATTCCATTGCTAATTCCAGATGTTTAGTAAACAGCTTAATGGGAATGATTCTTCCCATACCGATTCAGTAGTTCTCCGATTCTTAAATTCTCTGGGCATGTTTACGTATCAGTAATGGAGAAACTAAGGAATCAGAGAATTTAGGAATCGGAGAACTACTGAATCGGTATGAGAAGAATCATTCCCATTAAGCTGTTTACTAAACATCTGGAATTAGCAATGGAATGAGATTGATTCCCATTGTTATTGTTTACTAATTTGCATGAATCAGAATCCAAATTAATTTTAGAATTATGGTAAAGTGATAAGGGTATTTTTGGAAGTTATTAAGAGAAAACAGGAATGGGAATCGTATCGACTACTCCCCCCTAGTTGATCTGATTCCTAGTTTTGAGGGAATGTGATTACGGATTTTGAGGTGGGGCCCACTTATTTTTTCATTCCTGATTGCAAGTAAACGCAGGAGAAGTCAGGAATGGAAATCATTCTCTTTCCTCTCATTCCCATTACTGATACGTAAACATGCCCTCTGATTCCTTAGTTTCTCCATTACTGATACGTAAACATGCCCTTAATTCCTATTTAATTTGGGAAATTATCTTCGATTTAATATAGGAATATCTCCTTAAATCAAGGAACCAATCTCCACCAAATCTCTTGGAGTAATTCCTATAATCTTTTTGGGAAGAATAATCCTAACCAAACAAGACTGCTATAGAAGCCCAGGCTTTACCAGATTTCGTTGCAGAGTTCACTCCATTAGCTGAAAAAGAGAAGATAGTTAAAAGACCCAAGGAAAGTTCGAGTGCAGATGAAACCTCCTCCGCCAATCCTGATATGCCCAAAGACATGTGGCAGTTGCGTATAGATAGAGGGTGAAATCATAAGGGAGCTAGAGCAGGCGTCGTTATAATCACCCCGAACGAAACCTTGTTAGAGCAAGCCATCACGCTGGGCTTTCCAACCACAAACAACGAAGCATAGTACGAGGCGCTGCTCGTTGGCCTGCAAGCGGCAAAGAAGCTGTAGATCAAAAGGTTAGCCATCTACTTAGATTCTCAGGTAATCCCTAATCAAGCACCAGTGGAGTATATGAAAAAACACCCAAGAATAATCTAGTACCTAGACAAAGTCTAAGAGCTTTTGAAGGCATTCCCTACCTTTACTTTCCAACAAACGTCCTAAGGAGACGTAAGACAACCCGCCAAAACGTCCTAAGGGAAATGTAAGCAATCTGCCAAAACGTCCTAAAGGAGATGTAGGCAACCGTCCAAAACGTCCTAAGGGAGACGTAGGACATCTGCCAAACATCCTAAGGGAGACGTAGGCAATCGTCCAAAACGTCCTAAGGGAGACATAGGACATCTGCCAAAACGTCTTAAATGAGACGTAAGCAACTGCCAAAGTGTCATGAGGGAGACGCAGGTCTGAAACATCCTAAGGGAAAAGTAGAGGAGCACCCTTTAAGTAAGCGGTGGGTAAACATTCAAGCATCATAAGGGAGATGCACAACCAAGGCCCCAACAGGTCACTTAAACAGTTCACAAAACTCAACAAAATTTTGGTTTAAATAACTAAAATTACCATAGCAAAGTGACCAACTGGCCAGAGTTTGACAAAAGAAAGATGGTCAAACAAGACCAATTATTGCAAACATAAAAGCATATTACAAAGCTTAAAATTTTAATTTAAATTTTTTTTTTTTTTTTTTTTTTTTTTTTTTTTATTTTAAAGACTTCATCTACTGGTGAGCGACCTCCTCAGCTTTCGCCTGACCAACTGCTCCCTCCATGGCTCCGCCTAACTCAGTTACATGCTTATCAGAGGCAGTAATCTGCTTAGCAGCTCCAGTTGCATGCTCAGCCAAAAATGTCGCCACCTCATCAGCCAAGCCCTCTTTGGCGTCATCCTCCTTAACTGTAGCCTCATTAGCCACCTGCTCTTTGACTACCTCTATATCCACAACATTGATATGCACACCTTGAGCAAGGAGCATGTTAGAGTAGAACATCTCAACATCTTCATCTTCAATGGAATGACACGGAAGGGCCCACTTTTGCAGTCCAAGTTACCCAACTTGTATGCTTCGATGACAGCCTCAAACTTGGATAGTTCAGCAACCTTGTGGTAGGCATCAAACTTGGCCAGGAGTTTCTCATAACTCTAGGATATGTCAGCATTCTTGCGCTTAAGACGGAAGTAGGTTTCTTCAACTATGTGAGGCAACATCAAAAGAGTTGAGTTCACTATCTTTTTTAACAAGGGAACTCTTCAACACAGACATGCTCTCCTTCATTTCAGACATCTTTGTTTCATGATAGATCTGCTCAGTCGAGAGCCTGCCAGTCAGATAAACATTTTTCTTTTCCAACTCACTGAGCTAAGTAAAAGATGGGGCAAACGGACAGTTGCTTCCTTTTGCTTATCCAAGGAAAGACTTGAGAATGTTCCAAGGTCACTAATCTGATGGATATGATCAACCAGCTTGACGCAAGCAGACGCGCTTGATAAAAAGTTCGTATTGAGCAGATCAGACACACATGCATCCCCTACAGAGTTGGACTTGTCAACCTTTGGACCAATTGTTTGCATTTTTGAAGAACTTTTCTTAACCACCATCATCCTCACTTCCAAATAAGTTAATGACACTGAATCGGCTCCATGTTTGACTGCTCATGGCTCGGCAAATGAATCTCGATGGTTAGGTAGATGAGCAGTCCTTCGAGTTCGATCATCATCCCTAGACTGGCGTAGACAACTCAAACTTCAGGAAAGAACATTAGCAGCTCTTTGCTTCTCAACAGGCGAATCGCCTTGGGAAAGGACTTTTCTGCAGGGCAAATTACAGTCTTTGAGCTGGTAAGTGGGAGACTTAAGCAGAATGTCCTAAACATTCCGCATGCCGCCAACTTTCTTGTTATTCACACCGAAGAGATGCTTGATCCGGGTAAAAGATGAAAGAGCAACTCCCACTTTAGTCTTCCCAGCAGACAAGACCTTTTTTGAAGAAGACGAGATCACAGCAGAAGGAACTTTCGTATTCTTCCTTAGCGAAGACACATCCCTTGCCCTCGAAGTTGCAGCTCCATTCTTCAAGAACTTGACATCGGCCTTTCGCTTTTAGGGGGATTCGGTCGAGTACTCCTTATGTTCGGCAGGCAGATCATCCTAGTTTAGACCATACTGCTTCCATCTTTCAACATTTTTTGGCAAGGGGCAGACCACCAGCTTTCTCCCGATACTCGATCAACAGTCAACGCCATTCGCGAAACCTTGCAGGGATGTTCAGGGCCCAAAAGACCTTAGCCTTGTCCTGCCCAAGATCCAGTTTCTTGCATATATCATTCTCTGCAAGCAAAAGACAGAAGTCAGCTAGTCACACATTAAAGAATTCAAATAAAAAGTGAAGCAGATCGGCACAAGTATGAAGTACCATCGTAATAAGTGACGGGAACAAGTGGACCATCGCCGACCTCGCCTTCCCATCATCCACTAACCTCTAACACAGCTTGACGGGAATAAGTATGATCTCCTAGGCTGAGATTGTCAAACAGCTTGACTTTGCATACACGGACCTAAGCATACTTCTTGTAGTGCATCACTTCGAAGAAGTAGAAGAACTCTAGCACCGTCAAATCCAGCTTGAAGAAACGGCTTAGATTCTCAAAACACATGATTGCACGATAAACGTTCAGAGTACATTGGTTGGGGGCACACTCCATGGCGCAGAACACCTTCCTGAAGAAATTCGACAACGAGAACATGAAGCCCAAGAAGAAATAAAAGGGATGGAATGTGATAATCCTAGCATCTGGATCATTTGGTTCCACACAAGGCGTATCGTCGGTCGAAGACTCCACCAACTTGACGTGCACATCATCATGTATGGCAAAATCATTGGTGGCAAGCCACTTTTGGAAGAGAGCTTCAGACGTAATGCGATGCATATTAGCCACGAATCTCTTCTTGTGCACCTTGGAACAACCTCATAGGTACAAAGGCACTTGCGAACTTGATGATCGGCTACCATCCTTGGAATACATGATCAATGAATAGCTGCAAAAAGGGAAGAAAATTACAAGATAGATAGCATGTCAGAATCCTAACATGCAGTATACAAAAAAATAGCAAGAAGGCCATGCAGCCCGAGCCACAACATGTCCAGCAGGTCACGGCGCAACTAGCTTAAAAAAAAAAGGTAAAACAGTAGCTGCGGCCGCCTACCACCATGGCAACTACCGTTGACATTTGTAGAAAAACACGTGACATATCCAACGGTTGAATCACAGTAAAGGAAGCGATCCATCAGCCAACTCGAGACTCGCACCAAAGGAAAAGAAGAAGATGCAACCTCCACCAGCGACGATGGGTGCCGCAACTAAGCAGACGCCACCTAGGCCCCCCCGATAGCCCACTGCAGTCATGATGACAACCAGCTGGTCCGCCCCGCAACGCTCGAACGAAAGAATGACGACCATAGCCGTCACCACCAACGGTGGCGGCAACCACGACTGCATTGCACCTGTGCGGTGGACCTCGCCTGCTCCATCCACTACACCACCAAGAAAATCAGTCGAGCGCACCCAGATAGTCCCCGCTTTGAAGAAAAAAGAAGAAAAAAAATAAGTTCGACCTACCTTAGGGTGCACGATGACTCCTCTCCTCGACAAGCAGTACACTCCTTCAAGATCTCTCTCAAAAGTCAGAAAGTAGAGGATGAAAATTTGCAATTTGAAGATAAGTTTGCAATAGAGTGATTCCTATCATCTTTTTGGGAAGAATAATCCTAACCAAACAAACACTATTCTCGCAATCTAAATTCTTCTATAATTCTAAAACTAGTTCTAAAAACCCTACGCAATCACCCTCTCTCTCTCTCTCTCTCTCTCTCTCCACACACACGACTCCGGCCACCTGACTCTCCCCGTGAGAGAAAACTCTGTCTAGTTTAGCTATTGTCGCATCTTTCCTTAAAGATCCAATTGAACTAACTTAGGCATCAAAGCCAATACCCCTAGGTGTGGTCTTTTACTCCTATTTGTTTCAGAGGAATCGAGGAAGATAGAGAAGAAAGCTCGAAAGGTGAAGAATCTACAAGTGAATATTCTCATGTGACAAATTTGCACAAACAGTATTTCTTGTCAAAAATCTGAGCCCATAAATCATTATCTTTGTTGTGCAGCCTCCAGCCAATTTTAGCCAATAAAGCCTGATTCATGTCCCTAGCCTTCTTGAAACCCAAACCACCTTTGTTTTTAGGTCTACATAGCAGATTCCATTTATAGAGGTGGACTGTCTTCTTTCTATCACTTCCTCCCCAGAAGAAATTTCTATTTAACGTATCCAAATCTTCACAAATACTAACAGATAATTTTGTGGTTTGCATAGAATATATGAGAATAGAATATGTGATAGCATGGATTAGAATGGCCTTCCCAGTTGAAGAAAGCAACTTACTTTTCCAATTAGCAAGCCTCCAATGAACCTTACTAAGCAAACTGTTGTAAGTGGATCGAGTTACCCTATAGTGCAAGACAGGCATTCCCAAGTATTTTCCTAGGTTGTCTATTAAAGGGGAGCCACAAATGAAACTAATCTCTTGCTACTATTGAGAACAAAATACAACAGACTTGTCAAAGTTGACATTTTGACCAGAGGCTTGACAAAATAAATCCAAGCGCTCCTTCATCACCCTAACTTGTTGTGTACTAGCTTCAGCGAAAAGGATTAAGTCATCGGTAGAAAACAAATGCGATGCAGCATGATTAGTTTGGGAGGACTTAACAGGTTTCCATTTCCCCCTATTTATAGCATCAAAGATGACATGAAATTTTTGGTGTTTTCACAAAAATCATTTCAAGTTTCGGAAATTACACTAACATCACCTAGGGTTTCACATTGCACATGCACTTTGAGGTCTAAGATTATTAAATCATCCATTTTAATCATTATACGAAATATATTCATTTTGCTCATGTCGATAGCAAAATCAATCAATTTTGTACCAAGATTAATTAAAATTTGGCCAGATAGTTTTTGGCTATTGGTAACTAAAGGCTACAACCTTGGCCTGATATTTTTTCAAATCTTTGGAAAGTAAAATTGGGCACGGTATGACCTATAAATAGACAAGTATCCATGTTATGTAATGTATGAATTGTGAGTTGATGTGTGAGTTGTAATAGAAAAGTTCGAAATATCAAAGTAATATTCAAGTTTGCTCAAATAAGTTTTGTGTAGCATTTTACGTAGCATTCAGACTTCATATCTCTAAACTATTATGTTATTTCTTTAAGTTCGTTATATTCATTTTCCCCCTCCACCAATACACGGGTCAATAATACTTGTAATTTCATTTGATAGTGTTGACATATACTGTACACAAACATAACCGTAACCTCCAGGCCTTCGTGCCCAAATGAATAAGAGACGGGTGTGCCTTTCTCATTCCATTAGTAATTAGCTTCGTGTCTAAGTTGTACACTGACACATATATGTTTAATTCTGAAAAGGGTTAATTATTGTAGACGTCCCTAAACTTGGCCCCCATTTGCAATTGGGTCCGTGAACTTTTTTTTTTGGCAATTGCATCCGTTAACTAGACAAATAGTTTCAATTGGGTCCTACCGTCCAACTCTGTCAATTTGTCCGTCAAAATGAGGGGGTAAAAGTGTCCTTTCTGTTTTTCATCCATCATCAACCCAACAACCCCACCTCCATCTTCAAAGATCACTGCAACTATGTTGTCCACCTTTCTCATACAGCCCAGCACTTCAAAAACAAAAAACAAAAAATCCAAGAAACCATTGGCCTGAAATCAGAATCATCGTGACCCTTTTCTCAAGAGTGGAAGAGAGATGCTGTAACTTTTAAGTGGTTGGAGTAAACAAAGCGAAGCTAAATTGATGGTGTTGAAACTTTGAAACCTAGGTTAAGTAGAACAATGTTGTGTAGTTGCAGAGACAAAAGTATAAAGCTTGGAGTTGGATCTGCAAGGACTGAGTTTGGCCCACTGAGTCAAAGATCGTACCGAGTCGAAGCGTTTATGAAAGACAGAGAGAGTCGATGTGGAATAAAAGAGAGAGTGGCTTCGATAGCGCCCTTGGATTTTCAAACTTTTTTAGGGGGTGGGATATAGAGGGAGAGAGAGAGAGAAAGAGAGAGAGAGAGAGAGAGAGAGAGAGAGAGAGAGAGAGAGAGAGATTTGGGTTTGCATTTTTTATTTTTAAGTTTATTTATTTAATTAAATATAATTAAATTATTCAATTTTTAAATTTTCAAAATATTTTAATTTAGATGGACGGTTTTAGCTCTCAAATTAACGGCCAAATTGACGGAAGGACTCAATTGGAACTGATGAGAGAGTTGGATGACCTAATTGCTGGAAAAAAAGTTCACGGACCCAATTGCAAATGGAGGCCAAGTTCAGGGACGTCTACAGTAATTAACCCTTCTGAAAATGAACATATAATCCTCTCATATTCCTTAATTCATATAAGAACACTCAAGTTTATTGTTCCAGTATCAAACGCGTTGCCTTATGTTCACCACAAACTATAACAATACATTTGTTTGTTTTTTTTTAATGGTGAACTAACTTGTGCAGGTCATTTTTAAACTTCAATTCAAAAATCAACGCCTTTCTGCAAAAGGAATTACGCGCACTGCCCCCACCAAAATGATATTTCTCTCAGAAAATCACTTCGATTTTATACATCAAGTAATGCATCAAGCTTTTCTTCCTGTAGAAGATAGGCTACGATTCTCTTCATATTTTAGATTGTTGGTGGAATAATAAAAATATGAATTTTAATAATAATTCTTAACAAATAATTATCAAAATATAATAACAAATTTACATAAAATTAATGTAATAAACAAACACAAATTCATAAGAAACCTGACAACTGTAACGATTGAGATTTGCAAGAATTGCAATGTCTTAAAGACAGATTTTGCTTATGTGCTTGTGCTCACAGTTTAATAAGCGTTTATCTCCCAAGATATAACAATTGATAATCTAAAGTTGAAGCACTGCAACTTTAGACTCTAATGAACCTAATTATACTCTTAAGATAAAATTAGGAAGAAATTTGAAGAATGATACCGTAACTTAGCACGATTGGGGAAAACTTCTCTTATAAAATGAAAAGGACCATATGGGTTTCTACAGAACCCAAACATCACGCTTGAAACAACCCCAATGTTTTTTTAGCATCACAAATTGTTCAACCAATGCGGCGGTTTACAACAGATGCAATATTTTACTATAATCCCATCTGATGCATTGAAACGGTGACTTCTTTTTGAATTGCAAAACTTTTTATATATTTTTTTTCATTCAACAATTAAATTAAATATTATAATATTAAATTTCCAATAGTCTTCCTCCTATTAACGTCCAAAAGAAAAGTGCCCTTCTTTGCTCCTTCAAGAGCTTGACAACTCAGTAGGAAAATCTGGTGCTGATGCATGGCAGGGGCACGTGCCCCCGTCTCCTCCATACTTGTGTTCCCAAGGTGGCCTTCTCCCCTGCATATGACCAGACTCCCAACTTACATTACAGAGGGAGAAAGATGGCGAGGGAAAAGTGCTTCTCAAACCTTTCTTCTGATGAGTCTTCTGAATCCTCCGACGCATTGTTGCCAGAAAAAGATGACCATCTAGACTTGCTAGATTCAAGTAGCGCAATCCAAACAAAGCCTGGATGGAAGGCCATGCCATACATCCTAGGTATATAATTATATATATATATATATATATATATATGTATATGTACGTGCTTGTTATTCAAGAAAATTGAAAAGTTTTATGATTCGGGATTTTTTCTTTTTCTTTTCTTTTTCCTTGCAGCTAATGAATCAATTGAGAAGATGGCAACATATGGGCTGACAACAAATTTTATGGTGTATTTGGTGAGGGAGTATCACATGGATCAGGTTTCTGCTGCCAACATTCTCAACATTTGGACCTGCGGCTACTCTTTATTGACAGTCGTTGGTGCTTCAGTTGCTGATATCTATCTTGGCAAATTTCTCACCATTGCTCTGGCTTCCCTTGCAACTCTCGTGGTACACAATTAATTATTAGCATTTTATCTAAATTTTTAATCATGATTAACTAGCTTAATTGGGTCCTTAGCATAATCTAATTATTATTAATGCCTTAATTATGATATATATTGTATTAGGGGATGGTAACAATAACTCTGACAGCCTTTGTGCCACAATTAAGACCTCCACCTTGCTTCATTGATGGGCAACAACATCTTAAGCACTGTATTTCCAACACAAAAACCCAACTGGGTTTCTTGCTTGTTGGGCTATCTTGGCTAGCCATAGGCACAGGTGGAATTAGGCCCTGCAGCATTCCCTTTGGCATTGACCAGTTTGACTCAACCACTGTGGAAGGCAGAAAATCAATCCATAGCTATTTTAATTGGTACTACACTTCATCCACTGTGGTCATGTTGATCAACCAAACCCTGGTGATCTACATCCAAGACTCAGTTAGTTGGGCCTGGGGATTTAGCATCCCCACCCTCCTCATGTCTTGTGCAATTGCCCTGTTTTTGGCTGGCTCCCAAATTTACCACCATGTGAAGCCAGAGGGAAGCACGTATGTCAGCTTTGCACAAGTTCTTGTTGCTGCCTACAAGAAGCGCCATCTTAAGCTTCATGACAACGAAAGGGTACTCGGAGTTTTCTCTGATGTTTCATTGGATGGAAATGTGGTGCTCTCCAAGCTCCCTCTCACTGCACAATTAAGGTAAAACTTGATGGGGTTCATTTTGCCTTACATTGCTTTAATCACTTTTGCTTGCTTGTTCTTTTTCTAATTCTCATTTGACACTATACTTTGGTGGCTCAGCTCCTTGAAAAAAGCAGCTTTAGTGGTGGACGATGACCTAAAAGATGATGGGTCTTGTGCAAATCCATGGAGGCTGTGCAGCATCCAACAGGTTGAAGAGGTGATATGCTTCATGAAAATCCTCCCAATATGGGCTTCTGGTGGCATCTGCTTCATGACCTATGCGCAAGAAGGAACATTTGTAGTGTCACAAGCCCTCAAAATGGACAGGCACATTGGACCCAATTTCCAAATGCCTGCTGGGTCAATCAAAATGATGTCATTGATCTCATTATGCATATGTCTCCCATTCTACGACCGTGTCCTCCAACCGGCCCTAAAAAAGATCACCAAACACGAAAACGGCATCACAACTCTCCAAAGAATAGGACTCGGGTATTTGTTCTCGATTCTGTTCGCAGCAGTGGCTGGACTGGTTGAGCAACAGAGAAGAGCTTCTGCTCTGTCACACGCTTCAGCAGATGGCGTTGCTCCCATGTCAGTGTTTTGGCTATTTCCACAGCTAATGCTCCTTGGCCTGTTTGAGTTGTTTGGCGTTGTTGGGCACATTGAATTGTACAACAAGGAGTTTCCTGAGAAGATGAGGAGCATTGCGAATTCTCTGATCTATCTTTGCGTAGCTGGGGGTACTTATTTGAGCACCTTGGTGGTGAGCATTGTGTACAGAGTTAC